CCAATTGTTTGCTGTATTTCCATATAGAATTCCTCAATTTCCTGATGACTAAACATTATGGATTTCAGTGGCGAAAACATGCGCTTGTCCAAGAGGCGATGAATGCAAATTGCTTGAGTAAAAATATTTGATGTTTTGTGTTTTTTATTTCGAGAATACAAAACAGAAGAGAATTGCACCGTGAGGCGATTGAACTGCAATTTCGGGAATGTGTCGAATCTAAACAAATGGCATTGTTAAGGTAAATTTCTCAAAAGACAAGGCAAAATTATGTCTTGCGTTTTTTTTTCATTGCTGAAATGCAAATAGATCGAATCATGTCTCTCTGGAGGCCGTCAAATCACACCAAAATCACAATTGCCATGGTGATTCGGAGGAATTATCACTGGCCAAAATTTGTGATACTCTCTGAAACATTCCCATTGTTTATGGCCAGAAATTTGTGGGCGTCAAAGGTCACATGTTGAGCCACAGCTTCACACGAGTCACAGTGATTTGAGATTTTGCTCTCAAAAGGCATACAAAAACCCCCTCCTTTTGGCAACAAGAAATTCTGACGATTGAGAAAAGCAAACACAGTGTTCTTTTTGTTGTCACAAAACGCACGCAAAGTGTTAGGAAAGAAGAAGAAAAAAAACCTGAAGAGAAGTGTAATTAGTTTTCAGTTGAATATCTCTACAAATTCAAATACTCATGAGAGACCTTCGGTGACAGAGTCTGAAATTTTTTCCTCACACTAATAACACGTGTCGCTATAATGGCCCAATATTAATTTTCTTATGTGTGGCGTTCTTTCATCACACCTCAGAGAGAGATCGCAGTTAAATGCATTCGCGCAGGTTCAATTGTGATCCAGTTTCGTGCAATTATTCATTTTCATAAATATATGACCAAGAATGGAAAATAATGCGTATTGTGTGAGGCTTTAATGGTTTTCGCCGATTTGACTGAAGAGAAGCACAATTCTTCGAGTTGCTGAAATTGAGTCACGTGCAACTGGTTGTGGCTTTGACTTATTTCGATGGTTTCACAATAGATCATCGCGAGGTGTATTATCGGCTCAGAGAACAACACCGCATGAAGCTTAGGCGAAGCGGTGAGAAAAACAAGTCAATTGCCCACTCAAGTGGATCATTTGCTGCGATGGAACCATGATTGACGCGCGCAAGAGCAAAGTGTATGATTAAGGAGTGCAAGAAGACTAGGTCAAGAGTCTGGATCTTGCACAAAGTGCCGCTACGAGTGAAAGAAAAAGTGAATAAACAACTCACTATGTTGGTCAATCGCTCGGCCCAGCATAAATTGTCTGAATCAAACCGGCCTCAAGTTAATCCAGAATTCACTAAAACACTCTCATTAGAGATAATCTCACATTGCGATATCTCAATATGATGGAAAACAATTTAACACTCTTTACCACATGCTTATCAAAGTGTTTTAGTCTCTTTTTCTCGCCAAAACAGTCTTTTTCTAAGTGATTCTTGAAAAACTTAATTGTTCTAGACATTAAGAATTGTCAGTTAAAGTGAATAAAACTCTTGAAAGTCACCTTAAAATAGCTATTGTAACTCTAAACTTATGTTTTCTTGCCTCATCCATAGAGAATGCATCATCAATTCTTGCTCATTTCTCTCCCTGAAATGTAAAGTGCAACAAAACACTGCTCAATTACAAGACAACTAATGGTCAGAGTGTCGTATTGTCCAAATGGATTGCACATGAGTCGCTGCAGTCGCTAATTATTTCGCAATTGCCCCTTAGATGCTCTTTGAGCGACACCGCTGAAGTGCCTCTGAAGTGCTAAAACGATCTTAAGGCTCGTCTTAAGGGTATACAGCGATGCGACGAGGTGAAGGTCCAGCTAATGCATTTCCATGAGCCGTCGCTATTTCATGGGAAGAGCATGTGGCACAAGACGACCCATTCATTTACCGAAAGCCAGCACTTGACGGTTAATTTGGGTTCTCAATTCGGGTAATTCATGCCGATGGACGTGATGAGCACTCAAAGAGCTGTGTAATTCACTATAAAAATCATTTCATGTATTCGGGTCGTCCGGACGGGACAGAGCGAGAGAGAGAGAAGGAGAGAGACTTTGGGGAGATTGATTATCCAAAAATGGATTGAGTGTGTTTGGCTACCTTCGGCAAAAACGCGTCTCTGATTAGCAATTTTGGGGGCTTTTTGCCCCGCGCGCGCATGCCTTTCTTGCATCACTCCAGAGAGAGACATACAGCGAGAGATCCACACAGATCTTTGGGGGCATGCAGAAAAGGCAGCAATTGTTGTCGAAATGATTTCGAGAAAGGTGGGATGACGCCAGCAAATTGCTCGAGTGTTGCAAAAGAAATAAGAAAAATTGATCACTGCGCCATGAATTGGTTAGAAAGGTTCGAAGGCAAAAAAGAGTGACACAAAACGACCACTCTGAGTATTTTGAAACTCTAATTGTTTGTTTTGACCGCGATTGAGCACCTTTTGATTTATTCCTCGATGGTACTTTGCGAAATTTCACTCTCCAGAAACCCACCAACTGTGCCGCAGTGTTTTGCCCACCAAGAAGGGTCAGAATTCCACACACACAGTCTTGGCGAAAAGTCGCAGCTTGTGTGCAAATAAATTCCATTGAGATCAATTGCAACAACTAACGCTTTGAGCCCCACAACAGATGAGGAATCAATAAAATCTAGCGGCAAAGAATGTTGTGAAACATCATTCGTCTCAGGTGCAAATTGACGCCTCGCAAGAAGCTCAGTCAAATATTTAGAAGACTCTCAAGCGTCACACTTGCTGTAATGGCCGCAGTTGGACAACATTTGATTCTCGCAATTAGATGAGCCATCAAATTATTGTGATTGTGAGATCATAAAGAGCCGCACCTAATCATTTGCTTTAATTTAATACAAACACGGAGGGAGCAGTAGCGCAGAGACAACAATTTGCTCTGTCTCACAAACATAATGATCGCTATTGAGAAGTCAAGGATGATCTCTCGGAAAATAAATCGGTTACGCCTTGCCAATAACCTTTAGCAACATGGTTTCAGTTCATTTGAGACACGATCTGAGGTCAATTTCTGCTCAGAATACTAAATTTTCGGGGAGAAATTCGCTACAAAATTATTCAACTTCCGTCTCAACTCTGTTTTTCGCTCATTTTTCTTCCTCTTTGCCTGCGATCGTGTTGGAGTTCTAATGATGATAAGGGAAATCTTCGAATAGTGATTGTCTGTTTAAGAGCTTCGTGAGGAATTTCCAGTATCCCAGTTTTTTTCTTTATGTAATACAGTTAAGACACAGTTCAATGGCAAGTGTGAATTCTAGTAATTATATTAAACATCGTGTTTTCCTCATTTTTTAATATACAAGAAAAATTGCGCAAAAAAACCATACAAACAGAAACATTTGAGAGAGCGTCAAAGGAAATTTTTTTGTGTGTGGAATTTATTGTTTGATTTTTTGGTGAGAGTAAACAAAAGGTCAAATAGAGTAATGTTTAGTGGAATTTCCTAGTCCAAATACACTTGTTCAAGGTACTTGATTTGGCCCCATGAAGAGCACAATCACATTTGGAGAGACAATAAAAGAGGAATCTATTAAACTAATATTGATTGCAAAACAAGCGTTAGTTGCTGGTTAACATGATTGATTGGTCAACTTGAGAAAATATAATTATATTGGGAAATAGCACGACACTTCCTCTACTGCGGGAGGAAATATGGATTCGTCGTTTGTCTCTAAGCAATTACCATGGGTGGTTGGCCAAGGAGTCTTTGGGAGTCACAGAGAATAGCCAATAGCGTCAATAGTCTGCTCATTAGCAACTCAAATGCCGCCGAAAGCAGTTGCCCAGCTTCATTAGTGGTCTTCAATGAGGCTCCATCCATTGGTCAAAGTGGATACTCTCGAGGAAAATTGCCCGAAGGCGGAAGATGGAATCGAAAGTTTGTGAAACCACGCGGAAAAATAACTATACTTGTACTTTCAGTTGATCGTCTGTCATATATTAGTTTTTTTCTACGCCAAATGACACGTCTGCTCCAGTGATTCTTGCAATTTTTAAGCCCTCATGTTCTCCTTCAGCACGACAATTATTGAGCGTCTTAAGATCATCAATACTTCACGCCAAGGACGAGTAGAGTTGAATAAAACAGCGCATGAATCTTCTTGGACACGGAGGAGCAGCGCAAGAAGTGGCAAAACCTTCCCGCAATGCACGACCTTGTCTCTGGTCAACTGCAAGTTCATCTGTCGCAATCCTCGCGGTTTTCACCTGATGGAAAATCGCGGAATTTGCATTTCGACGCCGAAAAGCTATTTATGTGCAAATTGCACAGCATTAGACAAATTTGGCGGTTGCGTAATCAACAATGCCCTGAATATTAATGTCGAAAGTTCATAATTCACTTTCAATTTCGGCCATTTTAGCGCATCATCATCACAATTAGGATGTGTTTTCCCTCCCCCATCAATTATTGCAACTATGTGCACGAGCTGTGGCACTAATTGATCTCTTAGTTTGAAAATGAAGACAACAAAATTGTGGGAAATGTTTAATATTCTAACGGAATTGTGTGGAAAATCATGGAAGAAAATCATTCTGTTGCGAGATAGAACTCGACAACATTGGACATATCAAGGAAATCTTGTTACAACTCACAGTCAATATCATTTTCTCTCACTCCATCTCACAATATTGTTGAATATTTGAGCCGAATGTGCACACCGTTCACCTTTCGTTTCGTGACTCTTGAGCATTTATGCTCTCGCCGAAGAAATTTTTATTGTATTTTTTTTCCATCTGCCGCGTGTATGAAATAAAATTGTTTTATGCCGAGAGAAGATCGGTAAAAAATAATTTATTTTTAATAAGTAAAAGTGGTGATGGCTCAGCCTCTCGGCAATTTCCGTGACACTATTAATCTACGGGTGTCCATTGTGCGTGGAGAAACCTGATAATCTCCCCTTAGAGAGCTTAACTTAAGCCTAAGTGAGACTCACATATTCGCATTTTTCTGCTGCCACCGACAATGTGACTCATGATGATTGCTTAGTTTTGCTGGTAAATCACTGAATTCCCGATGACTTTCTTCTCCAGATTCTACAGTCACAAATAATGTTCCTCGCGAAAAAGCTCCGCACTTTTCCACACCCAAAAAAATTCACCGTATATTTCTCTCCACGACAAAATTCACAAAAAATCACACTGCACAAGATGGCAATTTGAGGACAAATTCTCAGCAGCAATCGCACAAGAATGGTGGTGGAAAGGTAATTGAAAAAGAGTGACCGCGCTATTTCAATAGCAGCACGATACTGAAAGGTGCTCGAAACTGAGCCGCGCTCGCATCGTCTGTATTGTTGACTTTGCACTACACTTGTGTGGAGAAATACAGCGAAAAATCAGTTTCTGGGAGAGAAAACTTCGGCAAGGTAGTCCCACGGAGTTCGATGGGATTGGACCCAATCCGCACACAGATTTGCAATACAAAGCTAACCTTTTTTTACACTTAAAGCAGCAGCAAAGTTACTCGATTGATTCTGAGTCTTTTTTGCTTCTTAATCTCACAGTGATTGTTACTTAGACACTGATTGAGGCGATAAGATTCCAAAGTTAGAAAAAAATGCATCACAGCGATTGTCTCTGTTCCTGGAATTTTTTTGTGTGATGCATTTGAGCAAGAGGATATAATACACCTTAAATCTGTACACCACTTTCGAACACTCTCAGCACTTGAATTTCAGACTGTTTCCATCCAATATTTCTACAGGAATCCACTTAAAACCGCTTTTTAGGTATATTTTTCGATCATAACCTAAAAATATCACTAAAAGATCTTTAAAGACCCCGTTTGGAAGCTTTCTAGATCACAAAATCATTAGGTCAAAATTTTTAAGAAAGGTTTCTTGGACATTGTCCAAGTTTACATAAGTTTTTTGAGGTTATGTTAGATCTCAGCGCAATTTGCAGTATTTCGTGGTATCAAAGGCTGTTTATTGCATGAAAATACTTAATTCTGCCAATTACTAGCGATCTTCCCAACTTGAGTATAAGAATTGACTTGCTAGAATTCAAATTGATGAGTTACATAACCTCAAAAAGGATTATTGTGATTGTCTCTGTGTGAAAAATAAAAGAAATCCAAAGGATCTGGTTAATTTGTCAGCAAAACAAGCATTCAGCGAAGGAAAATTGTAAGTTTCTGAACACTTCCACTTCCTATAACACTTCCGCTGAGCTGTACACCACTTCTGACTGTATTTTCTCCCCCTTGCATTGGAGTCAATTTGTTGTAATTAATTTGCCATCGCGATGTTATGTAAGTTTTAAAATCAAATGGATATTGATTTCACGTGCTAAGCAGTGAGAAATCTAAAGGGCGCAGAAGGATAGTCATCTTCAGCACAGATCCACGTGTTCCATTAAAGAATTGCTCAATGATATTTCCTCATTTGTCTTCTCGGGAGACTTTCTAATGGTGTTTTTGGACGAAGCCTTGAAGTCAAAACTCTAATTTCCTATTGAAGGGGTCGATTGTGGTGCTTAAATGACTGACAATGCTACTTATAGTCATTCCTATTTGAACACTAATCGACACTCTCTTAGAAAATGGTCTGCAAAGAATCTCTGTGAGAAAAAAAAAACTCAGTAAACAGAACAGTAAGTAATCCTTACATCCGTTTATCACGTGCACAACGTATAGAGATGAACACAGCTTCAGTCCAGAGATCTTCTTTTGTTGGCGAGCTTTATTGTGGAATTTTTTTGCGATCATTTGAGAGTTGAGAATCGCGAAAATAAAGCAGCAAAAATGTACGGAAATTTTTTATGTAAAGGCGTCTTTCGGGAACGAGTTTTGGCACCTTAATTTAATACCATGAGATGGAGCAAAAATTATAATTCTTATAAATACCACTAAAGCGAGAACTTTGACTTTATCTCGAAGCTGATTAGTCCGGATTCTCCACACGGAGAATGCAAAGTGTAAAATCATCCGCTTCAGACAATTGTGCCAATTACCTTATTCGATATCGTCACTCCAACTCATTAATTAGTGCCTCTCTAATTATTCAAATTTGCTGCAATTCAACGCTTGCAGTCAAATGCCTTCTATTTCCACTCGAATCTCATTTCACAATGAAGGTGGTTTCTTGCAAAGACTGTACAAAGATTGATTCACATTGCCATTGCACATATCATGTGACACCGTCAATGAAATCTTCATCTACATTTTTTCTTTCCTTCGCAATTGTCTTTGCAGCACGAAGAGGCGTCTCTTCTCCCCCACTGAGAATGCACGTGTGATTAGATCACCTGAGAATTGCATTTGAACACGTATTTTGGCTGGAAATTCAATGACTTCTTCCAATCTATGCGGAATGCATAAATGCCACAAAGCATCGAGTGTTTACAAACATTTTATTATTCATAACTCACCAACTTTGGGTGGGAATTTCATTGATAATAATACTTTTTTTCTGGTGGAATATTCACGATTTTTGCTGCCTCTCTTTATTCACCATCCGATTCAACCTCGGGCGAGAAACACGGTGAATTTTAATACTCTTGCGCACCTAATTTTAGATGGTTTAATTCTAACTGTTGCTGCAATGCTTGTTTCACTCCGCAAAACCTCAATAATATCGCACATTTAAGCCTTCATACCGTAAAAAAATGTGGAACAATCTTGTTAAAATATGACCAGAACAATTTCGTGATTCTTCTGTTTCTAATTTATTATATCTTTTCCCTTAAACTCTCTCTCTCCTAGAGGTCAAGATTTCTTGGGCGAATGACTTACAGAAAGCGCTCAAATATTTGATTTGTCTGCGACTGAAGATGAAGTAAATTGAGACTCTGCAGAATGGTCGTCTCGAGAAAACAGTTACCGTGAAGAAAAACCACGACATGATTTTGCAATTAAAGATGTCTCAAAGTAAATTTAGTGTTTAAAGTTGAAACGAGTTCAAGCCTTTCAGTTTATTGAGCTGAAATTAACACCGTCTTTCGCCAAGTTGCACGCAACCCACAATGCAATTGCGCACTTTTCTCACTTCTCATTCTCATTTCCCAGCGCCCAGCTGAACTCGTCAACGCCAGAGGCAATTTCATCGGTACTAATACCACTCGATATGGTCTCTCATCAACAGTATATATTTTCAGTATAAAATCCTAAGGCTTAGCAACAGAAATTACAGAGATTATCCTCCTCGTACGCTACAGAGCACCCAAATCGTTGTGACGCTTGATAGGAATCTGCCTAATGATGATCGTGCTGTTTGGCTGGATGGTGGTTCGTCCCAATGTGGGTGAGATTGAGATGGTCTGGACGCAATCACAGCTCACACTCCCGGATGCCGGGGGGACTTTTCGGGCAAATCCAGCCGATGCGCGCGCCCAAATGGTTCTAGCTGAGGTCTTGGCGATTATTGCTTGGAGTTCTTGCCACGGTGCCACCAGACGCCGATGAGTAGGGCCAGGAAGGTGGCCGTGAGCAGAAGTGAGCCGTATCTCAGGCCGATCTGGACAGCATTGGCACTGAAGGAACTGTGGAAGATCAGCGAGATGAGCTCATCCGAGAACTCGCCGGGAATGACTTCGAGCCAGAGAACTGGGAGAATGTCGCCCTCCTCCAGCGGATCAATGCCTGTGTGGAGGGAAATAGAAGACAATATATGAGAATACAGTTGAGAATCTCAAACCAAAAACCATCCACTCACCGGACACAAAGGTCGGCGAGAAAACCTCCACGTTGATCTGAAATCTCGAGGCGCCGTTGATGGGAAACGCGAGTCTGGGATGAATATCTGCGTACGTGACGTGCTTCTCAGGGTCAGGCTTCAGACCCACGATCTTGTCGTGGAGTCTCTCGTCGCCGGTGAAGAAGTGCGGGAAGGAGAGGTAAATGGGAGCTCCGTAGGCGCAAACTGAGGAGTTGAAGAGGCCCGACTTGGGACACTCGTCAATCGGCTTGTGGCAGTAACACTTGTTATCCTCATTTTCGCTGGGATGGGCAAACACATCGTCCGGCGCTCTGTATCGCCACGCTGGAATACCATCGAACAGCGTCACATCCTTCTCGTACTCCAGCGGGAATTTGCGACACATATCCTTGATGTACACCTCGAGTTTGTCCTTCTTCCGCAAGAAGTGCGGCGGAAACTGGGATCCATCAGTGCCACCCATGCGATTGCACTCATCACCAGCCCAGAAGTCCACCGTCTTCTTGCCATTGAGGCTGAGAATCACGGCCAATTGCCGAATGTCACCTTCGCCACTGTGAATTGTGAAGTTGTCCCAACTCGTGGCGTTTCTCTGCAAGAAATAGAAAAAATTATGATGATCAAAAATCTTCCCACGGCGCTGAGAGTCGAGAATCTCATACATTTATCAGGAGACCAAACTTTTCGAACGGCGGCTGTTCATCTATCGGAAGCATTGCCTTTGAAATGCTGATGAGACCATCCTCGTAGCCCCAGAGGAATTCATTCACTGGCAGGTTCTTGAAGACCGTGGATTGGGTGCTTTTTAGTGTTGCATCCAGAGCCATTTGCACAAACACATTTCTTCCCTTGATCTTCTTCATCGCCGTCAGCATTGGGATATTCGGCACGATCACATTGTCCATGTCCGATCCGGTGCTCATTTCCGGCAAGTACCTGTTGACCCGCTTCTCCTGTGACACAGAAAGCCAGAAATCAGACACAAATCCATCACAGTCAGATTCTAGAGCACAGCATTTCAATCCATCTCTTATCAGTTCCATGTCAGAGAGTCGCTCAAATATTGCATCTCAGATCACAATTCTATGCTTGCGTGCAAACATTCTTATCAGCCCAACTGTATTCGTCAATACGTCGTTTATTTTTGTACTATCAGTTACGGAATCGATACTCAATTTCTCTCCCCTGGGAGAGATTACGCGCGGGAAAGTTCATGAGAGAAATCTGCGAGATGCCAAACCAGAGCCAAGCCAAATTGATCAGGAAGTGAATTTTTTTTCCCTCCTGACCTCACTTGATCTTGAGATGATCTTTTCGCATCTTTGATATTTGAATGAGATCGCGCGCTTCTTGGCGGCAAATTTCGTGAGATCTTTGAACTTGACGCACGCAAAGTTGCTTCTCCGCTCAAGGAGTTCAGTCGCGATCTTGGAGAGTTCAATTGCCCGAAATATCACAAAACACACCTCAAAATATTGTATGCTTGTGCGACTTTGGAATTTGAGGAAATCAATATGCTTAATGATATCACAATTTGTCCCAAGAAAACCATACAGAGAAAATCACAAGGAAGGAATTCCTCTGCAAAATCATTGAAGAGCATCGTCAAGTGTTATGATATGATAATGCCAATCAGAGTTGACCATGAACTCAAATATAATCTATATCTTCGCGAGATTACTCCAAATCCCAACTGAATTGTTTCACACAACGAAGAGGAATTTTTCCTCTGCATTCGCATACAAATCAACAAAAAAAAAGACCTCTAAAGTGGGAATTATTGTTATTTTTTGTAACGGAAAATAAAGTAAACACGATTGAGAAAAGAAAGTTTCACTATTGAATGTGTTATGATGACATGTTATTGAAGATTAAAGCGTTAAAATCCAAGCTGTAAAAGAGCAATAAATTTTTACAGGGCCAAATAAACCATTATAATTGACTGTATTCTCAAGAATTGTGTAATTATGTTGCCTCGCTCTTGATTATCCCCAAAAAAAATCGATTAACTAATGACTAATTCGTAACTCCTTTTTTTCCTTTGGAACTCAGTAATAAGAATCCTTCCACGATGAGTTGAAACAAAGTAGACGAAATGGAAGACGGAATGGAAATTTGCATAAAATCTGATAATAAATGAACAAATACTGATGGCTCAAATAAGTAGATTGACTGGTTTTCAATCGTTTAAACAACGCTTTTTTCCTTCTTTCTGGCAAATAATGACTTCTCGTGAACAATTCGCGGTCCGCGTGTGAAATGATTTCCACCCAACATTATCACTTTGACGCCTTATCACTTGAGCAAACTACTCCAAACTGTTTTGCTACAAGCGACACCATTAAAGTGCTACTGAATAGAGAATTTAGCCTTAAAGCATCAATGGAAAGCCACACAAAATCTCACCCTGTACGATATCGTGTTGTTCCCATTGAAGACAATGTGTTCTTTGGTGAGTTTCTCGTAGTAAACATATGGGCCAACTTCCTCCACATGAAGCTTCTTATCGGTGCCAACCAAGAAGCGATCCACATTTGTGTAGTTGAAGACATACACCTTCAAGTAGCTGTGCAGAGGAGGATTTGCCCACCACTCGGCGGCAAGTGTGTTTTCCTTTAAGACTAGTCTCTGCGGAAGGAAGATCAGCATGAGTTAATCGCCATTAATGGCAAAATTGCCACGATGACACTCACAGATATAAGTGTGTCATTGTAGATTTCCGTAAACCACATGATGAAGAGTCCTGTGGCACTTATCACAAGGCCCATTAAGAGTAGAACAATTGCTGCAAGATAAATTAAAATGCAAAGATCATCCACTGACAGTATGTAAATCGATTTTATCTCAACGCGAGCGTCCGAAGGCTAAGGATTTATGGTAATATCACACTGATGATGTGCACTTAATTTCCTCTACAGCTATTCTCACACGCGGCGCGTCTCCTCAATTTTCCCTCATTGCGCATCTGCAATTAATGCAGTCACTGGAAAACTGATAGAAATCTACAAGCTTCAGACTCTGTCTCAATAATATGCTGATTCTCAAGTCAACGCTGACATGCAAAGTGATGCAAACTGTTGAAATTTCCGAAATTTACCAGAAAAAGCCTCTTATCGTTTTTCCGCATTATCACAGCTTTGATTAATTAATTTGGGATGGTATAATATGGAAAACGATTATGTTTTAATTATAATGAGCACCATTCCTGTTATCGCTGGATTGTTAAGTCACTGCAAGCGCGCGATAATCAACCATTTATCGCGTTGTTCAATTCCCTGGTGCAATAAAAGTCAAAAAGGAAACAGTCTCGCGTGGAAAAAAGCCTCTTTTTTTTCGGGGTGGTGGGAAAAATTTGTTGTTGAGAAGAAAGAGAGTAATTGGACTTTATCTTCGATTGGAAAACATTTACAGAAGTCTGTCCATGACGAGATATCTTCTCCTCTGTCTTGCAAAACTGTTTACACTCATAGATAGTGGGCAAAATGTTCATTGTTTGTCGAGGAGAAAAATCTCACAATATCACTTTCAATGTCTCTTGAAGTGCTGAGCAATGCACTTTTCACAAGTAGCGTAATTTGTATTTTTTTTTTCTTTCTCTTTACAATGTGTTCACCACATTTTGCGCCCCGTTTAGATCACAAAGGATTGCTAGATGGGGGTAATTAAGTTAATATATGTCGTAATCAACTGTGACTCTCCAAGAATTTTCACATCAGCATCAGAAAAATCCACCAAGGGGGAGATAATACTGCTAAACAATGCACTTCAAGACAGTCAAACATGCATTTTACTTATTACTTCTTCTTTTTCTGGACTTTATAGAATTTTCCCACCGTCTAAAGTATCATAACCTCAAATTTAGGACTTTTTGATCTAAAAAGACGCTATTTTTCACTTGTGTGACTCTGATAAATTACAGAGAAACACTGTTTAAGAAATATTTGAAGTTTACAGTGGATATTTTGATGTGATTTTTTTTGCAATTGTTCTTTTAGATAAACTTCAGAACATAACCTAAAAATTACCTATTTGAGAACTTTTAAATGCAAATCTGGGGAAAAATAATTCGCTATAAATCCACAATGAGCTCAAATTTGCCATTTTAGAGTAGAAAATCAATCAAACAGGTCTTAAAATAGACAATTTTCTATCCCAAAACAATATTTTAGAGGTTATGTTCAATCATTCGTGATCAACATTTGATCACGAACCCTGAACTTTGCTAAAGAATATGAATTATTTTAATTGGAATGACTGAATTGGTGTTTCCCGATGTTATTTAGTCACTAAATTTTGCTTAAAATTAGTTACATAACCTAAAAAACAATTAGATTTTTTTTATCGTAGAAAATATTGTAAAAATTTTCAAAGTCTTGCGCTAAATTGCTTTGAAAGTAGTTCTTGAGCGCTTCAAATTGCAAAGATTCAAGCACTTTCACTTCTTAACACTTCTGCTGACTATAATATCTCCCCCTTGAAGTCCACTGAAATCTGCGATCGACATTGAGACACACATTAGCTTCGCATTGACGGAAGCTAATATTGTTATCGTAAATTCATCGTGTTGCATATTCATTCAGCAATAATTAATAAATTGTGGGCTTGACTCACTCCTGAACTGGATTGACTATTTCACTCGAGACTGGCCTGAAGGCTCTCATTTAATCTGACAATTCTAGAATTCTGCTCTCAATGTGCTTTGCAGTGAATGAAATACTTGAGAAAATATATTATTTATTTATTAACTTTGCTATCGACGAGACTATTGCAATGCAAATTCTCGTGATTTCTTGGAACACATAAAAAGCCTATAAAATATTCTCCGTTCACAACGTTCATGGACTATATAATTACGCATTGTAAATATTTTTCAAGGAATCACACATAAGAAAATAGGTGGAAATAATGCGAAAAATAATACTTTCATTAAGTTTTATGATTCGTCAATCAAATCATAGTGTTTTCCATCCAAAATAAATCACTAAACATAACTAATTTCTATCAGTTTCCGCTCGGAAAAAAACCATCTCTCGCATTCAATGAAATTTCCCTATCAGTCTGTCTTTAGAGGAAGTATTATAAAACATCTTTTATGACAAGTCACAATCACTTCTCTATTCCTCTGTTTCCCAGAATCAGTCAATATGGGGAAAAATCTCAGCACGATAAGACGCCAAGAAACTTCTGTCTATGTTTTCGTGTCCTTTTTTGCCGCTGATCTCTTTCCTCGGTGGCTTCTACGAAAAAAAAACCTCTGGTCGCTATCGGTGTTTTTAAAACTTGAACTCAACAAAGATAGGTCACACCAAGGGTCACAGCGTCAGCGATAAGGCCTCAATGATCGAGAGTTGGTCCCGAAGCTGCGTCGTGAGCAAGTCAAGTCGCGGGTTGATCGTCAAAAAATTTAGCTCAATACGCAAATTCTCAGAACGTCTTAGAAGTTGACTTTTCTTCCGCAAAAAATCCGTCCAGATTGGCGTGAGAATTTCCGCATTTAATAAACTCACCTAAGAGTGTGATTCTCTTCTTTTTGGATTCGCTAGCTTTGCTTTCGCTCTTCGACGAGCTGCCGAAGATGTCGAGGAGGGTGTCCAGGAAGGTCTTCTTCTTCTCCACCACCGGCGTGAACTGGTACGTGGCGGTGCTGGGGACAACGTGGTCCTTGGACGGGGACTGCAGCATGCGCTCCTCCTCGTCCCGATTCACGGGTGTCTCCTTCTCCTCCATCTCTCTGCGGATTGTGGGCGCGAAGATGCGTGTGAGGAAAGGCACTTCCGCGGGCTGAAAGCAATCTCTTTGGCACAAACTCTAACTCTACAGCGGCTCTCGAGGCATCCCTCGTCCCTAGAAAACTGCCCAGGCGCGCGTCTCCTGGCGAGAATCACAGAGTGACTGCTTCGCGATGCGGACTACAACTGAGATTCCCGAGAGCGGACTCGCTCTCCCATGAGATTGGGATGGAGGCGCCTTATCGCATGCCACATGGAGGGAGAGTCACAGTAACGAGTAGCGCCTGATAGCGGCCAGGAGATGATGAACTTGGTGCGTACCACTTTCGATATCACAACATTGGATAAACAGGCGAACTCTCGTGGGTTATCACACTCGTAGTATTGCACATGTTTGGCCAAGAGCGGCAGATTTGCCCAAGATAGCAGATTGCAGAAATTCTACTTTAATCCCAAACACTTTCCCATCTGAATCATGTGGAGAAATCAACGCTGAAATGCACTCGCCACTGATAAGGCCTTTCTTTTCGCAATCACACTCGAAGCAGGGCGTGACAGTGTGTGAATTTCCTGCACGGAAAATTTGATATGGACTTTGGAATTCTAAGAATGTCAAAAACAGAGTTTTTTTTTCTTCTTTCAAAACATCTGCGAAAACACCCACAATATTTCACCACCCAAGTCAAATTTCTAAATATAAAGAAAATTCTCCGCAGCAGGAAAATCCTTCCTCTCTCGGCGGGTGATAAGAAGAAACTGTGTTGACACGGGTTTTGTGTTCTAATATAGAAATCAATCTTGCATGCTTGCAAGTGTGATAAAATTGCACCTGTGCAATAATTACCTGTCATTTCCATTAACTAGCAATTCCCGCTCGCCTCCGCACGCACTTAGCATGTGTTTACGTGTTGCAGCGTCTGGAGGTTCGCGCTATCAGTCGAGATCTTCTCAGGTGATCCCTTTTGGGAAGCTGATCAAACCAGAACAATTCACAATTAAAGCGTTCTTCTCCGTTTTGCCGCATTTACCCGACTTTAACTGCCAGTGAATACGCTCAATTACCAGCTAATGATATTTTATTAACTGAGATGAGTAGGTGTTTATTTTACATATTTGCATTTTCTTTCAGAATTTCCCATGGTAGCATTTCGTGGGCGGTTTTCTAACAGTGAAAAGACCTTGATCAATTTGAAAATGTGTCCCAAAAGAGCGGGAACGACACCTTTGCCATCTACTGGAAAAAAAGTGAGTGACTGACTTGGAGGATTGAATGCACTGGAAAAAATCACACAAAAACTCGCTTCAAAAGCACTTTATTCGAGCCAAATCTATGGTTTCTATCATGTTTTCTAAACACATTCTCACTGCATATGGTTTATACCCTAATTGGCTATAAATAAGGGTGGTTTTTAGTACATTTTCACTCGTTGGAAGTGGAACTTTCTTTTCCCACGCATTGACAGTGTGCCGCCGCCATGATTTCTCGACTCACAATTCCTGAGCTCAGAAAGTAAATTTTTTTTTGGCAGAAATGTCGTGCAGAGATATTTCGTGAAAAACTCCCCCAAATTCCCCGTGAAATACTCCCCCAGGGATGAATGAGGGCGACAGAAGACTGAGTGGAGCCCTCGAGGGCGACGACACGGACAATCCGTACAAATTCAAGTGGTTCATGTCGCTAACGAGGCGAAAGAAGGGAAAGCAGTGCAACAAAGAGAACCAAAGTGACTTTGAGGGCCTCCCGGAAGTCCTGGGTGACGCCCCAACGCGCCCCGAGGCGCCCTACCACAGCACCAACATCTTCTACACGCTCCGGAAGCGCTTCAAGAGGCGCTTCTCGCGCTCCCGCAAGAGCTACTCGCTGCCCACTTTCGAGCCGGGGCCCCTGGAGCCCGCGCTGCCGCGGCCAGCGCCGGAAGCGGCCGCGGACACATCTGTGATAGCCGGCAGCGACACCGTCTCCTCGCCGCCGGAGCCCGAGGGCGCCGAGAGCCTCGCCGAGCGCACCAGCAACATCTACGTGAACATGAACGAGGTGCGCGACAAGGTGATGAGCAACGAGCGCCTCGTCCTGGCCAAGTACGGCTGGTATTGGGGCCCGCTGTCGCGCAATGCCGCCCAGAAGCGGCTCACGTCGCAGCTGAACGGCTCCTTCCTGCTGCGCGACTCGCAGACGGACAAGTATCAGTTCACGCTGAGCTTCCGGAGCGCCGGATGCACACTCCACAGCCGGATCGACTACAGGAATGGATACTGGTGAGTGCCCAAGTGCTGATAGCGATTGGCCTCGATTGCGGAGAAATGATAAGAGCGATAAGAGGGCTTGCCAAGGAAGGCTAGAAGACATTCAGCCGAATCTCTAACCCACAATTCTCCATTCTCAAACTGGAAAACTAGTCTTTTGTCACACTGATAAGACACTAATAATAATAACATCTTGAGAACTGACCTATCAAACTGGATCCAATTTGAGGAGACTGTATCACAAAGGAGCCCCCAATTGTTACGCATCATTCGACGCAATCGATATTTTGATCTACTTTAAGTGACCCGCAGAAGCCACACTTTCGCGATTCTCCAGGCCAATAAGTCACGCTGTGTTTTCTTCAAAACAGGCACATCGAGTCCGATCGCTACAAGTCCATCGTCGACCTGATCGAGGACACCATGCGCAAGTCCAAGAACGGCGTCTTCTGCTACGTGAAGACCAGCTCGGAGATGCTGCCCCCATTCCCCGTGCGCCTCACAATTCCCGTCAATCGCTTCTACGAGGTGACGTCGCTGCAGCACCTCTGCCGCTTCATCATCCGCCAGAAGATCAATCTCAACAATGTGGAGCAGCTGCCGCTGCCCAGCAAGCTCAAAGACTACATCCGCGAGAACTTCTATGAGAACTTGTAACAATTGCTCTATAATGTTTTACTTCTCTAATTTATCGCCTTATCGCGCCGCCGCCCCCATTCCGGGAGGAGACTCTTCGGGGGGCGCGCGCGCGCGTGCAGAAAAGATGGCCAGACAGTGGCTGAATAAACATTTAACGGTTTACACAGAGTCACTTTTGCACTTCACAACAATTCCTCCTCACTATCGCCGGTAATTCAATCCCAGCATGTTTTTGCCCTGCAAGAGAGAAAGGAGAAAACGTTGAGATGAAGAGCAAATAAGCACCGAAAAGTTCACATGCATTCAATGAAGTTTGTAATTTTGAAACCGATTCGGAAGATAATTTACTGTAATTAAAACGGGAACTCTATTGGTGTGCTTCTCAGCACGCAATCTTTCATCAATCTCTTCACTTCTCAATCAAATCTTTCCATGTTTTGCGCGGAATGCAGGAAAATGTGTGGACTTTTTCGCGGGAAATGCCTGTGATTGTTAAACATCTTTTTTTTTCTGGTCAATTACTTGAGTCAATAGTGCGAATAATTGCCGATCAATTGCAGCCAAATTGACTCACCGTCTCGAAAGCGGACGTGATGGCTTTCTGCATGTGACTCTTCGCCTCGTCGGACTGCGTGAAGAAGGAGTGCAGGAACACAGCGTCCTCCATGCGTCTCTCCAGGAACTTCCAAGTGTTCTGATGATCCACCGACTTGTCCTGCAGCATGTACAACTCTGTGATCTTGATGATCCCCGCCACGCCCACGCGTCTCGTGTACCAGGTAATCTGCCAGGACGAAAGGACACGCGCGGGATTAGCGAACACAGCACAAATCCAGAAAATAAAGTGACTCACATTCACAGCTTTGTCGCCTGAGTAGTAGCAAATATCATCGGCAAGAGTGAGGAGATTGGCCAGAGCCTTGGGCGCATTCTGCGGCAGAGAGAGAATCCCGATGGCCTGCGGCCATGTGGAGAGGAACGGCTGCAGCATCCTCAGGCGCGTCTCGATGGCACGACAGACGAATTGAGTGGGATTCGGCACCTTCTCCACGCCTTCCGTCTCCTTGCGCAGCCACTCCACCAGCCTGGCATTGCAGTCCGAGTAGAAATACTGAATAAGCTCAACGCCACCGTCCGGGAACATCCCGTGCGCCACGCCCGGAAAGCCCGCGCTCTCGGCACCCTTCGTGATAGCCTCTCGCGTCCATCCCTCGCTCGTGGCGAATTGCAGGGCAGCCTTCAGGATCTCACCGCGAACTCTCTCCTCCTCGGGATTTTCCGTGGCCTCCGGCGAGGGATTCACCTGATCCTGGGCCTCCTGAGCGCGGTGAGTCTCCTCAAATTGCGCCTCGCGAGCCTCTTCGCGCGCCCGGAAGTCATCTATGGTGGAGGAGGGAGGTTTGACGGTGTTCTGACTAGAGAAGTGTCTCCGAGGGAGAATCTGCAACTTCCTGACCGCCGGAACACAGGTCGGTGGGAAGGACGTCGACGGCACCAATATCCGAGAGAAGAAATTACCTGAAAGGTCGCATTTATTAGAATTCGGGGACATTCTTCAGGCACTCGTGCACCCTCGCCAGGACACTCTCGATCACATCGAGCTTCATCAGGGAATTGTTCATCACGTAGAGCTTCTGATCGCGCGTGAGCTTGGGCAGCCGCTCGCCCACAACATCCACCGAGATCTTCTCCGACAGCTCCTCATCCTCACAGTTGACAATCTTCGTGCGCTCCGCCTCGTAGTGCACTCTGCCCAGATCCATGCTCTGGCGAATGAAGTGCAGATAGTTCTCCTGCAGATCCGGCACGAGATCCCAGAAGGAGGTGCGATTCTCGTGATCTCTGAGCGCCAGAAAGCGGATTGTGTTGAGACAGGCGATGATCGCTTCCGCCTCCTGGACGAGATCCGTGGCTTCCTTGTCCTTGAGCGTGGTCAAGTGTCGCTTCATGATGCGCAGGAATCTCTCCTGAACCGCAAAGCGATTCTCATCCCTGGACAGAATTTCCGCCACGAAGTCTTTGAACTGTGTCGTGAGAAAGCCTCTGAGATTGCTGGAATTGCTGCTGTACTTTTCAAAGAGCTTCTCAATGATCAAAAATCTTCCCTCGTCGTCAAATTTCACCAAATATCCCTTAAAGGCGGCGATTGAAGTCTTCCGGATCTCCTCGGAAGTTGAGAAAATCATCAAATTCGTCACACCAAGGCAGAGATTCGCGTGAATCTGCAATTCCAGTTGACTGGAGGACAAAGTCTCCAACTCCAGATTCGCCAGAATGACTTGCAGCAGTTCCACAGCCTTCATTTTCACCTCCTCGAGATCACTCTCGAGCGAGGGCGTGATGAGGTACAGCATAATCTCGAATATGTAGACCGGAGAGTAGATCCGAGGGCTTTGGGCGGGGATTTGCCGGCCCACAAACACAGCGTAGAAGAAGATGAAGAGACTTGAGGTGGGAATGATGTTGTCGCTGAGGAAAATACTGCAGTTTTTGCCCTCCTTCTGCTTCAGCCAACGAAATCGCTCCTCAATCCACGGCAGGATGCAAAAGGGATCGCCTCCCAGGAGAGCTGTGATGCTATCCACCAGGAATCCCGAGCACTGTCTTGAGTAAGTGTTGATGGGCTTCTCCTCGGCCTTCAGATGGAGCCTGGCAAAGGAGTTTCCCAGCAACTTCATCAGGAACTTCAGGAGAACTCCTCGCCGAGTGTTGACGGGAAAATTAGCCGACTTGAGCAGTGGAATCTTGAGAAATTCATCCCTAATGGGCTCCAGAAACAGCGTCAGAGTGACATAGTTGGTGAGGAAGCGCGTTGTGTTCTTCTCGTTCTCCAGCAATTTCTGTCTCTCCTCCGCATAAGGCTCTCGGGAATCGTCTGCCAGCGGCAACTTCTCCACATATCCATACACAGCCTCGAAAGCGTGATCAATGGAGAGAATCTTGTTCTCCGGAAGCCGCAAAATGCACACTTGCAGCGACTTCAGGGCGCTTCTGAACTGATTGTCATCCTCGCAAGCCTCCACGACGGCCAGGATCTCCAGGAGCACCTCCTGCGGACTCGCCACATTCGTCACCGTCTTCAGGATGTCCTCGCAGGCTTGGTACAGCTGGGGATTCGCCTCGAAAGTGGCGGTTTTGAGGAAGCCCGCCAGCACAGCAATGGTGTCGTAGCAGTTGCTCTTGAGGCACGCGTGGAAGCGATTATCCGCCGTCACCTCCAGCGCCTCCTTCACCCGTCCATTGGTCAGGTGCTGCAGCAGACAATCCGCCAGACTGGTGTCCAGTTCAGGTGGTATTTCACTCATTTCAGCGGACTTTTGCGGCGTACTTTCCACCCACGAGAAAATGCGACGCAGAACTGTCACAGTGGCGTTTCTGTCCCAATCAATTTCACACTTTTCCAACCAAAAACACAGCTAATAGCTAACGGTGGAGTGCTCAGCAGATGCCCAGGAGTGTCAGGGAGTAGGGTAGAGGGAGGAGGACTTACCAGTATTCTTAATAAGGCGAAATTTAGCGATTTTTTCCAGTGCCATGACGTCCGAACAGCATGCAAACACTCCAAAATTTGAGCAACTGAGAACTGCGCCGAGTCGATTTCAGGCGGCGAGAGATGCAATTTTGTGCAATAATCGCAATAATGTTCCGTTCTGGGCTTTTGATTGTCGAATTGTGGCTTCTTATTGTGCTCGATTGAGAATTCAGGTTTAGGAATACCGCTGAGCATTGTAAGAAATCCTATATTTAGATAACGATCCGGATAACAGTGAAAGAAGAGAATTTTTGCACTCAGCCTTGAAAGTCATTTATACAAAATAATTCAATAAATCCACGAATTAATCTCAAATAATAAGATATATTTTCAAAGATATATCCTTGACTTGCTGAATTGCAAGGATTTCAAGCCTGCAAGACGATTTTTTTAATCTTCCCTTCGTCGCGCGGCAAAATCACCCATCGACGAGTCGACCATCAGGCGCGCTGTCCCACCGCCAGAGGCGCTCAGCGTCGCTGTCCCACGTAATCGATTTGTCGATTTGTCAGCCCGAGAGCCTCCGTCAGTTTTCTGTTTTTTCTGCGAAACAGTTTTTCTGCAAAAGTCACCTCCGCCAGTGGTTCGCGCGTGGAAAATGTAAAGGAAAGTTCATCGCGAGGGTGTCTGTGAGCGCCAGTGCCCTGTGAAGTGCGTGGAAAAGTCCATCTCGTCGCGCTGTGACTGGAGAGTTTGTTAGTGAGTTTGTGCAAAAAAAAAAAGTGCTCCTCCTGCGAGGCCCGAAATTGCGTGTTTTTCGCTGCTTACGGACTGCCAAAAAGGACATCCCAGATGTTTCACAAGATGTCGACGCGCTCCCAGCTCACCAAGGATCTCAACGGTGAGAACGCCTTTATCGATTTGCGTGGAGAAATCCGCACAGACTCCGGGAGGGAGTGTCTGCGGGTGACCTTCGGGAGGCCGCCATGGGCCCGAGGCCCCCTTTTTGCGCGGCCACGGGACGGCGAGACACAGACCCCGGCGACGCTCTTCCGCTCTCCCACCCGGAAAATCAATAAAGTCCCACTCCCCACCACAGCCAGTCCTCCGGGAACCGCATCTCCGGACGCTAAACCAATTACGTGAGCCGTGCACAGCCACCTTGTCGCCGCTTTTCGGCCTTCCGGAGGGTGAAAACCCCTAGAATTGTGCCACGGCGAAAATCCCATGCAATTGACAAAAGCGCCCGGGCGAGGGTTGCTCTTCCATTTTTGCCATGCGAATGAGATTTGGTGGAATATTTAATGAACTCCGATGAGCGCTCTTCGGGTCACTGGCTGACATACTTCCGCGGGATTTAAAGGGAAAGTGGCCTAAAGGACACTGTCGTGCTTGATTGATGGCCTGAAAAATTTTACGGGCTTTCCACAAGGGTTGCTCTGTCGCCCGGGATGAACTGATTGAGCGTTTTATTGGCAGACAAGAGCAAAAAACTGGAGTGTTTTGATTGGTTCAGCAATCAAATCAAGATCAAAGCCGTGTAATAAACATTCACCGAGCGCGGTAATTCTATTGGTCACTACACTCGAAGGTGTTGCAATTGATAAGGTTTATCAGAGTGTGTTTTCATCTGTATTGGTTGCTGGGCTTCTATCAGGGCCTGATTTGCGTTAATCAGTTAACAGATTCTAAAACTCTACAAAATTGTTTAACACAAATTCGACTGGTGAACCGAAAACTATAGAAAGTCAAAAGAACGTTACTTTTCAATTTACATCAAAACCCTCAAAATACCTTCTAATAAATACTTTCTGAATTTTTAAAATAAGTTTTATTGATATTTATTAAATTTTTTGATTGAAATATGGCAAAGTTAATAGAAAAACTTTTAAAAAGTTCTAAAAGAAACTTTTTTTTATATATAATATTATCTCTTATTTAAAGTTTTTAATTGAAAAAAAATAAAAATATGAGAAATATTCAGAGAAATTTAAAAAAAAATTTAGGAGTATTATTGAAAATTTATAATTACTTTCTTTGACTACAATTTGAGACAATTTTCATAGTTTACATCGCAAAACATGAAATTATTTTTACATTTGTGTTTTTTTGGATAAATAATATTTTTTTTACTATTGTCTCAAAAGGTAGGAATTTCAAAAATTTTGTAGTAGAGCAAAAAAAAAATTGACTAATCAGAGATTTTCTAAGCAAACACTTTACTCGGTTTTTCTTTACCGAATTGGGTAAAATCGTAAAACAGCTCAACTATGATTTATGTTGTGAAGAAGCACTTTATTGTTTGTACTTCCCACCCAAAACGACAGCAGCTGAACATGCCCAAAAAAAGATAGGTAAAAATAAAAATTGAAGGGAAAGGAAAACAGAAATTCCTCAGTTGTGTTTGCAAATGAGTTCCAGTTGACTAATTTCAATAGAGCTCTTGAGTAAATGTTTAGGGATGAAGAAGGATACATATTTCCACACTTTTGATTATATCGTTTAGTTCACTTTCTTTTCAATCGCAATCATTTTAAATCTCAGAGGAGAACACTTTATTTATCCCAGAGAGAGAGTATTTTGATCTCCGATCCTGAAGAATTCAACAGTCATTTGTAATTCTAAATGACTTCCTCAATACTTCAGTAGGAGAATTTGAAGAGAATATTTTGTGTAGTTGAATCGATGAAATGAGAAACTCCGTGTGTATTTCTCTGGGGAATTGATTTTTCACACAAAGAAAAGAGGTTCTTCTCTTCCTGGGAGATCTTTTCCTTCTGATAAATATAGGGGAAAGAGTTTCGTCTCTGGGCAATCAATCATTTGTGTTGTCGGTGGCGTATAATTTGAAAAACACTAAAACTAACGATAAAATCCCACATTCTTCTGCAATTGGTGTTTTGAGGAAGTTTGCGTGTGATTCTTGAGACATTGAGCGGTGAGGGTGGCAAAATGAAATGCCAAAATTTCACTTTAATTGGTTATTTATTGAGAGATTTATGGGTGAAAACGTAGAAAAAAGACATTTCCGTCAGAGGGAAAAAGGGTGGGAAAAAGGTGGTTTCCTGGATGAGACAGTGAGTTGTTCTTTTAGTGGTTTTCTTCCCTTATCACTTGACTATAAAGTGAAGAGGGAGAGTGTGTTTTCAGCGATGGCATGGGGATTATCTGATAAAAATCGATTTCCATCGTTTGCACACTTCCTGACCTGTCAAGTGCATCAATCGCGCGCGCGGGTGGGCGAAGAAAGGGTGGCAGATTGTTGATTTTTTCATCAACACAGCACTTTTTTTTTCACTGAGCTTCGACCAACAGCAACTCAAGAGGAAACACTTCACGTTAATCCCCATGGAAAAGAGCTTCAAATGTATTTTTTTCAAGCTTCTTCCGCGTGGATTAAAGACATACACTCAAACACGTTCCCTCAGACCTGCCATTGCCAATAGCAAAACTTGCAAAGAATTCACTCGGTTTTCTTTTCCATATGGGCAAAAATATGGTCGAGGAAATATATACACGTAAATCATATGCCTCATAATTTCTCTGAGAAGTAATTTCATAATTATTTTTCATGCTCTCGCTGCAAAAAGGGAAAGAAATAATAGAAAAAAAAGAGGCGAGAAAGAAGTTTCGAATGCGTATGAATGGAAAAGATGGGATTTCGCTAAAGTCATTCTTCACGTAACTGGAATTATGTTGGCTGTTTACCATTTGGATTTATCGCTTTCAATTTCCGCTCAATTCTGATTCACTCAGCACTTATATTTCAATATTTTCATCCAATGGACATTGAGACAAATGGGATGAGATGGCATTAGATGAGCGCATGAATTAATACATATATTGCAATTTATCTGTCCATTGATATCTCATAGGTTGTGGAATTATTATAACCAAGAGGCGTTTCTGGTCATGCAAAGAGGCTGGAAATGGATTTATTCACTTTATTAGCTGATTAGGAATTTCTGAGAAGCTTTTGGAGTAAATAAAGACTGTAATTCATTCAAGTTTTACTCACATTTTGTGTTGAGAAAATTATGAGACGTTTATTGATTGGGGGGTTTTTTGTGTAATTGTAGTTAAAATATTTAATCGCTGAAGAAAATTTAGGTCAAATAATCAATCTGTGGCTTGATAGAATATTTTTGGCGGCACTAAGAAAGTCAACAGGTTTTGTATTTTGACTCTAATTTTGAATTAATCTAAAATATTTGCATCTCCAAGAAACTGGTTCCGAAGACAAATGACTATAACAGTTACTGATTCACTTCTAATCTTGATTCGCCATCGTGAGGTTGGCAAGTTAGTGTGGGGAAAAATGTGGCACTTACAGCGAAATTACCTGAAAATTGTCGTATTTTTATCTCTCACTTTGATAATCCAATGCTTATCAGGCGCAAAGATTGGCTGGGCAATGCAATATTGAAAGTGTGTTATCGCAAACGAAGCACTCCCGATGCTCTATCTCGCGACGATTGAAGTCCCCGTTGTTTTCCACTGAATTTCTGTGTGTATTTATTAGCAATTTTCCTGTTAAACAGACGACGACAGAGTGTGAAACGGTCGGCGACACTTTTTTCGATTCAACACGGATTAGTTTCAGTTGAGTTCTTTTGCAGTTTGGATGTCGAGGAATCTGTCTATTTAGTGCGTGTCGAAATGGCAGAATTTTTGAATAGTATCCGTGGTAAATTTATCGGTGATCAAGTTGTGCCATCAGGCAAGAAGACATTATCAGCAATTGAGAATCGTCGCGAAATGGAGCACAATGAGATGCTGATGGTGGATGCGGAGAAGAATTTGCGTGATATCTTTCAGCAATTACTGAAGGGAGATGAAACAGGTCTTGAAAAATTATAATTTATTCAAAGTCACACGCTCGTTTTTCGCCACAGTGCGCGCACTTTTGGGGGACATTTTGAGACTGGTTTCAAAGGCATTTCAATATAAAAATTCCACCACATGCCTTCTTACACAACTCATTTGTGTGCACTCAATTGCAATCTCTCTCTCTGCTATATGTGAGTTTCGTCATGATGCGATGAGTGTGAGTGATGAATTTCATTTTGTGAACTTTATTGCTGACTTCAGAGAAGTCAATTCAGGCACTCTTCTGTTTGTGGGTGAAAATGGCACAGAGGAGTGACTTTTTCAGCCTTATCAACTGTGTGTCTTCTATCATATAAGTGTCTTGTGGGGAGAGAGAATGATGAAAGTCTCAGTTCAATGGTGTTTACATTATTCATTCGAAAATGCTCTGCTATTTCCCTCTTACTCGCCTTCAACTGACACAATCCCATCGCATTTGACTTGATAATGAAGGCACACAGTATAGACAAAGTGCATTTAACTTCTCTCTAAGTAAAGAAATAGTAGAAAACTTCTGCATGGCTGCACCTGAACAAAAAGCCTAGAACTTCCCTTCAATTCGCCATCATCAAATGAGGTTCAGTGGCAACAAAAAAGAGCCATTGTGAGTTGGAAATTTGAGCCACATTTATTCCGTGTCAGTTTGTTAAAGACATTGGCACGCATGCATTTCAATCAACGCAAAGAGATGGAAGGTGAATTCCTGCTGATTAAATCAACTCCCTGTTGTGTACCAAAACACCTCTCTTTCTCTCTGTACTTCCTCAAGTGGAGCAATTTCTCTCAAAAAGTCACTCTCCCATATTGTAGGATGAAGACGAAGAAGAAAAGAGATGCCTTTTTGGGAGGCCCAGACAAAATAAGATGCCATAGAGAAGAGACTCTCAGCCATGGTGAATGTTTAAAGTGTGGAGTCTTTAATTGTTTGTTTACATTTCACACAGCAATTTTCTCAGCATTGGATATATCGGTATGAAACATGGAGACTCGTGAATGTATTTTTTTTTTACTCTTCACATGCTATGATGGAATTTTTAATCTTTTTTTTCTACTTGTGGTTAATTTCAGGGGAATTTAAAAAGTAAAATGATACTCGGAAGTCTTTAGGCAGGTTTTTGTTTCAGTGTCATATCTTAATTAAAACAATTAAAGTGGGATTTATGTAATTTTACGAAATATGTTTGGGTTATTCATAAGTTTTATGTTCCTAGATGGCGCCACTATGCGGTAGTTTAACGCCAAAAATCATAGGCATAAATAATGCTCACTGTAGGTGTTACACTTACCAGGAAGCTCTGATAAGCGTTCCACTGTGATTTTACAGGCTTTTTTGGAGATACATTTTCATAATATTTTCGAATTTTTTCATAAACCTGAAGCATGAAATTTTTGGATATCTTCAAGAATTCCAGCTCGAAATCCTCCTCGGATATTGACCAGGCCGTCGAATCCTTTGCGGAGCTACTATGCAATGCCGCTCGTGACTCTACGCCGCCTGCCAAGGAGATTATCAACAGAGGATCGAGTGGCCTTTCCAAGCCAATTCGTGATCTCTTGGCCCAAAAGCGAGCTCAGAGAAAAAAATTCCAACTGTCGAGAGATCCCAAGGACAAGACGCTGCTGAACACCCTAACAAAAGAGCTCAAATCTGCTCTGAGTGATGCCCGAGAAAGTGATCTACAGAGATACCTCAGTGGCTTGTCGCCCGACGCGTCTTCTGACTATTCCCTGTGGAAAGCAGCTCGCAACTTGAAAAGGCCGAAGATCCCTGATCCTCCACTGAGGCGTGATAGTGGGGACTGGGCTAGGAAGAGCGAGGAGAAGGCTGAGTTGTTTGCTTCGCACCTGGAAAATGTTTTCTCTGCTCCTCAAGCCAGAGTTTCACTTATAAGGGACTCATCGCCTCCACCACCGGATTCTTCGATCAAGTGCTCAATCACAGCCCTCAAAGCCCTCATTAAAACATCCATTAATGTGAAGAAGGCTCCAGGTATCGATGGCATTAGCGGCAAAATGATTAAATGCCTACCCGAGATATGCGTAAGGTTGCTTGCATACATCTTCAATGCAGTGTTCAGGTCGGGTAATTTTCCTCAATCCTGGAAAGTGGCAACCATACGAATGATTCCTAAACCTGGAAAGGACATCTCCCTGGCTTCTTCCTACCGACCTATAAGCCTTTTACCAATTTTGTCCAAGTTATGCGAGCGAGTCATTTTAAACGACCTCCTTCCCGCCATCAGAACTCTTAAGCTTATACCTGATCACCAGTTTGGATGTAGGGCCAGTCACTCCACAGTGCAGCAAGTTCATCGCGTTGTCGCAACAATCCAGGAAGCCCTCGACGCTGGGAAATACTGCTCTGCTGTGTTCCTGGACATAGCCCAGGCCTTCGACAAGATATGGCATGAGGGGTTGCTGTACAAAATCCGCGGAAAACTGCCTACAAGATTTCACGATCTCTTGGAGTCTTACCTCACCGAAAGAGCCTTCTTCGTAAAAGTAGACTCAGCTCTATCATCTAGGCGCTTCATCCGGGCTGGGGTCCCGCAGGGCAGCGTTCTTGGGCCCACGTTGTATATGCTGTTCATGGCTGACCTGCCCACCTCTCAGGATGTCCAAATGGCCACGTTTGTTGACGATACAGCCATCATGTCAACTCATGCCAACATGAACACTGCTTCTCGTGAGCTGCAGACCCACTTGAACACCATGGCCGAGTGGTTCGCCCTTTGGGGAGTGAGACTAAATGAAGGGAAATCCGTACATGTCTCCTTCTCTCTAAAACGCAGATCCTGCCCAAAAGTCAGCATTAACAACGTGACTATTCCCCAGAAACCTGAAGTCAAGTACCTTGGCCTTCACCTAGACAAGCGACTCACATGGAAAAGCCATATCAGAGCGAAAATCCAGCAGATGAAGCTGAAAATGAGCTCCCTTTACTGGCTCGTCGGTAAGAGATCGAGTGTGTCTCTGCATTCTAAAGTGATGCTCTACAAGGCCATGATTGTTCCAATCTGGACCTACGGTATCCAGATTTGGGGCTCTGCCAGCGAGACCAACTTAAAAATGCTTCAATGCTACCAGTCTAAAGTTTTGCGTAGACTAGCAAACGCTGACTGGTATGTGACCAATGAAGTTATCCATAGAGATCTTCAAGTCCTGAATGTCAAACAGCAAATCCTACGGCTCAGCCCCCGCTATATCCACCAACTGGAAGTCCATCCGAATACCCTAGCCGCTCACCTGCCTACCACCAGGAGATACCGGCGCCTTAAACGTGTCGATCCTCTTGACCTTCCGTCTCGTTGGATCCCAGATTTATAAGTATTATAAATTTAGCGAGTTTCTCATGGTAATGTCTGCATTGGCTGTTCATTCCCACTATAACATTGTGATTTTTCCCTTATGTGAATACATTTACTGAATGTCCTCGGACAGCTTGTAAATAAAGTTGTGAAACGGTGAAAAAAAAAAAAAAAAAAAAAAAGAATTCCAGCTCAATTTGTTCCTAACTAGAAACTCTTAACGAACTTCTCCAGCAACTCAGACTTGATTCTCCATCATGTGTGAATTTTAGTGTTGTTATCACGAGCTTAAGAGCAGAAGTGAGGCACTCTTCTCGTTCACCATGTCAAGATGTGGAGGTATTTTGAAGTTTGGCTCCTGCAATGGCTTTTCTTGAGGAAGTTGTGGATGGCTTAATTACCATTCAGCAGCACCGCAGTGGAATCTTGAGTGAAAATTAACTAATTCGGGACTAGGCCTCCCACAGTGGATTTCATCATCTCTCACTCCTTTTCTACATTGTTGACGTGAGTTTTGGCTGTGTTTCGTCGAGGCGGAGGCTGTGCGGGATGAGTATGCTAGAATTGGGCATTTACTTTGCATTGTGATGTGAAATGTGTTTAATTGATTTTGCAAATCACGATGTGATGAGGATTTGGGTCAGACAAATTAGTTGCCAGGATGATTTTTGATATTTAAAATAAATTAACGTTCGCTGTTTTTCGGGAGGAGCGCGCAGACCAGCGGTCTTCCGCTTGAGTGTTTACAGTGAAAAAGAAAAGAAAGAAAATGATGAGAGACCTTTTGGCTTCCGTATTTGGGGAAAATGTCTCTTGAGAGAGTGATTAAAGTTGTGTGATGAACAATGACTGGCGGGGGAATTTCATAAACGAATTTCTTATCTCTTCCACAAGACTTTTCTGTGTGACAATGCAATTGAAAATCCATACAAAAGATTCATTGAAATTTTAATAATTTCCACTGGAGTGATTCATGTGGTTTTCTGTGAATGGCGCAGATTGAATCAAAATGATTTCATCTTTTGAAGGGATATTAAAATTAATATACCGCCTCGATATTTTTTTCTACTTCCATCGTGAAGGCAATAATTCTCGTCAGAGGGAAATAACACTTAAAATTTTTGGTATTTAATTTAATTCGAATTTAAGTGCAGAAGTAATTCATGTTTATGGAATATAATTTTTCAACATTGCTAAGACAGAGAGAGAGAACTTTCTCATTGCAATTTAATTGATTTGGATATTAATCTGTTGAAGTTTCTAAATGTGTTGTTTCTCTGTAATATTCTCCATCTGTTTGGAACAGGTGAAAATGATTGAAATTACGTCTGGTTGTAAACATTTTCAGCCATTGAGAATTTAACATTGGCAAAACATGTTGATTTTTCTCTCTTAACAGCATCAAATCATGCATACGGTATTTGATTTTCCTGACAGACAGAGAGAGAGAGAGAAAAGGAAGGAATTGCGTAGATTACAAGTTTATTTTTGACTTTTAGCGTCTCTTGTAATATCGCAACCCTTTTTGACCTTTTCCAATGATTCTTTTTTGCCCTCAGCACGCGTTTTACTGTGTGAAATGGTCAAATGACACGGAAATGTTATTTAGAGACACTTCCCAAGTGTCTCATTCTTTCCTCTCTCATCATGGGACAGAGAAAATTGCCCACGAGAATGCGATAAACACGATAAACAGGGAATTTCCTCACGAGGTCGTTGCTTAAAGAGGCCCCAAGTGTCCACTGAGTCATGTAATACTAATCTGTTGTTGTTGAACTTGTCTTGTTTGGGAGGTGAAGGAGTGAAAATGTTGGGTGTGGGCGTGAAAGAGGATATCTTCGTTGGTAAATCTAGGATTAAATTTTTCAGTCGTTTTTTGCTAAATGAAATTACAATTTGCTGACTAGAGAGATTTGTTTATTTTTTCAATTGTAATTTGTTTTCAAATAAGGGGATTTTGATAAGATAAAACCACACTCTTGCACGGGAAGGAAAAGGAAATGGCGTATTAATTGACTAATTGTTGATTCTCTTGTCTGTCTTTTGCAGAGAGTGTGAAAGCCCTGCTAGGTCGACACACGAAGATCCTGGTGAAATATATTGTGAAGTTGGAAACGAAAGGTGACAAGACAGAAAACAGGGTGCTGGTGAGTACAAAAGATGAAGAGATTTACGTACAACAAATGGGGATTTATGTAAAATTGCCACGAATGTATAAAAAAACATAACAGAGATCTCTCACAAAATTTTCTCCAACTTCTCTCACAATTTTACTTGTTTCTTTCATTTATTCTTCTCTCTTTCCCTCCTTGGAACTGTAATTCAATGAAAGTTACACCAAAACAGAGAAGAATCCACGCAAGATTAAGTATATCGTTTCGCCAGAGCATGGAAAAAAAGTGACTTTAAAAAAAGACTTGTACTTTCTAAATACGCGGAAATGCAATGTTTCTTTTTTTTCCTTGTCAATGATTCTGTGTGACAACTTAATAAGCTTTTGTGGGCTTTTGTAGATGATTTGATAAGGTTTTACAGTCAATGATAATAATAATAATGTTTTGTGTCAATGAACGGGATGTGATTCATGCGCAGAGTTTTGCAAATGACGCATGAATAACTAAATTAGTTGTGAAAATGACAGATTCAAAAGTGCTTTTCAGCCGATAAGAATACATAACAATAAATGCGATGTGGCAAAAGTGACTGTATTGATTTTTCACAAAGAAATTAGCACGAGCCGACAGCTTATCATAACTTGGCATAATTTCTCTCTCTCTTCGCTTGAATATATTCCTCACTTTCAGGCCTATTTGCAATGTGAAGAAAAAAATAGAATCTGCCACATGAAAATGTTTTACGATGGAAAGAAGTGAGCTTGATTGATGAATATCTTATGTAGTCTACAAATCTTGGGATCTTCACATAAGACGATGCTTTGCATGCATTAAATGCAAGTTAATTGCCTGAATAATGATGTACTTGGCAGTGATTACACTATATTATTATTATAGTTTCAAGTCCGGAGACTGCTCGAGAGATTATCATAATCGACAGAGAGTGAGAGAGATGATTGTGATTCAGGAGGAGGGTTTTTTTCTTAATTGAATTGAGACCACCTCTTAATTGTTGTAGCGGCAAAATGTGAAAGAAGAAGTGGCACGATTTTCCACCAAGACACCCACATTGACACGATTGGTGATGTTTTTTTTCTCCTCTTTTGGGGCGCTAGAATTTCATCGTCAAATCACCAATTAACATGCAAAGTTTATGAATTATTTCAGGTCTAGACACAATTTACTGTTACTTCTCTTCGATTTTTCTTTTGGAATTGTATTCAAAAGTATATTTGCATAATGTTGTCATGTGTTTGTGTGCGCCTTTTTCTTTCTTCACAAACTTTTTTACACATCATCGAATAATATAATTAATGTAAATGAATTTTTATTGACACTCATTGAGAAAAAGTGCCTCTCTGTGTGCTGTGCTTGTGCTTCATTTCTTTCTGACCTAGAGAGTCCATTCTACCAGATTGAAATTCCTCTGGAGGCGCTTACATAAAATGCTAAATTCAGACCCATGTTCCGTTACGTGTGATGATATAAACCGGGGGGGAAATGTATATCAAAATGTCAGTTCAGAGAGTTCAGTGTATATTTGTAGCCAAAGGAAAATAATAAAAAAAAAGTATAATTTCACTAACACAAATTAAATTAAAACAGATGAATGTGGCTATAAATTGACGATGAAGTGTACACAGGGTCATGATGAAAGTGCGATTTAATTTCATTTTGTTCATTGGGAAAATGAAAAAGGCAATTCTTTGCTCAGTTGCTTCACTTGCAAGTGCTCAATATTGGGACAATTTCATCAGTCTGCTTTGCTCAAAAGGCGCCTGAGAAGAGAAGAATTACAGGGTGAATTATGAGAGGAAATGGTAAAAGAGCACAATCTTGATTGAAAAATTACATGATGAAAGTGCTGAAATGTCTTGCTTATAACTTCCATCATCATCAATATTACATATTCAATCTCCTATTTATGTTGAAAACCAGATGACTTGTTTAGATAGGTTTTTTCTCTGTTTTTTTTTTCTTTGGTAAATTTATGGATTAATTAAAATGTTTTCTTGATTTTCTCACTACTTAATTGGCAATTTGGACCTTTTTTGGCTGAAGGCAAAGAGTCAAAAAATGTTAAGTAGTCTTTATGGCCTAAACACGCGATTATTTGTCGGAAAAGACATAGAAATGATACTAAAGTCCATATCGATTTGCTTAACTACACTTGGAAATACTGTCATTTTTTGAGTGTAGAAAACCTTGACTTGGATTTTTCTTCGAAGTGTACAAGGAAGTGTTGCTAATTCAGGACAGAAAGATGAAATTTTAACCACATTAGCTGAGTTAATGACATTTAAACTAACCCCTTAATGATCTCACAGGATTTAAATGGAAATTTGCTGAAATTAAATCATGCAAAATTGCGCCATGTCGGCTTTCGCGAAGGGGTGAGGAAATTAATGGGGGTGTGAGTTCCAGAAGATTAGTGGTGTAAGTCGAGTGGTTGAATATGTGGTGGAAAATGTTGCTTATTAGGAGGGAAATTGCCAAGGAAAGAGAGACTGGGAAGAATATACCTAGAGGAAAAAAAATCGTTATATGTATTTCACCTCAAAATAAACGATGCAGAAAATCTGAGTAGGGAAAAGCCTAGAGGGTGAATTTTCCCACATGAAATTGTTGTTTGCAGAGTTGTCTTTGGGGGGTGAAAAAGAAAAAGAAAGAGAAAAGTGTATTTAATACTTTTTGCACTCACAGTTGAAAGTCCTTCTAATGAGCCTTGATAGGTGAAATGTTGGTTGGATTTCTTTGCCACTGAGAGAGAGAGAAATTTGTCATTACTTAACATTTTTCCCTCTCGAGACTCTCGAGCATTTAAGACAGAGAGATAAGCTGGGTTATGTTGTGTCTGGATGATTAATAGCCTTTTATATTTTGCATGAGTAATTTTTTGGTTTAAAATTTCTCATAGGTTTTTACACCAGTTCGGATATACTTGCTGATTGCAAAGGTGCCCACAAAGATAGACTGCCATTTTCACTATTTAGATATTCAATCAATTGAAAGCAAGAGGCCAACACATTTTTCAATTACAACCAATGAACGCACTTACTCCTTCGTGACAACTGGTGATGCAGTGAATTTCAGCTCTGTGAGTATACACAATGCCTTTGGAAAAGAAGAGGAGAGATTTATTGAGACGTCGTGGATTGAATATTGCCTTCTTTTCTCTCCCCCATTTTTCATTTCTAACTTGCAACCAGAACGCCGATGTGATTCTCACTGATTTAACATCGTCAATAAAGCAGATATTTCCAACAGTTCCTCTCAAGTACATCATCAGGAAGGTGAGTGTAAAGTGCCTTCCCCCATCTTTAATGCGAAGCCCTCTAAGTGTTGTCTAGATATTGAATTAATATTTTAAGTGTTGTCACGTTCAAAAGACTCAACACACGCGGCGTAGTTGTATTTAATTTATTATTAGTGTGCCGATGGCGAAGAACATTTGCCCGCCAGGCTGAAGTATGTTGTTGTGTGGTGTATTTATGTGAAAAAGCAGACCATGAAGACGGGTCAATTTGTGTATATGAAATATAATTCCCATGTTGAGAAATTGACCAACATTGTGTGCAATCACTTTCACGTTAGTCGCAATTTCAATGACCAAACGCCATGCAATGGGTCAGACGTGCACGAGAATTGCTGTTCCGATCGTCAAAATTATGTTACACAGCGGTTATGAGATTGCCTTCTTTTTATCAATTAACGGCTTGAGTGTTCTTGTACATGCGTTATATAAGAAGCTTCCTCATGTTTTGCGTCTTGTTTACCACGCCATTTTTGCTGATGTTTATTGGGTGAAATACTAGAAATGCTTATCGTGTTAACACTGAAGACGGTTTTTGGTATTTGCAGGAAATTCCTAAGCATTTTCTTCGGACTCAATTGAAGTGACCAGACGTTGAATTGCTTGTGTAGGATTTATTGTGTGATTATTGGAGAAATTCTCAGTCAAATACAGACATGTTTTAGAGTTTTAAGCGATTCCACAATGTGTAAGAGAGGAAAAATGGTGAAATTTTCCTAAATTGTTAAAATGCAAGTAAATATTTAGTAAATACACGATAAAAACAATTTACTGCATATATCTTTAATATTCATGCTTGAAAATTAGAGCCACAATTGCAGATTTATCCATTTTAGCAAGATATTTGTGGATTCATATCTGTCACTCATTTGTTCTTTACACATTCCACATTATTTCAAACAACAACCTCTGGACGTCGTGTTAAATTACACATTCAGACGATACAAAATAGTTAAACATGTGTGATTCAGAACAGCAAAAGCGTGTGTTAAATCAATATAACACATTTTTAACATTTCTTGTGTGACTGAGAATTTCTCCATATTTTTATCAATCTTGTCTGATTTTATGAAGAATCAATTTATACTTAAAGTTTCTGATTTATTGAAATTATCCCGTCCTAACTCACATGATACGTTCGGTCACTTTCTAGTTTAGACAATATTCACAGAACATATACTTGGCATGGGTCATAAAACATGGTTGAGAAGTTGACTGGAATGCCACAAATGAATATAAAATAATCCGTGTTTAGTGGGATGATTCCACTGACATTGAGTGTGAATCACACCATTTAACCCTCTCTGCATTGCTGGAAATTATGGTTGAATGCATTGCCATTGCATTGTCGTGTGAATTCTCAGCATTTCGAGAGAAAAAAAAGTGTGTATGCGCGCTTCTATTTCATTCCAACCTTCTTTTCCGCCATTCGCAGATTGATGTACAGCCGACAGAACGTGAAACGATATTCTCAGACGAATTGAGGCCATCGGATCCGAGAAATTTGGGTCCATGTGGCGGTTTTAGCACGCAATATGCATGCATGTGTGATTATCATGGTGTCCCCTACAGGTGAGTAACACCTTCGTTCTTTTCACCTTGCTGACGGAGGGAGAAAAAGAAGAAGAGCGAGAGAGAGAGAAAAGTGGGAATTTAAATATAAAGTGTTTTTTAGTGAAATATGACAAATGAGAGTTCTCAGGTTTTTACCAGCAAAAATAAAACTACAATTTTCATTTCTTTCTCGCTCTCTTTCTCTCTGTGGAGAATAAATATAAATATTTTATGCAATGTGGAAAGGTGGTGTATAATATGGAGAGTAAAGTGGAAGAGTTCAGTTGAATATGGTAATAATATATTAATATATCTTTCCCACTCTTTTTACACTATTTTGCAGAGAGGAAGTCGCTTGGGATATTGACACAATCTATCTGTCTCACGATACGAGAGTACTGAATTTACGAGATTTCGATCACTTAGAACCAAAGTGAGGCTCTTTATCACGACAAAAATATGTGTGATGTTGTGGAATGGATGTGAAAACTTTCTCTTCTCTCTTTTTCACGCTCGCCCACGCAAATGAAGGGACTTGATGGCGATAATATCGGCCCTGGAATACAACACATTCTTTCGTGGATTAAAAGTTTCTCATACACGCCTTTCCAATGAGTCACTGGATAGAATCCTTCATGTTTTGCGACGGTCAATGTGGCTGGAGGAGTTACATTTGGAAGCTTTAGGACTTCGGTAAGCTCTCTCTCGATGTGGTGGCAAATGTTGTAATCTTCTTCTGTCCCAAATGGAGGGGAATTGTAATTGAATTTTCTCCGTCAGGTCTGACTTTCTTCATAAGCTGGCTGTATCTGTGATCACCAATAATAATCCAGCTCTTCGAACCATTGATTTAAGTCACAATGTCATCGAGGATAAAGGTGAATTGAATTTTTTTCTGTCTCTAAATAGACTGCAATGTGTGGAGATTGTTGTTGATTTGGTTCCTATTTTTCTTTCATTTTTTGTGTTGGTTGAGAGTATATAAAGAAAAGGATATAGAAGAGAAGATGAGGCAAAATTCAGAATATAACTTTGTTAACATGTAAAACAATTGGACGAGAGAGAATCAGATTTTAGGAGTGTTTTTTTGTTCGGTGTAAAAATCTTATATTAACTCGATTTATAATCTATCTGGCCTAACTCTTACATGATTGTCTTGTAGGTGCAACCTCCCTGTGCGCCCTTGTGGGGAAGTTAGTGCAAGGTTTGCATTCCCTACATTGTGTCCTCAATTTTCTTTGGCAACTATTTTTATTATTATATACTTCTGAATGTGCGCCTCTTTGCCAGTTTCATTCAACAATTGGCCATTTTTTTCATACTTCTTCCTCTGCTGTAGATGCATTTTGATTTCCCTTCACTCGTACTATTATTATTATTATTTATTCTTTCCATGCAGAGACAGAATTGGAAGAAAGTCTGACATATAGAAAACAGAAAGCAAAATTTCATTGATTTTTCTTTTAAAGGGGAGTATTTCAATGAGAGTGATTCGTCTCTGTATTGCAATTGATGAAGTGAAATAGATTTGCTTTTTCACTCTCTATGAAATACTCTGGTTTTATTTCTCAGTATCGAATTGAGTTGCAATGAATATTCACATTTCCAATAATAACAATAAATTATTATAGTTTTCATGTTGATTGCACGTGATATAGAAGAAAGCTAGAAATCATATTATTTCTGCCATTCATTTTTCATCTTCTTCTTCTGTTAAAAAATCCACTTAGGATAGGGAAAAAGAAATGATCATTGAATGTCTTCTTCTTCTTTGTCATGTGAGAAGAAGAAAAAAAACGTAAATGGGAAGCTTTTATTGAACTTGTGAAATGGATTTTTTATTTAATAACACATTTTTATTGAGGTTCTTTTGCTGCTCAATTCCAATCATTTTCCTCGTCATCATATATATACATCTCACACTCTTTTCATGTTTATTTTGAGTCCACAACACGCTACACAGTTTTGACACACGCAAGCATTAATGAATCCAAAAGAGAAGCAGGGAAAATCATCTTGTTGCATTATTTCCCTGTTCATTCGTTCTTTTTTTATATACTTGATTTAGTGACTCAATTTTCCTTACTTAATATACTTAAGATAGTTGACAAAACTCATCGCGATAGTTTGTGTTGTTGATGACAATTGAATTTTGGCCCAATTTGTTCATATTAAATGGTGTTTAATTGGATTTTTCAGGCGCCATTCACTTGGCCGGACCCATAGCAAAAGTGTCGAAGGGTCTGTGCAAACTCTCACTGTCTCACTGTGGATTAACGGCGAAGGGTGTTAATCAAGTTGCACACTCACTCTCCCTCAATCAGAGCATTTCCAATTCGCTGACCTATTTGGACTTGAGTGGAAACAATTTGAAAGATGACATTAACGTGAGTTGATGCAATTAAGAAGCAACATCACGCGTCAACTTAACATTTTCCACCCTTTTTCACTCACTGTTTTTTTTATTTCTATAGAATCTTTACAACTTTCTTGCTCAACCTAATGTGCTGGAACACTTGAACATTTCTGCCACGGACACCACGTTGGAAAATGTAAGGGGAAAGAGAGGCTCTCTGTGTGGAGGATGGAAAGTTTTAAATTAATCTCTCTCTCTCTCTCTTATCTTTGGCTGTGTAGCTATTTGGTGCCCTTTTGAGGGGTTGTGGAACCCACTTGGCGCACCTCAACGTATCGCATAATTCGTTCAACACGAAGAAAGGCAAGGAAATCCCACCGTCGTTTAAGCAGTTTTTTACAAGTTCACTGAGTTTGAAGCACATCAATATTTCCTACTGTAAACTCCCGATGGAGGCTCTCAAGTGAGTACTTTTCTTCTGGTTTTTGTAGACAAATTCTTGTATCCTTTCAAATTGGCACTTGTGTCATTTAACAAAAAGGGGGTCTTTTGAGGAGAAAATAGGGATTTTGCTGTGAAGAGTACTTAAGTGAATTGTCTTGAAAGCAAAACAATTACAAAAGAAGCATTTTACAATACATTGTAGCTACAGTTAGTTGGAGATTTAAAGAGAAAAAAAAAACACTCTCCACCTCGCGTATGTTGTCTAAAATTGTAATGAAATTTCCCTAATGAATTTCCCGTTTTGTCAAAATGATAAAAATACCATTTCCCTTGCGAAATGGTGGCGGAAAAGCGCGTGACAGGCGTTGTACAATGGAATAATGGTGAGTTGACTAATGACCTTTTGACTGCTTTCCCCCTGTCAGGCACCTCCTTCTGGGTTTGGCGTGCAATGAGTCCACAGCTGGCCTGTATTTAGACCTCAGTTGCAATCAATTGGGCTCGCAGGGTGCCCATGTACTCGAGTCATGTATCCATGGGGTTCGCGTGCTGCAGAGTCTGGACATCAGTGACAATAGTGAGTGTGCTCGCAATTGTTTCCCTGCCACGCAAAATACACATTTCACTCTCCTTCTCTTTTCTCTGCAGATCTTGATGCCGAACTGTCATCTGTTCTCACGGCAATTGGAAAGAATCCATCTATCAAGAGTCTCCACATGACGAGGAGTTTCACGGGAATGAAGGTGAAGCACATTGGATCTGTAATGGAGGCTCTTGTGGCGCTCGTGCAGAAGGATGACTTCCCATTGACGGAATTGGTGTTGTCGGAGAATAAGTTGCGCAATGATATTCACAATTTCATCAATGCTCTGGGCAGCAATCAGTCACTTCAGATGCTGGACATCAGTGGGAATCTCATGGGTGATATTGGGGCGCGTCTATTGGCAAAGGCATTGCAAATCAACAATAAGTTGCGAACAATTTCAATGGATCGCAATAATATTACACTTCAGGGCTATTCGGATATTGTTTATGCACTTGAGAATAACTACAGCATGAAGACAATTCCCTTTCCGGTGTTTGATATGGCGCCATGTCTCAAGAATCACCCGGAGAAGACGGACAGCGTGATGAGGAGGATGCAAGAGTTGCTGCAGAGAAATGGGAATGGCTTGAAGAGGAGCAATGGACAAGGATTTAGGCTTCAGCATGGATTCTTGCTGTCATCAACACATCAACTTATCGACAAATTGGTGTCTGAGACACAAGAAACAATGTCTCTGAGACAGAATTCAAATGACACAGGAGTTCAGAGATTGCTAGATGATGCTGAGAATTCGAAGCAACTTCTGCCGAAGCTTCAAGAAGCAGTGAGATGTGAAATGCATCCAATTGAGGTGAAACTTGGACGAATGGCGAGTGACTTGAGCTATGTTATTCAAGCTTATCTAGAGGTGAGACTCTCTCATATAATTTATCATGTTAATGCCGATTTATCAAAAAATTTTGACGCCTTTTCATGGAAAATAATGATAGGAAACGATGGAGACAATGCTGCGCACGGGGGTTGACCAGTGTCCGAAATCGCTGGGAAATCAGAATGTTATCAACGAACTGAGGAAGAACTGCCTGGAGAGACTCAATGTGTCTGAGGAATTTCTCACAAGTTGCATCGTAAATAGTGCTGGAAGTGAAATTATGAATAAAATCAGGTGAGTTTTGATATTCTTGGTGGGTGGCTTTGTGATTGAGAGAGAGAAAAAAGTGCCTTAAACGGCTTTTATTTTGTGCTGAAGTGACGAAAAAGTCTTCATTCTGTCTGTGTGTGTGTTTGTGGGTTATTTTTCCGTGTAAGAAAAACACACGGGAAGGTGATAAAAAACACTATCTTACACAATGATAACTACTACAGCACAAGGTTTGGCACTGAGTGTGTGATTTTTTGTGGGGTTAAGAAATATAGTGAGTGTGGATTGCAAACCATGGGCTGTGGCTGTTTCTCGTGGTGCTGCTGTTGCAAGAGGGAAAAATCCAGGAGAGCCGCAGGCTATGATGAAATCCCATTGAGAGCAGATATTGAGCTACAACATATCAAGTCTCAGAATCCCTTCAAAGTGTCTCGTGATCAGTGAAAAATCACCCACAATTTCTGTCTTTTCTTATTTTTTTGCAGTGAAGTGGAACAAGCGCTGGCCGGAGTGATTGCAGATCGTGCCACAGATGAGGTTGTTGAAGCTCTGACGAGATACAGAAGAGGACTTGGCATTGCCGATTCACCACACTTGACCTATGATGATCTCAACACGCCAGATGTGCTCAGGAGTAGATCAAATCAGGTATAATTCTCTTATCTCTTGTGTGCACTTCTCAAAGGCAGCTTTTGGGCGGTCGCTGTGATGATATTCAAGTTAATTAGCGATGTTGGTGTATAAAATCAAAAGTGACTCACAGTTATTCTCAGCATTTCTGGTCAGAAACCGACGCGATTCTCAGAAAAACAATCAAATAATGGAATTTATTGAATGGTTCAGAAGAATTTGTAGCTGAATTTGTAGATTTAAACGATGTTTTGAAGAACTTTTCTATAAGTTTACAGATTTTTTGACTGTTTGAATGTTTTTTTCTTCTTGCCACTGTTATAAATTGCCTAAAATCAACTGTTGCAAAGTGAATACTTTGTTGGAAGTAATTTGAAAAACAGAAGAATTGTGGAAGACAAGAAGGAATGAGGTTAAAGTTAATTTGCCTCCATGGAAAGCCATGTATTTCAATTAACTTGATTTATTCTCAAGAGGAAACCGTCTCAATGAAAACTCCCCAGTGTCAAATTAATGACTATTTCCCTTTTCTATCGAGAATCTTCACTGCTTAAGCAGCTCACTGTGTATTTTTCTTTCGCATCGAACTCAATTTTCTCTCTCAGTCGGTATTAATGTTATCAATTGGGTGGATAGGAAAAATATGCGTGCGATAAAATTGATGGTATCTCTTGTGTGAACGTTTATCACACTTGATCCTCTTAATTGTACACTTCCCTTTCGGCTGACTAAGACACACTCTTTCTCTCTTTGCTTTGCAGAACTTCAAAGACTCAATGGGTCTCATGTCGCTGGAGACTCATGGATTGGATCTGCCGAAGTTGGGTCTCGATTCACCCACTGTGAGTATTATCTTCATTGTTTAATCTTATTAAATCATTTGCATTTAACAGTGAGAGATGGAGCGCTGTTTTTTCGATGGGCTTTCTTTCTCTAATTCATTGCAATTGATGGGATGCTTCAGTGGGCATTTCACAGTGTCATTTAGTGGACACAATGGACACATTTTGGGAGTGAGACAGAGAGAAATTTGCATTTTTAACCAATTTCCAGGGTTGGGAGAGATCATGTTTCTGCTTCTTCGCAGAGCTTTGTGACTCATAATAAGTTGATGTAAATATTTTTGTGTGTGGTTTTTTTTTTTCCTTGTCACATCATTTAATACAATCACTGGTGTATTTATTGTGTTTGACGAGGAAGTGAAGGGAAGAATGGAAGAAAGATTGACGCATCAAAATGTGACGAGAGAGAGAGAGACAAAAGAGTGAAAAATTTCATAACACTTCACTTATGGTTCTTCTGGGAAATTAAGGAGGAAATTGAAGGGATATTTTATATTATATATGGGTGGCAAATAGTTACTACAAATGTTGATATTATATCAAAATAATTCATATACACAACACTTCATAATGCCGTTTATATTGACACACGACTAATTAATCCATTTGTGTTTGTTTATTGTTTCGTTCGCAACATCATCGGCACCCATAAAATTCCACTCTTATATATATATAAAATATATCACGACATTTCACAATACAAAAAGAAATTGGAGTATTTGAATCTCGTAAGTAAAATATCATATTTTATGTACAAAATGTTGTTGTTTGATTGTGCTTTTCTTCATTAACATTGAAAATAGAAATATTTTGGTGTGTTTTTGCAGGAGAAAAATTGTTAATTAATTCTCAAATCAAGCTTAATTTTACTCTTAAAGGACAAAATCATGTTTCCAACGATTAATTTCACTGCAAAAACACATCGAAGAGGTGTGAAAGTCATATTTCTGTAAATATCTGCTTCTACTAATTTAATATAGTGCCTTCTTTCCTTTCTTTTTCCCTCCTTTTACACCCAATTGACACGTGGAAATTATGATCAATTTAGAATATATACTTGGAGAAATTTTCCACATTTCTCTTCTTGTGATGACTATCATTTTATGATGATTGCTCGTGTTTTTTTTCTGCTCAGTTGTTCCTTTTGACCTTCCCAGATGGAGAGTGAAAGATAGGAATGGTTTTAACATGCAAATCTGTGTTTGATGATAAAATTATAGGCAACGCCCCATTTGACGTCCAAACGACGCTCAATTGCCAAGAAGGTGCGCCCGCAGTCGGTGGTGGGCTTGGGCATTGAGAACCTCAGCTTGGGTCACATTCCGGACTTGCTGGAGTCGCCGGTGTCCCATCGGAGTGGCGTGCACGAGAAGGTGGATGAGAATTGTGACTCGATCACGGAGTTGCCAAGCACGTCGCATCAGTTGCAGCATTTGGTGAAGGGGCGGCCGAAGAGGGCGAAGACGAGGGCGCCCACGCGACCGCTGCTGCAGGAGCACACAGTTCATGGCGATGGTCTGGATCAGTTCTTCCGCCCTGGCTCAGTCACACCCACCACAATCACCCCACTGGTCAGTCCCACGTCCGAGGAGTGCAGCTCGCTGAGCTTCGTGGACAGTCCCACGATGAGTCGCGACGAGAATGGGAAGCTGTCGAACATGACGTCGGGCGAGACGACGCCCATTCTCGAGGAGCGACGCCCGGTGAAGCTGGAGAGGAGTTCACCGCTGATGAAGGGTGTCGTGTGGACGCCCAGATCGCGCTCCACGGACAATCTGGAGAAGTGTTCACCGGTGATTGGGCGCAAGTCGCCACTGGTGAAGATGAACACCGACGCCAGTCCGACGACAGTGGCGGTGAATCATGAGACTGAGGAAAGACTGATCCCGCCTGTGAATCACGATGCGGGCAAACTCAGATCGCCCAGCAGTGAGTCGATCAAGAGTCACGTGGCGGATCTGAAGCCGGGCAATGGAATTGTCAAGACGCCTCTGATCAGTCCCAAGCCCAGGCCCTGGTCAGTGGCGGGAAATGAGGCGAAGTCCGACTATGGCAGCGGCAGCGATTCCACAAAAACCACTCCAGATGGCATAGACAATGGTGAGTGGAGTTAATTGATCAAGCTATCAATCAAGATAGAAAGCGAAGCTTTGGAAATTGTGCGTAATTAAAGAATTGTTTAAGTGGGCGGGGCTTTCAATTGGGCGGAGTCTAGCGTTCAAGTGCTGAATTCTCTTCTCTTTGGGCAGATGTGGACGTGGTTCCGATTGCTGGACAGGCTCCTGGTGGCTCAATTGTGGGAATCAGCCCGGGAATTGCTCTGGGCAGTGGCGGTGGCAGCATTGTGGGCATCACACCGGGAGCAGCGCTGGAGAGGAAGTCAGTTCGGGACATGGCGGCTGGATTGAATCGTCTTGGAGGTAAAGAAAAAATAGTCTCATCTTCACCATCTTGTATTTTGATTTCTTTATCACGACGCTTTTATATCCTTTCACTTTTGATTTTGAGCATCTGCGTGTGTCTCTTTCTCTCTCTTTTTTTTCTCTTTAGTTATTGACCCAAGTAAAAAGCCCATCCCCGTGCCCAGACATTCCCAAACCATCAGCAATAATAACAATAGCAGTAGTGTTAATATGAATGCAACGAATGCTGTGAATGTAGTGGAAAGTCCTCCTAGTCCTCCAGTGGATGCCGCCAAACCCGAACCCGTCCGCAAAATTGCTGGCAAACACATTTCCACCCTATTTGAGGTTTGATTTTGGATTTTTTTTTTTATTTCTTTGTGTTTCATTGAATTTTCTCAGCACATTTTGCAAGCAATTTAGTTTCTTTCTCTCTCTCTTTGGATTTGTGGAGAAAATCTTTGCTTATGGCATATTTTGTGAAGATGGATGGAATTAATGCGTTTCTGTTTCTCTTGCAGGAGACGTTAGTTGAAGGACTACAGAAATCCTACCTCCGCCAAACAGTCTACAAGGAGACGCAATACACCAAGGATGATTCAGTCGACGTCTAGAGTTTAGCATTTTTTACAAGCGACAATTTCTCTTTGTTCTTTCTTTTTTTTTAAAGTGTCTCTCAAGTTTTCTTTCCATCACGACCGAATCGTGTTTGAAATTTGTATGGAGGAGAAAAAAAGAAGAAGAGGAGATTTTATTGATGATTTTTCTTGTAAATACGAACAATTCGACCTTTTAACCCATTATTCGGACATTAATATTCAATTAATCGGACAAAAGTTGTGGTACACGTTTAATATATTTAATGAAAAAGCAGGGAGAAATTTAATCCGAAAGAATAGCAATTGGAAATGATGATTATTTCAGGACTGATGATTCGTCTTAAAGTATTAGAAAATCTTCCAGAAATTCAACTGTATTGAAGTCTTTTTTTCGGTTTTTATTGGCTTTTGGAAGGAAGAAGAAAAAGAAGATGATGAAAAAACGGTGCCAATTTTATCGTGCAAGTGAAAGAGAGCTGAGAGGGGCAAGATTTTTGCTCTTGAGATTAATTTTCAATTGAAAGTGGAGGCGGAGATAAGGAAAAAAAGAAAAGAGATGGATTTCTCGAGAGGAGAGAAAAAACATCCATTGTGAAAAATTATAACTTATACCCTAGTCTATTTGGAAAGTTTTCAATTTCAAACATATTTTCATATATAGAAAGGATTAAACGAGAAGAATCTATTAATCACAGTTCATATACAACACATAATTATATTTAAAAGAAGAAGAAAAAGAGGAGAGAAAAGAAAAGAGAGAGAAGAAAATGTGAAATAGTGTTTTAGCGAGAAGAGAATAGGATTAGAGTTGAAAACGGTCTTAAAGCAAAGAAGAAGAAAAAAAAGTATAATTCATTCGTAGTTTTTTGGAAAAATAATTCATTGAACGAGACAAACCCACGGAAAAAAACATAGTAATACAATATATTGTAGGTGTTTCAAGAAAAAAACCTTTTAGAGGTTTTTTTCCTTTCACTCTCTGTGAAGCATTTTCTCCCGGAGAAGAAATGAAAAGAAAAAAGATGATTTTCTTTCTGGACCATTTTGAAGGCATTTTTCTCACAACACTTGGCGACACACTTTATCCCGCAAAATGACACACATTCCAAATGTTACTTTTGAGATAGAAAAATTAATGATACTTTTGAGAGCCAGAACTGCCATGAAGGCCACAAAGGTGGATTTCTTTTTCCGAGACATTTTTCTGTTGTACATTTTATCGAGAGCGATGGCGAGAGGCATTTTCTGTCCTGTGATTTCTGTTGACTTTTTTTTTTTGTGTAACACTATAACAAAATCTTGCGTTTTTCTATCCAATTTTCTCGAGATGTGGAAACATAACTTGTAGCGGGAAAGTAATAATCTAAGAAATATAGTGTTCGATATGACGATTGTCTTTTCTATTCCCAGAGGAAAATGGCACAAAAGTCCCCGGAATCAGTCAATCGCAATAAATTATTCTTTAAATGGTATTTACACAGTAATTCCTTAACTGAAATGTCTTTGATCCATTGCTAACTCCCTTCCGGTGGCTTCAATCCAGTTCGCCCGGCGCTACTCCTTCACGAGTGTCTCGTAGTGCAAGCCCGTGTAGAAGATGATCCAGGTGACCAGGAAGCAGGCGAAGGAGGTCATGAAGCCCTCCTTCAGCAGTTCCCACACGCCGCCGTACGCCTCCTCGTCCACACCCTGGAAATTTATGCAGTAAAGGTACACGATACCGCAGTTTATTGCCACAAATCTGGAAAAGGAGGAATGAAAAGTCATCTTCCGGCTATTGAAATGCAGCCACAAATGCAACTCACAGAAACAGAGCAATGAATCCCTTCAGCGGTACAATTCCCCATGCAACACCTATCAGGATGCCCAGCAGCTGTCTCGCCCAGTAGACGACATCCAGAAACTCGTCCTGCAAGTGAAATTTCCCGGGAAATTAGCGATTTTCCCAGAATCGGGCTGGCGTAGTTGAGGTTATGGCACCTTGTCTACCCATTCACTCTTCGTGAACGCCTTCGCCCATATGGTGGGACCATCGCGAGCACGAGTACTGCTACTCTTCTCGATAGTGCTGGTTTTAGTGGACATTCTTGGCCGAAAGGGTGCGGAAAAACGAGAAAATTAGAGAAAACACGGCACTACAAAATTTCAACAATAAAGGGTTGCCACATCACGCGAACAGCAGCGACGCTCTGCGGAACTTCGACGCGATAAGTCGAAATATCCGTGACGTCATGAATCAGTTGGATTCAAAGTGTGGTTAGGAGTTCTTCTTGGCGTTCATAGCGCAAAACGTTTGGTGTTTTCATCCATTTCCAGCGACTTTAGTGCGAATAAATCGTGGAAAAGCATGTGCGACGAGGGAGAAAGTTCTGGTGCCCAGAGCGAAGTGAAATTCAAGTCCAGAGGAAAAAGATGCTTGCGACAGAGGAGAGAATCTTCCGGTTCCAACTCCAGCAATGAAGGAAGTGGAGAAGATCTGAAGTAAGAATTGACATACTTACATACATACATTGAGACATACTCAAATAAGCCGGAAGTAACTGATTGTGTGTTTCAGCTGCAAGCTTGAGGAGATGAAGGAGCGACAGCGGCTGCGGAGTCGCCCTCATGGCGTGAGTCTTGTAGGATTGGCGATTGGAAAGAAGACATCGATGGAGGAGGATTTAACAGTGGTAAGAAGTGTCCGGGAGCCTCAATTCCTCACTTAACATTCTCTTTGGACTTCCAGAAAGACCCTTTCAATGTCAAGACCGGCGGAATGGTGAACATGAAGGCGCTGAAGGCGGGCAAAGTGAAGACTGTGGATGACGCTTATGACACGGGAATTGGAACGCAATTCTCAGCGGAGACTAACAAGAGGGACGAAGACGAAGAGATGATGAAGTATATTGAGGATCAATTGAAGAAGAGAAAGGGCCAGAGAGAAGAAGAGCAGGATGAATTGCTCGACAGTTCTGGGAAGTATTTGAGTCCAGAGGAGGCGGCTTTGATGGCGCTTCCGGATCATCTGCGTCACGGTTCTTCCCAGAGATCAGAGGAGATGCTGTCAAATCAGATGCTGAGTGGCATTCCGGAGGTGGATTTGGGCATTGAGGCGAAGATAAAGAACATTGAGGCCACTGAAGAGGCCAAGCAGAAACTCTTGCTGGCCCAGAAGAACAAGAAAGAAGGTCCATCGCAGTTCGTGCCCACGAATATGGCTGTAAACTTTGTGCAGCACAACAGATGTAAGTCCTTATCGGTGGTTTTGTGTGATTTTGACCCTGACTTCGTGGCGTTCTATTGCAGTTAACATAGAGGACGATTCCAGGAAGAGAAAGCACAGGGAGCATAAGAATGAGGAGGGACAGAGAGACAAGCCAAACCAGAAGAAGGCAACTGATGATTACCACTATGATAAGTTTAAGAAGCAATTCCGGAGATACTGACCTCCGGCCAAAGATAAGGATAAAGAGTAGTTTTAACATCAAAGAGAGGAGAGAAAGGTGAGTTTTATTTATCTCAAATTGGTATAAATATTATACAATTTATTTCTATTTTCAGACAGACGATTTTTTATTTATCAATGAAAACTGAGACGATACGGCAAAGCAGACGATTTGGGGGTGGAATCTGGATGATAAGTTGTTCTATAAAAGCAGCCGCATTTTGTGAACTGAGCATCAGTTTTGTGTAAATACTGTAAATAGTAGTTAAAGTGAAAAAGCCCACAGCAGAAGGATTATCAGTGAAACTCTTAGGATATGTGCAAGTGAAGTGTTGAAGGAGGAGCTTCGAAATGCTCAGAATCAAATTGATTTGTGAGATTTTACTAGTTTTAGTCATTCTGGAGATCAATGCTGTTCCTTACGACAGCCAGTGAGTTGTTAGTCGAGGAGAAGTGGGTGAAAAGTTGAGTGAATCCACCCCTTTTGGGCATTTCAGGCCAAAATTCATCACTGAAGATGGGAATTTGTGCATCTCCTCGGCTGTGGACAGGAATATCACGTTGGATTTGAAGGGAAGAGGACGATTTCTTGTCAACAATCTCGATATCCTGCAGATCATTCAACGCAACTTCACGATCAGCGATGGAGATCGCATTCCTCAGGACTCAATGTCCACGACGAGGCTTCTGAATCGCGTCAACATCCTGTACAATGACGTCAGGGGTCCCAGGAGGGGAATTCTACAGAGATTGAGTCGCCTGGAGAATGGGTAAGTGGAGAATCCGCCCTTTTTCCGCCCGTGCAGCCAGATAATTCGATTACAAATCCGCCTCATTTGCCAGCTCGAGATCTGGCGCGAGTGGCTTTCAGCCGCGGAACCTTCGATTGAGAGTCTTGGCGCTGGAGACGAAGATGGACTCGCTGATGACGAAACTGGCGGAGGACGACTGTCGAAGCAATCCGTGCAACAACGGTGGCACTTGCGTGGACATGTTCGATGGCTTCCTGTGTCACTGCACGCCGCAGTATCAGGGCAAGACGTGCGTGCACGATGTGAATGAGTGTGAGAACTTCGACGGCACGGATTTGGGCTGCCAGAATGGAGCCACGTGCATGAACACGTACGGAAGCTACTATTGTCACTGCGCTGCGGGATTCCAGGGCGTGCATTGCACGAAGAGAGACTCCAACTGCCAATCGGCGTCCTCGCGGGAGCTCTGCGATCATGGCGTGTGCGTGCCCTCGGGCGATCCCACGGGCTACAGATGCATCTGCGACCAGGGATGGATAACGAACAATGTCACCGTAGTGTGCAGCACAGATGTGGACGAGTGTCGCAGTTCGGTGTCGCATTGCTCTCGAGATCCTCCGGTGCAGTGCATCAACACACCGGGATCGTACACTTGTGGCCCGTGTCCGGTGGGCTATTCGGGCAGTGGACACTACTGTGTGGACGTGGATGAGTGCCAGGTGAACAATGGCGGATGCAGCATCAATCCACACGTGCCGTGCATCAACACCAGAGGCTCTTTCACGTGCGGAAGCTGTCCTCTGGGCTTCAGTGGTGACGGGAGGAGTTGCATTCAGGCAGGATCTGGCGGCATTTGCCAGTCTTCACCTCACGTGTGCCATCCGGAAGCGGTGTGTGAAGATGTGGGACAGTCAATCATGTGTCGGTGCAAGCCTGGCTTCTCGGGAGATGGATTTGGACCGCACGGATGTGTTCGGGACTTAAGCACCTTTTGCAGCGTGAATCCCTGTCTCAATGGAGGATCTTGCAGAGTCAATGCCACATCTTTCGTGTGCATCTGTCCAGTGGGAACGTTGGGACCACGGTGTGAGGATTCTATGGCTGATCCGTGCTCTCTTCAGCCCTGTGCAAATGGTGGAACGTGCGTGAATAGAGCGAATGGCAGAGGATTCGTGTGCAACTGCACGCAATCGTACACAGGCACGCTGTGTCAGGCGGAAAGACGCTCCTGCGGTGGAACGTTGACTGGAGACAGAGGTGTCCTGAAGTATCCTGAGGACGGAAGCAGAACGTACAATCACAACTCCCGATGCGCCTGGCTAATCCGCGTGAACTCCACCAAGATCCTCAATGTGACATTCACAAAGTTTGAGCTTGAGAACTCCTTCGAATGTCGCTACGATTGGCTCCAGATTCACGATGGAAGATCATCTGCTTATCACATGATAGGCAGATTCTGCGGCAACAACATTCGTCCTGGACACTGGATGACATCCACCCACAATACTCTGTATTTGTGGTTCAGAAGTGACAGCAGTCAGAGTCGTGATGGCTTTGAGATCACCTGGGAAGCCATTGATCCTGTTTGTGGCGGACTTATTGACACAACATCCTTCGGGGTGATCAAATCTCCCGGATCACCGGGAACATATCCGCCGAACAGAGACTGTCAGTGGCTAATACGCGCTCCGGCGGGGAAGAGACTCCAATTTCACTTCTTCGTGATGCAAATGGAGTCTCATGAGAACTGCGAATATGATTACTTGGCCGTTTACAATGGTCCATCATTGGATTCGCCGTTGCTGGAGAAGTTCTGCAACACTTCGCATCCGCCGCCACTCACTTCACCCTCAAATGAAATCACAATGTTCTTCCACTCTGACGAGGACTCAACGGACAATGGATTCCAGATTCACTACTCAGTGGTGGAGGGTTTTCCGGGCTGTGGAGGTGTTTTCACAGCATACTCAGGAGAGTTTGGATCACCAGTTGAGGATGAAAAGTATCCGCACAATCTGTTGTGTGAATATTCCATCAAGTATCCGAAGGGAAGCAAAATCAGACTCACTTTCAAGAGCTTCCAATTGGAAGTTGCCGAAGAGTGTCGTTTCGACAGTTTGGAGTTGTTTGAGATTGCTGCTGATGGAACCCGTGAGTTGGTGAAGAAGTTCTGTGGTGACACACTTCCGAAGCCGTACAAGTCAATGGGGAACGAATTGCTGCTGGTCTTCAACACTGACTGGTCACAGTCGTTCGGAGGCTTCAGGATTGGCTATCAGATTGACTGTGGAGGAACTTTTGAAGCGGAAAGTGGAATCATCACGTCTCCTATGTATCCACAGCCATATCACGACTCCAGAGTGTGTGAATACATCATCCAGGCGCCGATTGGGAAGGTTGTCGCTCTGCAGTTCCTGGATTTTGACCTGGAAGAGAATTCCTATCCGGATTGCTATTACGACTACGTGGAGGTGAGTAATTCTTAGCTTCAGTGCAATAAACAGTTTGTAATACTCTTCTTTTCTAGATTTCTGATGGCGTTCCTTCGAGCAACAGCACCAAAATCGGTCGATACTGTGGAAATATGTCTCCACCGACTATTGTGTCCACTTATAATGCTCTCTTCCTCACACTGGAGACAGACAGTTCCATTTCTGGTCGAGGATTCAAGGCGAATTACACCTTTATCGATGTTCAATGTGGCGGAATAGTGACAACATCGGGAACTGTAATAAGATCTCCAGAATCAACAGAGAGTTCAACTTCATACGCAGAATCTGTGAACTGTCGATGGTTGATTTCCGCTCCTGCTGGTCATAATGTGCAGATCACGTGGATTAACTTCCAAATTGAGTCTGAGGATAGTTGTGCCTATGATTATGTGCAGTTCTTCGACAACAGCACTCATCCGGCGAGATCTGTGGGGAAATTCTGTGGCAGCAGAACACCTCCGGTGATCAACAGTGTGGAGACGATGATGACTGTGGTCTTTGTCACTGATGAGTCAGTGAATGAGGGCAGTTTCAGCTTCATGGTGACTTTCGTGGACATGTCGAAGAGCTGCGGTGGGAATTTCTACATGAGCTTCGGCTACATAAGATCGCCGGGCTATCCTGAGCCATACATGAATGACAGGCAGTGCGAGTGGGTGATTTCGGTGGAGAATGGTGCGCAGATTGAGCTGAAAGCCAATTCTTTTGACCTGGAGGAGCATCATGAGTGTGAATTTGACTATGTGGAAGTGAGAAATGGCGGAAGAGCAGATTCACCGCTGGTGGGAATATACTGTGGCAAGAAATTTCCATCGACAATACGTTCGTTCAGCAATCAGGTGTATGTGAAGTTCGTCTCGGACTCGAGTAGACCAGAAAGTGGCTTTGAACTCGAGTGGGATGGCACAATTACTGGCTGTGGAGGAACTTTGACGGCTCCCAGAGGATCTATTGTCTCGCCAAACTATCCTGAGCCTTATGCTGAGAATGCTCAGTGCATCTGGAAGATCACAGTGAGTGCTGGATCTGTGGTGCAGATCATTTTCAGTGATTTGGACCTTGAGAGGAGTCAAGATTGCGTTTATGACTACTTGGAGGTGTTTGATGGACGAGATGCCTCCAGTGTGTCGCTGGGGAGATTCTGCTCAGCCGAAGATCATCCACTTCATCTGCAGACAAGCAGCAATTTCGCCATGATTCGCATGCGAACTGACTATTCGGCACAAGGACGTGGCTTCAATTTGCGCTACAACACGAACTGCAATAGGGAAATTGAGAGTGTGGAGGAGACCATCATTGAGTCACCGAATTTCCCCAACGCCTATCCACATTCCCTGAATTGCTTGTGGACAATCCGAGTGCCGCTGGGCAATCGAATCTCCATTACGTTTCTGCACTTTGACTTGGAGAATGGTGACACGTCAGAAGACGAAGCATCGTGCAAATTTGACTACTTGATGATCGAAGAGAAGGTCAATTCTGTTGAGGTGGTGAAGAAGACGAAACACTGCGACAAGGCTCCAGAGCACTTCATCTCCGCCGGTGAGGTGGTTGAGGTGAGCTTTGTCACGGACATCAGCATCAGTCACACTGGATTCCGGTTGGAGTTTCACATTGAGGGATGCGGAGGATTTCTGCGCAATCCCACAGGGAGTATCAGTTCACCCAACTATCCTGGCTTGTATCCTCATCATGTGCACTGTTATTGGCTCATCTTGGCGCCATTTGGACACTCAATCGAACTGACAATATCAGATTTTCACCTGGAAGCGGCAGATCAGTGCTCTTATGATGGGCTTCGAGTGAGTTTTTCTTGTCATTCCTTGATTTTTCCTACTGTATTTCTTCTGTTGCTTCTTACAGATTTTCAATAGTGACAACATGACAATTACCACACTTTGTCATGTTCAGACAAAGCCAACAACTTACACCTCAAATGGTGCCATTATGAATCTGTACTTCTACACAGACATGTCAATTGCGGGAAAAGGCTTCAATTCATCATACAAGTTCATTCCTCAGAAGTGCGGCGGCACTTTGTCAACACAGGGCAATATATACTCTCCCAACTATCCCAATAACTATGACAAAGCGAGTTCATGCGAGTGGCTTTTGCAGACCGATGAGACTCACGTGCTGGAGATAAATTGGCTGGACTTTGACTTGGAATCGAGCTCAAACTGCCAACATGATAGTGTAAGGCTCTACTCTGGACCTACTATGGATCCTAAACACCTGACCATGACTTGGTGTGGATCAGAGCGTCCGAATAAGACACAGCAAATTCTGGCCACCAATCAGGCTCTGCTGATCTTCCGATCAGATTCTTCAGTTGAGGCAAAGGGTTTCCATCTCAACTTCACGTCGGCGTGCGGATCGCGCATTGTCACCAATGGCAGTGGCGAGTTGGTGAAGACTTATGGGATGTACGATCGTGTGGGCAATTGCACGTGGACGATCATCTCGGATGATCCAGTTGGCAAGCTGACTTTGACTATAAGTGAGCTGGACTTCTTCAAGTTCGACGTTGAGAATCGAACTCAGTCAATATTGGAAGTGTTTGACGGAGATTCAACAAATGCCACTCTTCTTGGGTCATACAATGATGCGCCGCCGACGCTGTACAGTTCTGGAAATGCAATCACGCTGAGAATGAACTCAGAACCGAATCACGAACTCATTATTTCAGGCTTCAAACTATTCTATTCAGTCTTTGAGAATTGTAAGTTGTTTGAACTTTAAAGACTTTAGACTTTAATAAATTGTTCTTTCTGTCTCATTTTCAGTTTGTGGAGGTGATTTGAAGGCCGAAAGTGGACAATTTGCCTCGCCAATGTATCCCAAACCGTATCCAGCGAACATTGAATGCATCTGGAACATTGAAGCGTCGCCGGGAAATAAAATCCTCGTGGAGTTTTCTGAATTCATCCTGGCAGATTCACCGACGTGCAGCGAAGAGTATGTGGAGATTAGAGAGAAGAATGGCGGCGGGAAGCTGTTGGGAGTGTTTTGTGGCTCCAATCAGCCCACGAATCTCACTGCAAGTGAATCATTGTGGATTAAGTTCCGCAGTGGAAGTGATGTCATCAATGAGATGAGGAAGTTTTACGCATCATTCGCTTATCAGAGACTCGTGGAGATTACAGATAAGGATGAAGGATTTGTCACGTCACCTTTATTCCCATCCTCGATTTATAGATCGATTGACTACAAGTGGAGGATCACTGTTGACTTTGGCAGTGTGATTAGTGTGTCTGTGAAGGATGTTTACATCCTGGGCGATTGTTATTTGTACGTGCAGATTTACGATGGCTTCAATGAGGACGCTCCAGAGCTGGGTGAGAAGATTTGTGGTGTGGAGCCACAGGAATCCGTGACAAGTTCATCCAATGTGATCTTCATCCATTCCAATCTCTACTATCCAAGTCTTTTAGGATCACACTTCCGCATCCAGTGGAAGAAGGTGCCACGTGTGCTGAGAACTTTTCCTGAACTGGAGGCTTCAGTGTGTGGCATGGAGAGTCTTGTTCTGACGAAGAATCACACCAATGTCAATATAACATCACCTGGATTTCCTTCTGGCTACGATGCTAATCTCAATTGCACCTGGATTGTCTCGTCGGACGATCCGGCCTATCATCCGGTGTTTGTGGTGAATTATCTAGATCTGGAGGACACGGATAGTTGTCTGACGGATCGATTGGTGCTGTCTCAGAGCAGAGATTTGATTGTTTGGAAGCAATTGGCGCAGATATGCAACATTGACTATCGCAATCAGCAGACTTACTATGGGAATCCCTATTTGAAAATTGAATTCCTGACTGATTGGGGCATGAACAAGACAGGATTCCGAGGGCTTCTCGTTGAGGACTGCGGCGGATACATGACAGATGCCACGGGAAAGGTTTCTGCTGGTGTTCAAATGCTCACCGAACGCTATGTCAGATTCCAAACGACGTGCGTCTGGGAGATTCATGTGCGTCAAGGCAGAACCATCAAGTTTGAATTCCAGGAGTACTATTTCCCGAAGAATAGAGAAAACAGCGTTTGTGACGGATTCATCATGTTCAAGAATGGTGGCAGTGAAGATTCTCCTCTGCTGGGCGAAGGAAAGTACTGCGGCGAAGGACAGAAGCCAGACATTCCAGAGACGATCAGCAATAGAGCGTATGTGAAGTTTGAATATGGCGGAAACTACCGAACACGCTTCCAGATGACTTACAGAGAGGTCAATCTTGCCTGTGGCGGCACTATTCATCTCACGGAGGATGTTAACAGCACAGTGATCACATCGCCAAACTATCCCAACATTCCGCATCCACACACGGAGTGTGTCTGGCTGATCTTCGCCCCCAATGGAGAGTCCATGAATGTTGACTTCGAGGAGAGATTTGACCTGACCAGGAGTCCAGGATGTGACAAGGAGTATGTGGAGTTGAGAAGTGGTGGAACGACAAACAGTGAGTTGCTTGGCAATTTCTGCAACACAATGCCACCCACAATTTCCACCCACTCAAACATATTGAGAGTGAAGTACTTCACGGATGTGACTGATCCTAAGAATGGATTCAAGGCTAAGGTGTCAATTGCCTCGTGTAGTGCGACATTAAGGCAGAATCAAGGAATACTCAGTTCACCGAAGTATCCGGGAAAAGGCGCTTATCCAGCGAATAGCGTCTGCACGTACAGAATTATAGGATCACCGCTGACATATCTCAACATCACCTTCGTGGACATAAATCTACCGCCGAAGGGAGACAATGACACCTGTGTGAGTGATCGAGTGTCTGTTTATGCTGTGATTCCTGGAGACAGTGAGGGAACACAGCAACAGCATCGAGGCACTTACTGTGGCTCAGAAATCCCAGAATCCTTCTTCATCGACAGCCACGAAGCTGTAATTGAGTTCACAACAACTGAGCATCAGGATCTCTACACGGGCTTCAGTATGCGCTTCAATGTGGGCAAAGAGACGTGTGGAGCGGAGATAAATGCAGAATCGGGCATTATAACGAGTCCTGGATATCCGACTGGAAGGCAGAATCGACGATTCTGCGAATGGTCGATCACTGTGCCAAAAGGCAGAAGAGTTAAGGTTGAACTGTTGGATCTTGATCTCATTCCAGCTTCGCACACTTACAGTCAACGCATTGGCTTCTACCACGATCATCGGTATCTCAGCAGAATTCGCTTCATCAAGGGTGAAGATCCGCTGCAGACTATTTACTCGAGTGGCAACAAAATGTTGGTCAATATGTGGGTCAGAGTTCCGAGTAATCATCGTGGCTTCAAGCTGGCATTTTCCTCAAATGAACCGACGGTGTGTCAAGGTGATCTGAATCTTCCGGAAGGTGACATTGAATCGCCGAAGAATCTCAGCACTTACTACTGCGAATACATCAGAGATGCCGGCTTCTTCTACCCTGAGGAACCCACCGTTGGGACGCTGGCGTTGAGAATCCAAGACGCCTTCATCGGTCGCTCAATCTCCTGCCGCTTAGCATCCACGAGGATTGCAGTGTCTTGGCTCAGTGGTCCTGATCTGGAGTCACCGTATCTGCAGTACCTTTGCGGCAATATTTCCGACACAACCGTGAGATCACCCTTCCCGGATACCAAATTGGAAGCCCGCCAAGGACTCTACTACGGACCAATATCATTTAGGCTGCACCACAAGATGCACAAGTGTGGCGGTATTATTAACAGAGCCTCTGAAATCACACAGCCCAGCTTCCCGGCGAACTACGGACGAGTGGATTGTGCCTGGCACATTCGACAATCCAGTGGATTTGCCATTCAACTGCAAATCATCAGGCTGGAGTTGAGTTCATCGTGTGATGATGAGTACATTAATGTCTACAATGGTGCCACACAGCTTAGTCCGCATCTAATGAAGATTTGCGGCAATTCTTTCGATGTGCGGCCAATAATGTCGGAAAATAACTTCCTCTTCATTGAGTACTTCTCAAGAGTGTACAATTCATCGGCGAAATTTACATTTAAAGTCAATCCCGCTGTCTCTGGATGCGGAGGAATCATTCACAAGTCCACGCAGGTTATCAAGAGTCCGGGCAATTCTTCATACTATCCCAACAATATCGAGTGCATCTGGGAATTCCGACCCGATGCGGGCTTCCATGTGGGTCTTGAGTTTATCGATAGATTCTACATTGAGGATTCTGTGAATTGTACCAAGGATTACATTGAGATCTTCGATTTGCGCAGTGGAGAGTGGCACAGTTTGGGACGCGTCTGTGGACGTGAAACTCCTCCGATCTTCAATGCAACGGAGTCAGAGCTGAAGTTGGTCTTCAGGACGGACGGAAGTGTGTCTGGTGATGGATTCTCCGTGAAATGGTATCAAAATTGTGGAGGACTTTATGAAGTTCGTGATAAAACACCCGAAATAATCTTCAGTCCAAATTATCCATCAAACTACGTGAGACTGCTCAACTGCAATTACACGTTCGTTGCGCCAACTGATAACTACATAATCCTGGATTTCCAGGACTTCCAACTGGAGGAATCCATTGGCAGATGCATCTTCGATAATGTGACTATTTACAAGGTTAGCGAGTGGAATCCGTCTCAGCCTTTCATGGAGCATGGAGTGTATTGTCGCGATAATTCGCCGGGAAAGGAGAGATACAAGAATAAGGTTTCAGTGGTCTTCCGCACGGACAAGTGGGTGGAGAGGAAGGGCTTCAAATTTACCTACTATTTGGACACTTGTGGCGGCGCAATCAACAATTCCACCTTAATCACCTCACCGGGCTTTGATACCATGACTTATCCTGGCGAAATAAACTGTGTGTGGAACATAACAGCGCCTGTTTCCAAGATCATCCTCATCAAGTTTGAGAAGATGGACATTGAGAGTGTCGATACGTGCTATGGAGATTACGTGAGTGTGTTCAAAGGACAAGAGATGAAGGACGAAAATAGGCTGGCGAAGTTGTGTGGAAATATAACAACTCCTCCTGCCATCAAGACAGACTCTTCTTCAGCAATTCTCAATTTCAAGTCGGATTTGTACAACAATATCGGAGGATTTTCCGCCGCGGTGCTCTTCATACCATCGTGTGATCGTCGAATAACACTGACCAAATCTTCACCCATTTACCACTTGGATGTGAGTGATTCTAACTACGAATATCTCCTGGATTGTCACTTTTACATTAAGGCTCCAGAAGATGACAATATTCGTCTTAAGTTTACACAATTTCACGTTGCTCCGTGTGACAATAACTCCACAAAGACCGACTGTTCGTGTGATTTTGTGGAGATTCGCGATGGTGTTGGACCTTTCTCGGAACTCGTGGGCAAATACTGTGGTCACGAACTTCCTCCAGACGTCCTCACGTCGCGACCTGCCATCTACATCCGCTTCGTGACAGACTCGAGAGTGAACAGCAGAGGTTTCACCGCTGAGATCAGCACAGTTGCGAATCCTTGTGGTGTTAGATATGTCAATATCTCCGATGGCGTTAGCAAATCCATCGAATCTGGACCTGCACCTTATAAGCCGAATATGAGATGTTCCATCATCGTTGAAACCACAATTTATGAGCAATTGCATCTGATCTTTGAGAAGTTTGACCTACAAGGACCGAATGCTGATGGAATATGCGCTTATGATCAACTTGAGATTGCCGATGAGGGTGTTCTGGAGTACAAGGATGTGGCTTTCGGTCAGGATTTGGTGTACAATGGTGTGGTGGGTGGACCAGTGGGCTTCTACATGGGCACAAGGCATCCCTTAGCTCATCACCACTACTGTGGCAATGGAACACCGGCGGATTATGTGTCGAGGACTCACAAGGTTCATCTCAATTTCAAGTCAGATGCTGAACATCAGGCAGCTGGTTTTACGATCTTAGCGGCTCCGATTAAGGGTGAGATAAGAAGAAAAGAATAATTTGTGAGTGTCTTTGACATTCTTTTCTGTTTTTTTAGGCTGTCACAGGAATTATACAGAAACCCAGGGAAGAATATTTGTCTCCCAGAGCAGAGATTGCGATTATCTTATTATTGTGCCTGAAAACTACACAATTTCACTCTACTTCCTCTCTATCACGTTCTACAATATGGATTGTGAGAAGAATGGGATAAAAGTAAGTGAATTGAGTAAAACACAAGGAGATTCTTCTAATAATATTATCTTCTTGCAGGTTTACGATGGAGACAATGAGAATCTGTTGGGATCTTACTGTGGTTACACTGTGCCTGATCCTGTCTTCTCGACCACGAACAAGCTTCGCCTGTCAGTTAAGGGGAACATGAAGGATTCCGGATACGTTTACGGTGGGAGTTATGATCTCACCTTCCTGGCCACGGACGCTGGTCGTGGCTGTGGAGGAGTTCTCTACAACTACGGCGGAACCTTCTCCAGTCCTCTCTATCCGCTGAACGAGAGGAACAACACGTCGTGCGAGTGGGATGTTCACGTGCCCAGCAATTTGCTGGTGGCGATGCGATTCAACGTCTTCGACATGGGCACGAAGGTGACTTGTCCGAGCAATTATGTGCAATTGATTGATGTAGATCCGGATGGGCAACAGACAGTACAGCGCCAGTACTGCGGAGATGACGTTCCAGCGGTGTACAAGAGTGGTTATAATCACGTTCGCGTGCGCTTCGTGAAGGATGTGAACTTTGCGGGCACTGGCTGGCTTCTGCAGTTCATGGCGGTGAACAGAGATGCTGAAATCTACAATTGGTAGTGAATGGATGTAGTTTCCTTATCAAACATAATCATAACAAATAATCGCTTCAGATAGAAATTATATTGCCTTCTTCTAAACAGTTTACACAATAGCTCTGATATTTCGTGATTTTTTTTCTCTCCTTACATCTAATTTTACTGCGCTCTTTCTCCTCAGTATAACAATTTGAAAGAATGAAAGAAAAAAAAACGTGAGATTCACTTGTGGGACAAATTATCGCATGAGGACACAAAGAGACATTGTACAATGAGTTTTGATTTATTCCTTTTCTTTTGATTGGGTTCGGGGGGCGCGGGAGAGAGGGTGAATTCGAGTGATTTCTCCGGGGTTTCCTTTTGTATGCTGAGCCCCATTTAGAGTCTCATTCCGCGGAATTTGTCAATGGCTTTGCACAGGCAGAAGGCGAGGAAGATGGCCAGGAGTTGAATGAGGCCAATTCCAATGCCCACGCCAATAATCAGGGTCTGATGTGACATTATCCACTCGAGGACGGTCTCGTAGCAACCCTTCCTGTAGAAGCTGTTGGACTCTGACGGTGAGTATGGGCAGTTGGGATCCCTCAGCTCCAGCATGGACTTGTCGGTGAGCACACAGCACGCCTCGGGAATGGTCCTGTTGCCCCGGTCACGCATCCAATTCTCCGACGAGCTGAAGTCTTTGTAGTCATTCACGCCGCAGCAAGACATCTGTGTGTGCGAAAGAGCAGATGGTCAATCACCCCCAATTAGACTAATTCGCTCCGCCAATTCCTTCCCACCTGAGCCATTATGTGATTCCACATGAGAGTCACGGCGTCCGTGTGCTCTTTCGTGGAGTAGTATCGCGTTATTGTTGACTGCAGGAAGGTCTTCGTCTCGGCCTTTGTGCGATCCTTATAGGCGGCCGCGATGCTTCCCACGGCAATCTCCGCCACGAGGATCAAGATCATCAGGGATGCGTACTGCAAAAGGGGGAAGGAAGAGAGAGCAATTAAATCAATTCACTCACTCTCTCTCTCTCTCTGAGAGCACTTCCTCTGCATAATGAGGCGAGAGACGATTTCATTATCATCAGCAAATGACCCGAAGAGTCTCCGATTTGCATATCAACTCAGGCGGTATTATTAATTTTTTGCCTCTCTGCACTTTAATTCTCTGTTGCAATTGAACATCGCCCACGTGGTATTTGCAATTATAACACACTTGCTCCACTCTCAATTGATTTATTGAGACTAATCTCGCAATCAACAATGGACAGACACACACTTACACACATCAGTGCGAGGAGTTTCTCTCCTCGTGATGGAGAATCAAAGGGCGATTTTGAAAATCATCTTCTATTCTCCTGTCTCTCCAATCCCTTAATTAATTACTTCCACCCACACGAATACTTCTTGCCCGACAGTCTTTTGCGCAATTGCGACTTCATTTTGCAAATTTATTCTTCACCGTCTGCGCACAGAAACAATCCCAAAGATTTTTTCGGCTATGCTCGCGACTCCGCGTGAGCAATTGCTCAATGTTGGATTGAAAATTTCCTCTGTTTGTAAATTGAATTAATTACATATATACGAAAAAATTCACGGGTTACTTGCCGAGAGGAGCGCACACAAAAAAATATTTCATCCATATAAAGTATTGCACAATATATTATTGAAATACAGAAGAAGAAGTATGAAAAAAAGATCGTGCAAAGTGGTGGAAATATTTACAAAATAGTGGTTGAGTGGAAATAAAAACTTTCACATTTTCCGCTTCCCCATGCACATTAATTAGAGTGCAAATTTATGGGTAATTTTTCGATGTCTGAGCAAAACCTTTACAATTGTAGGTCTGTTGAATTTGGTAGAAGAATGGAGAAAAAATAAAGCATGACTGACGCATAAGTAGCAAGGCCAATGTGAGATTTTTTCAAAAAAAAATACAAAACAAATTATCATTTTTTGGTATAACATTTGCGGAGAAATTAGAGAATATTTTACTATACTTTTGGTACATCGTTATCAATCTAAACATTGATGTTTACATCAAAACATGCCATTTGAAGAGCGCGATAAACAAATATTTATGCCAAGCCGCTAAATTTTTAGTTTCAGCTCTCACTTTTCCCAAGGGGAAAATAATATTGTGAGAAAATGTGTACAGATCAGTAGAAGTGCTTTAATTTATTGAATATTTGGCTTAGAACTTGGATTTTCTATTGATTATTTTACTTTCAGAAATTAATTTTGACATATTTTTCTAGGTTATGTCACTGATTAAAATCTCAATAACATCTTAAATTAGAAATTATTGCTCTTAAAGTGAAAGTATTTTTACTTTATTAGTAGAATTGTGTGTTTTTACTCAATGAAAATCGTGATTTTGGAAGCTGAAATATTAAGAAACAAACTAAAATGAAACAAAACCTTACTTTTCACTAAACAGTAGAGATGTAGAATTAAAAAGATTCTTTTCTATACCTTTGAAGGAATATTTAAAAATTAAGATTAAGAAAAATACGAAAAAGTTCAATTTTAGCGGAAGAAAATCTTAAAATATTGTATGGATACGTGAATTCTAATCTTTTCAGTTAGATTTGAATTAGTTTTTGGTTGATTTTCATGATAATAAAACTAAAGTTTGCACAATATCGCTGATTTTCAGCTCTTTCAATGTTCTTCGAGGAGTTCTGGCGAGTTTGAAGGATTTTTCATACGGTTTATGAATCGCATTGATTAGTGCAATTAAAAAAAGAAAATCATCTTCAAATCAAATATTGTGTAAAATTTCCATAGGACAGTTGGAAAATTAGAGTTACAAAATTCGCTGTTAGATTTCAGTTGATTTTCCATACAAATTGTGAAAGTGTCAGGAAGTGGTGTACAAATTTTAGCCACATTATCTTCCCCTTGACTTTTGCAACACAATATTTGCTTGATACAATTTTTGTGATTAGACCTCCGTGACTTTTTCCTACTTGTCAATGATCACAATTGAATGGAAGAGTATAATTTAGAGACAGTGTTTGAATTCAATTGATGAATTCACTTGTGCTTTTTTCAATGCGTCCTCTGAGAAGTCACACACTTCCGCTGCTCTCGCCCGAGAGTGATCGACGTCTTTTTGTCCATATGCAAGTGATTGGAAAGTTTAAAGTGAAAAAGCACGGGTAAATCGTGCATTTTAGATCACTTTGTCTCGCCCAGCATTTGACGAGAAAGTGATTTTTCAGTTATTTAAGCCTTCAATTATATTGCAAGAGTCACATTATGTTGATCATCTTTCTACTTGGCTGCGCCAGGGGACTTTCTAAGCGTGAAAATGTGAAATATACCAAAGCACCGGGGATTTACATTCAATACTTCGAAGGCATGAATGAAATATTAAATGCTCAAGAAGTGGTGACAAACTCTTAAGCATTTTTTCTCTCTCTCTCTTTGCCTCACATGATCTCAGGCTTTGCTGGCAATTTTCCTTTTGCAAAATGCAACAAGTATTTGTGTGAAAGAAGACAAAATAAAAAAAGGTGTGAGAGAAGAAAGTGAAATGAGTCCATTTTCTCAATCTCCCGCCATTGAGTGCGGCGGCGGTTGTTGGAAATTAATTTATTCCCGTCCACGAGTCGGTGTGGATTTGACTCCAGATTTCTATGCACGTATACTCACCGTTGTTAGGAGACATTTGCTCTCTCGAATGGCACCACAATAGCCCAAAAAACTGAGCAGGAATGTTACACTTCCGCAAACTATGAGGACATAGGCGAGTTGATCAATGACGGCGGGCTGAGTGAATTGCTGCAAAGAGGAAAGAGAGAAAAGAGATGTTGAAAGCTGCCACAGAGTATTTTTGCTTCAATTAATAAAAGACTCGTTATTACGGTGGTCAAGTGACTGTGACCTCAAGCAGGCAATGATAAAACACAGCCATCTCGATGGGACATTATCAAATTTAATTTGACTGGGGACTTTTCTTCTCAATTTATCACACGACCGGTCAAATTCTCATTTCGGTGGCACTGAGAATAAATTGCTCAGGCTGAAATCTCATCTCCTGGCGACTGTGAAATTTATTAAAATTGAGCATCATTTGAATAGACGACGATAAGTTGTGGTTGCAGAGTTTTGGATTTGGAAATTACTTGGACAAATACGTGACTTTCATGAATTGGAGTTGCGCGAGACCCAATTTATCGTTTTTTCTATTCTCCCAATTTACAGTGCGCGCGTACATAAGAAATTTCTCTTGAGGCGAAAATTTCCAACAATCGATTTCAATGATTTCTCAGCAAGAAATTGCCTATATGAGAGGAAATTCTCAAGGTGTGGGGGAACCTAAAAGCACCTCTTACAAGGTGTATAATGGGCTGCCAAGGTGATTCTCAGTAGATCAGAATGAAAGATTTTCTACCATCTTTTGCGTGCTGTTGTCCACTTAGAGACGATGGCGCTTCATAAATTCCTCCCATCGCCCTTCACCAGATGCTGAAGATATTCTTGTATCACTTCCCCTCGGATTTCCTCTTTTTCCACAAGCACCGCGTGAACAACAGTTGGGATTTTTCCACGCGATCGGCGTGATTTTTTTTCTCCATAAATTTCCACATAATAGATGAATTAGTGATTGTGAAGAAGTGTACTTTTGTCCGCCAGAACACAAGAAGGCAGATAGTCACAAATTGTGGGCTGTAGCGCAATTTCCATAAAGACATGCTAATTTAAATAAATTTACTCAATAAGAATTTGTGTACTCGAGTAATTTATGAAGTGCCTGCCTCTTTGTCTGTTATGCAACACACACACACGGAGACTCTCACCGAAGACCTGCCACGGAAAAGAACAAGTTTTCTTCATGTAAAACTTTTCCTCACTTCTTTCTCCTCACGTGAAAAAAAAGCACTGGAATTGACCCATTTCTCACCCAATATCTCGTGAGCCTGTTTCTAAAAAATTAATTAAGTCAGGTTGTCTCTGATTGCTGGACTTCCCAGGCGTATTTCACAATTTGGACGACATCCATATTTTATCGCCGGGGAAAAGAGTCTCTAAAACTCCCTGGGCAGACCAAAAAGTGAATGTGGCAAGTGTTTCAATAAACCACCTTTCTATTTTATTGGGCCTCTCTCTCCTTGGAGTGCTCTTGGTGTGCTTGACTAGGAAAAAAAACACACACCGAAAGGAGCCGCGCGATGGATTTTTGAACACTAAAATATTCACAGCACTTGTAATTGTATTTCATTCTTTCATCATTTCATAGAATTTCCCATGATTAATACTCGAAAACGGTGTTTTTGTACCTCATTCTTCTTCCTGGGTGTTACTTTTTAATGCAATTTTTGTGTCGACTGAACGGCAAAGGTTGAAAGTGAGGTGGATTTTGTCAGTCACTTCTTTACGATCCATTGTAGATAGTATAACTTAATATAAATTTAATGAAACAGAAATTCTAGACGCAGAGAATAAATTAATAATGTGAAGCCACGCCCACGCGGACGCCCCGCCCAGAAATGTATTATTATTGTAGAACTCTGAAAGTAAACATATATTTTTCCACTTTACATTTGTGCATTTTAGAAGACCAATAAATCATAGGAAACCCATCAAAAATATTCCTTGTTTTCCATTTCACTTTTTCTCTAACAAATTACACTATTGTCTCTCTTGTTGGCGGTGAAACAAGTCGAGTTAACAGAAAACTACACGACAATAATTCGTGTCTCTCTTCAGGAAAAAAAAATCAGATGTGCATTTAATTGTACACGAAAGCATAGGCAATGTGGAATAATTGCGGTATTTTGATGAAATTTATCATTTTGCGTGCTTGTTGGAAAGTAATAAAAATCACTCCTTTCACACAATTGAGAACATTATCGAAAATAATCGCTCTTTCTCTTCACTTTGCCATCCCGATAAGCGCGCACATGATGGAAATGAGCAAAAAGCCATTTCTTTTCCATTCTCTTGAGATGGTCGAACAACAGAGAAAAAAAAGAGCGTACAATGCCAATTTGACCCTGTCTTATTGCAACTAAACGTGCCCTAGAGTGAGAAATCCAATGGAAAATTGACTCTTCCCGATAATTTTATTTAATTTCACGTTTCCTGGGTTGGTTAGTCGTATGACCCATTTCATTGTGAGACACATTCGTGATCGCAGGTTATTACATCGGCGGGTAATATTTGTAATTTAGTGGCTTGCTGTTGGTCACTGTATATCGACCTAAAAGTGCATCGAGTGCAAGAGGGAAATGAACTCATTGGAAATTTATGGGGAAAAGTTGGCAATCAGGAGGAACAGACTTTCCACCCACGTGGCTTCGCTCATTGACTATGTCCGGTTGTCTACCATTTGATTTTATATTCTCTAATAACGTGATATTTTGCAGGAAATTACATACTCTTCACCAAAATGTTGAACTAGATTTTTCTTTTCTCTCTCCACAAATTGAGCTGCGCTTTGGCTCTTGTGGTTTTCTCTACTTCAATCTCTCTCTCTCTGTCTTCTAATACCTTAGAAATTCAATTAAGAACATAACCAATTTTAGCCACAAGAGTTTTGTTTTGTCTTGGAAAAAAGTGTGCTTGCTGGAGGATAAATATTTTCTAGCCCAATTCCAGTCCAATTTGCAGGCGAAAAAATTCACCTTGTTTATCCCAAATTGCTCAATTGACTGTCTGTTTTGCTTCATTGCCCGAAAAAATTCTCTGCCCAAATAAATACTCAGGGCAGTAGAAAGAAAAACAAACAGTTGCTCTTCAGTATTAATATTCAGTCCACATGTTAATTTTGGCGTTGGAGTTGCCGAACGGAAGAGAAATAGACCACTTTTTCTTTAACTTTGGCAAATATTTGCTGATGCAGTGCGAGAAAATTCAATAGCGGTAAGCTTTTGTATTTGTGCAATTGCTATCTTATCAGGAAAACTTGGGGAATACATTTCAATAATATTACTCACCTCCACGTGCTCATTCTCCACCATCTTCAGCAGCGCCACGAAGGACGATTTGTCCGCCGCGAGCCATATTCCAATGCCAAGAACCACTGTGCCGAGAATCTGCGGGTGAAAATGACGGAAAAAATCGTTTTAGATTGTAACACCTTGATCAATTCACGCCGTCAGACAGAAGGCATTCCGGAAATTTCTCTCTCACTTCTTCATTGCACATTTTCATAGTGATTCATGAAAATTTGTTGACTGAAAACCCGCGTGGATATTTTGTTAGGTTTTTTTCCTAGGGGTTTTACCAGAAATTCACATTATTTTTTAGACTTCCTGAATTTCAGCAAAGGAAATCCCTAAAGCGAGTCTTCCTACTTTATAGATAACAATCTTAATAAAAAATCGAGTGAATAAGAAGCACGGCATGCTAATAAATTTTATTTAATAAACTCCTTTGTTAGGCTGAAAGTCTGCAAGATTAGAGGAGAATCAACAAGTGAGTTTGCATGCGATGATTCACCTATAAAGCTCATGATTCACTGGAGACCATTTGGGAAACCTCCAGTAATTAGGCGTTACAAAGAGCAATTTCACTTTCGTCACTACTCAATTTTTCACCAAAAACTCTTGCAAGACTTCACACAAAAGAAAGTGTTATTTCTTCACAAGTCACTGGCTTTTCAAAGCTGATTTTTCGTCTCTGGAATGGTCTCTTATCGAAAAAGCACAATAACTTTGGCAAATACAGCAATTTTTTTCTTACACTTCTCTCTAAACAAATGGTGATGTAAAATATTTACAAATTGCACTGTGCAATTGATTGTTTCACATTCTTAACATGTGCTGCTCAATTTGCAGCTTCGTAAACTTGTGCGCACGTAAACTGTTTGGGAATTCAACAATTTCCGCCTGTAAATGATCACAAGTAAAGTAGCTCGTCAAGTTGAATTAGAAGTGACTTCCTCACTCAAACATCCACGCATTCATTTTGATTTATTCACGATTAATAGTATATCCCCACAAGGATTCGGGGAATTGAAGTAGTGAAATTAAGTCCATTCAACAAAATATCTTATAAATTATTTGTCCTACTGCTATAAAATATAAATGGTGAACGGAATGAGTAATTCACCGCCCAATAAAAATTCAATAATTGCAAGTGCTCATTGAAATCGAAAGTACTTGGTGTGACTGTGGGTGGCAAAGTGGTGAATCCAAAGCCACCAAAATCAAGGTTATCAATTTCGTCATGAGACATTTTCTAAATATTACACCGAGCGTTATGAAATGCCACAATATATCTTTCATCTCTCGCACACTTGATACAATTTGTCGAACACTCCAACGTTTCGCCTCGGATAGAATTGAGGTGTTTGCAATATCTACTTACGAAAAAGATGAAGTTGAATAGGCACAGCACGTATTTGGCGATCCATGTTCCACAATCCAGCGACATTGTTGATGTTCTGCGAGTGCACAATTGACACCGAGAGAACCAAATTAATCTGCAATTATAAAGGAATGTTTTGCTCTTATGAGCCACCTAATTAACATGTTCCACGCATGCAGAACTTCATTGCCCATTTTTTCTCACTCTCTCAAGGGGAGGCTTAAGCGGAACGTGATGCTATTTTTTTTTGCGCCCGAAGAATGGATGGGAAATTTTCCCCTGTCTTTTTCTTTTCTCAGGAGTGTAATCACAATTCCTAGAGAGTGCAGGAAAAAAAATGCGGTTGAGGTGAAAAGACTGCTCGGAGGCAGTCGCTCTCCACTTGTTGCATTGCATAATTTCCATGCCATTCTTGCACACGTATTGGTATGCTCAATTCTCTACGTATTTGCATGCTAACTCGGGGGAAAATCACTTCTTCAGCGCATTTATGTAGATAAGTATATGTTTATAGTAAATATTTTGATGTTCACAATCTCATCATATAAATATTTAGAAGTCTCAGAGTTTCACAGATGATTTATTAATTGCTCAGCATCTTAGCACAAATTTTTGAGGTGAAGGTTTTGTGGAATATTCTTCTTCTGTGTCTCAGGCTCAAATGTAACACGTTAGGGCATGAGATTACACTTGAGATTTACAAGAGGAAGCAAAAACTCATCACATAATCATCGTAACAATTTTTTATTCGTTGATTTTGTGGTTAATGAAGAGATCTCCACTAATATCTCAACTATATTTTATAAGAAAATATTACGAAAGTCAGCAGAAAGATGAGCCGTCGCTCTGGTTTTACGCAATCCAACAATTTATCAAGAAAAAAAACTAAATGACTGCACGATGATAGATGATTCCTCAAAATTCAGAACGGAGATGAAGAAAAAAAAATTTCGCTCGAAATAGTAAAATTTTCTCATATTATCACTCATTAGCCATCAATTTACAATACATCGTTTATTTTGGGACTACAAAGAGACGCTCAACGGTGAGATCTTCACGATATAGGTCAGAGGTTTTCTCTGGGTGTTTTTATGTACTCGCCACATTATCGTATTGTTTACAATTTTACGTAAAACCATCTCTCTTTGCGCTCTCACTGTATAGACTAATAATTTGCAGGTTGTTTCAGCTCTCCAATGCCTCAACACTTGCGCGCGCGATCCTCAATATTGGTCGCCCAGTGAGCAGAAAGAATGGGAAAAAAATATCGTAATGTGTGTTATTTTAGAAAACATCTGTCTATTTGGATGGGAACACGGCAAAAAAGCGCGACGCATGATATAAGAGAGGATGGAAGTTTCCAATTAAATATGCTAAAGAGTCTGTGAGAAGTGAAAAAGATAAGAATTGATTTGCAATTGTTTCCCCAGACTCACGAAATTTTCCTACATTTCACCGCAGATTTTGCCTCGTGCTTTGTTGGTTGAAATAAAATTGTTATAAGGTTGTTTAACATGTCGCAGAGAATCTTTTTTGTGATACTCGCGACTATTGCTTGCTCAAGAGTGTGGTTTTGGGAAGCGAAGAGAAATTCCCAATAGGTTGGATGTTGCATAAAATCAAAGGGGTAATCATCTAAAAAAAACATCTATGCATTGTTATGCTGACGATCGTGGCTGGAGAATTTTATCTTTTTCAATTCTCTCCCGAAAAGTGACTTCTCCTGCAAATGTAGGCCACTCTTGTATAAATTTTCATCGACTATGAGCGGCCCTTTAGGCCCCAAGACTAACTGTAAAAGTCCGCGAAAAGAGAGACAAGATATGTGGGCTTTTTCGGCTGCTTCTTGTGCGCGGCAAGAAATTCTTCAGCGAGCATAAAACATCGCGGCTTGTGGATACTCACCGAGAGAGTGTGTGAGAAGAGATTTATCTCATGTTACAAATCCAAGAAACACTAAAGAGTTCTCAATGGTCACTGTGGGAGAGTTTTTCTACGCACAAACACTATATAGGGATGTCCCCAGACACTCTCTTCAGGTCATTCGCACTGTCCTTTCGCAAAAGGTGAATGATCCCGCGCGCACACTTCCTTTTTCCTCCTGCCCTGGCAACACTCCTGGTGAAAGCACGCTTGATTTGCTAATCAATTTCCCCAGAACGCACTTGTGAAATTCTCAGAGCCACTCCGCAAGAGTGTCACAACAAGTGGATTTGGGCGGTGAACTTCCTCTCACACTCCTATTAACAGTTTCAAATGTAATTTGGCCACTGGTTGACGCGACAGCAACAAAGAACTCACTGCATTCGCCACCAATTCTCCTGCTGAACTGACACTCTATGCTTCGAACTGGAAAATCAACTTTTGCTGGCATTTGGTCCCCATACGCGGTACTTGAGTGTGTTGGAAAAGAAATCGTAAGAATGTGTGCAATGATGATGTGGTTTTCACATACATGAGCATTGTGTGTAAAACTGGGCGGGAAAATTTCAAGTAGGTTTCAATGATTTCAGTGTGTTTCTTCGGCGGGAAACTTTGAAAACTGCCATGAAATTTTGAGAAGATATCTTTGGATTTTAAGTAATTTACTCAGATTGATGGTTCTAGATTTGAATGAGAACAAAAATGCCTGAAATAAGAAACATTCAAGACCGGAAAAGTCTCCTTTCTACCCTCAGACTCGTCCAGTGTGCTACAATTAATTATTTTCGGTCTATAAAAATTTATTAGGACACTCAGCAAAAATTCGAAGCCTAACTCAGCAGCAATTCGCTCTCCAACACTGTGAAGAACGCGCCTAAATTGATTGCAGTTGTGTGTGCGCTCGAATACGCGCTCCCGAAGTCATCATCATTTGGTACGCACTTGATTGACGACGAGAGGGGACTCCCTTCATTCATTCAACTCCTCATACTCACACACCACGCCGCAGTCAATTTGGCGGGGGCCTGGCGTTGGATCTGTGCGGAGAAAAAAACATGCACTGCGTGGTTTGATTAGCGTTTTTAATTAGGAGACAATGAGAGACACTCTGTGGAACAACCGTTAACAGTCATGCTGTAGAAATTAGGAGAATTTTGAAACAAGACCACTTTCTGGAACACCGCGGAAATTTCCCGCGCAAAAGCAGATTCTGCGCAATCCACGTGCAAAGTGAATACGGCGGGAGACAGAGTAATTGCGCGGGAAAATACACGTTCTTTGTGTGAAAATTGATCAATTATCTGGGGATGACTGAGGGGTTTATGACAAACACTGTATTCAACGTGAGTAAGTCAATATTAAACAATGAAGGGTTTAATCCCCCGAGGTGTACGAGAAATTTTCGTTCTTGCATAGGTAATAATTTTTTCAATTAATTTCAGCATAATCGATAGAGTAACCAGTGAAACAAATGAGTATTTACTGTTAAATAAGCTTTTCTTTCGAACAATGCAGAGAATTCAGAAGAAGCTCATGAGAACGAGGAAGAAGAACAGCGAGCAGGACTTCCTTCTCAGCATTTCGGTGTATCAGGGGAAGGGTTTGCAGGTGCAGCATCTTAAGTCGTTTCTCGAGGTGTCTTTCAGTGGAAAAGTGAAAACGACTCGCGTGGCCAAATCCTCAAGCAATCCACACTTCAATGAGGTCAATCATTGCTCATGGCTCTTTTTAGTCTGCTCTGCCAATCCAGTCTATCGTGTCTCTCTCTGTAGTACATGGTCTTCGAGGTGCGATGCACTCTGAGCAGGCTGCTGAGGAAGAGCGTCACGTTCAGGCTGTACCACGAGGCGTGCGTGAGGCGATGCTCCGGGGAGTTGGTGATCGATCTGGAGGCAGTGTGGAATGCCGATGGAAGGGGTTTCTACGGAACTTGGGGTCGCTTGGTGCCTTGCGCCGGTTCAAGGGCAATCAATCGAGGTGAGAGGTCAGACTGTGGACTCCTCCAATTTGATCTGGTAATTCTTTCCGACAACACAATGCGACTGCCCAATCAATCTGACCATCAATCGAGTCAAGTACTCGAGGCCGTCAGGCAGAGAGTTCTGTTCAATTTCAACCTCCATCGCGGCTGCTTTCCCACGATTGCTGATTACTGTGTCGCGGTGACTCTTTGCGGAGTGAAGATGCACTCGAGAACTGCCAGAATGACTGAGTATCCAGAGTGGAACCAACAGTTTCAGTTCATGTGCTTCTTCCCAGCGCTCTGTGGGAATTTCGGCGTGAAGGTTGAATCTTCAGGTGCTCTCACCATGAAGACGATCTTCAAAGGGAATATTCTCTTGAAGGATCTCTCGCACGAGATCAATGGAGAGGTCACTCTGCCCACATTTGACCCTTCATGGTGGCATTTGTACAAGAACACGGACTATCTTGGAAGGATTCTCATCTCAATCCAGGCTTCTGTTCAGCCAGAGGGAATTCCCATCAATCGCTCAACTAAAGTGAATGGAATTAACAGATTCTTCGAGGTGATTGACATCGTTTATTAAATTTATTGCCTCTAATATGAAATAATTTATCTTCTCAGAATAATTACTGGACATATTCAAGATTCACAATTCACCTTGCCATCACTGAACTGGACTTTCTTCACACCTCTTCAAAGCACATTTGCCTCCGGATAATCTGTACAGAAGAATCTTCAGCTGATTTGAATCTCCTCTGCTCTGAATACAAAACCAGCAATCTCTTTTCCATGCAACACTCTGAGAAAATTCCCAACTTGTCCATGGAATTATTCCTCCCGGACCTCCGCAACATTCTCAGAGATGAAATTTTCATCAGGAAATTCATCTCGCATATTATGTCAAAGCGTTCAAAGCTCATTGATTTCCAGTGTATAGAAAATGCCCTTAGGGATCTGAAGAATATCCTCTCGAGAGAAGATGATGGTGAAACTCTCACGCCGTGGCATGTCAACTTCAGAGCCTCCATTGTGGCCTCCCTTGAAGCAATAATTGATGAATTGAGCGTATCGTCTTCAGCCACACAATCACTTGATAAATTGTTGGACAAATTAAATGATATAGTCAATCAGGGAGTGACTAAATGGCCGGATCTGTTTATACAACTTCTAGATAATCATGGAAGTGTATTTGGGATACACAGAGTTCGTCTGAAGGATATTGTGCATTGTGGCGGATTCTTAAGCGGCCGAAATTACAGCATTCTCTTCAAGAATCCCCAATGCACTCATGAAGACAGGGTTTGTGGCTGCATCTCTGGCCACGGAAGTGTTCTTCTCTGGATGGGAACGAGAAATGAACCATCTTCAACTGCATAATTAACAATCCATCCCTCTATGACACCCTCGTGGAGGTTTTCTTTGCCGGATACCATGGAAAGTTTTCTATTAATAGACAGAGTCACGTTCCGCACTGGAATAAAGTGTTGTGCTTTGACAAGATTTCCTTGGCTGGCGATGTGGAATCAATAATTCAGGATCCCCCAAAAGTACTCTTAAAGCTTCGTCATGGCAATGGAAGGATGCATAAATTATTGGGCATTGGATACACTTCGACTGAAGTGAAATTGAGCGATTCAACTCAATTAGAAGAAGTATTGAAATGGATTCCCTTATTTTTAAAGGGAATTTCCACTGCTCAACTCCTTCTTCGAGTTCAATTGGAAGAAGTTCACCCAAAAGAAGATGCAACTGACATTTCGAGTCCTGGAATAATTTACAAGGAAGTGGATATTCCTATAAAGAAATTTCACTTGATCTTCAGTCGCTTCGGCCTTCGATTGATGAATAAGATCGATGGAAGAAAGTCAGAAATATTCATGGAATTCTCAGATGTTACCCTATCAATGGGATCTAGTGGTAAAATCTTGGGCAAAAGTTGCAACTTTACAAATTCTGTTAGACATGCGGAAGTCTACTTGCCGGAAAACCTCGCTTATTGGCCTCCAATAGTGCTTAAACATCGAAGAGTGAACTCTAATAAATTGATAGGCATTAGTGTGATTTCGGATAGTCAGAAATTCTTGCGAAACCCTAAGTGGGAGTCGAGCAAACACAATTCCGTGAAATTAACTGACCCCAGCGATGACAGAGTGGAATTGAAAGTGTCCATAGAGGAGAAAATTGAAGGTGGAGGCCTTGATTTGGCTAAGAGCTTCATCAAGTTAGCAATGTCAAGGCTCCTGTGCACAGAAGAAGAGACAGAAATCTCCAAAAGTGTGAATGTGGAGATGGGAATGTCAAAGAAAGAGCTTGAAAGTTCTCAAAACTTTACTTGGTGGTCGAAATTCTTCAATTTGCTGTACGAAGGAAGCGAGAATTTTATCGAAACTGTCCACAAATTGAAGATTTACTCATCAGAACTGGAAAATCAACAAGAATTTGGACACTTTCGCGACTGGGCAGATAATTTTGAGTTGGCAAGAGCAGGAAAAGAAAACCCGCAGAGATACAGTTTCCTCAGAGGTCACATTGATATCTTCACGAAGACTCAATGCTCCATGAGAAACTCATTAGGTAAGAAGCTACTATTCAACAGGTGTTCTTGGTAGACTTTATTGAATTCTTTGCAGGTATCAACAGGTGTCTCAACACGCTCGCGAAGTGTCAATTGTGGTGAGAGTTTATGTGGTCAGGGGAATTAATTTGCGCTGCCGTGACGCTGGCAATTCCGATGTTTACACGTGTTTAGAGTTTGGTAAGACAAAGATCATGGATCGAGACAATTGTGTGAAGAATGAGATTCATCCCTTCATCGGGAGATGCTTTGATTTGAGAGGAAAAATTCCAGAAGACCACATTTTGAAGATTTCCATTTATGATCGAGATTTTAATGAGCGTTCCGATGATTTAATTGGAGAAACTTTCATCGATGTGGAGGATCGTCTCTTCACGAAGCACAGAGCATGTTTCGTTCCGATCGTCCAGGAATCGAACAAGGAAAACTCCAGCTTTGGGTGGAGATCTTTGGCAACAGTAAAATTCCTCCAGACATTGATATTTCGCCTGAAAAACCAGTTAAATATGAATTGAGAGTAATTGTCTGGAACACAGCTGATGTCTCTACGAAAGTTGCAACAATTCCTGGAGCAAAGATAAGCGATATCTATGTAAAATTGTAGGAAAATATAATTAAACTCACCTTCACAGTGCTAAAACTTTCAAGTTCATCCCTAAAATTTCGTCTGCAATTTCAACAGTTGGCTGATGAATCATGGGAAGGATTCCCAGAAAACGGATATTCATTATCGCTCATTAAATGATGTAGGAAAGTTTAATTGGAGAATGACGTTTCCCTTCAACTATACATGGAGTCGGAGAAGAAGGTAAGAATTCACTTGATCACGCAAGAAAATATTAATTGTGCATTAATTACAGGTAGTCTTCACAAAGAAAAGGCGTTTCTATGGGAAATTCGATGCCACTGTGAAAAGCCCACCGCTTCTGAACGTTCAAATTTGGGATAATGATACGATGTCTGCAGATGATTTCATAGGTGAATTCAAGCACGAGTTTTGAATTGTTTGTACATATTGATTACAATGTTTGGCTGTGATTTAATTAGGCGCCACGGTAATTAATTTAAATCATCTCCATGCGCCATCATCTCTGGCCACAAATTGCTCTCTGACGGTGAATTCCACGGCGGAATTAATCAATCTTTTCAGCAAGAAATCAATAAGGGGATGGTTTCCTATTGTGGGCAACTACAAAAGGAAAGAAGAATTGACGGTACAAATATTGAACTTGGCGCCAAATTTATCCATTTAATACCATCGGATTAAGTTTCACTGTTTTCCAGGGAAAGGCAGAACTGGAGTTGGAGCTCTTGGCGGAGACAGAAGCGAGGATGAGACCTGTTGGACGACAGAGAAAGGGCCCAGAGCCATTGGAAGATCCAAGGGTATTGATGACTTGTATTTGCCAAATAATTTTCGCAATCAGCGATAAAATGTTGTAATTGAGAGAATATGGTGAAAATCTCTCTCATTTCACAAGCGGTACTCGCGATTGAAAGTGATGTAATCTCAGGGGGGAGAAATCCCACAACGAGAAATACATATCGCACTTGTAGGAATTCCGTGAATAATTTGGCTTCCACTGGGGAATCAACAAACAGTCGTTTAATTACTGTATCGGACGCGACAGTCGAGCAGAGCATTGACTTTGTTGCTCATCTAATGAATTGCCATTCCATTTCAGTCGACCCGAGATCTCATTTCAATGGTACAAATCACCCTGGATGACGCTTCGGCACATCCACTTGCCCGGCATCATGGGCAAGTGTCCTGTGCGATGGTGTTACGTCGTTGGGGGCGTTCTGCTGCTGCTCATTGTGCTATTTTGGATACTGAGAGCACTTGCAAATGGGACGTTTAAATAAATTAGCAGTTGCAATTTATAATTAAGTACTTCACGCTCAATGAAAGCCCTCCAAGTGCTTCCAAAGGGGGCCTCAAGTGGTGACGTGACCGAGGAAAGGGTGTGTCTCTGATGGAGGAAGCTCATGTTTTACCAGCAAACGCGATGGTGTTTCATATCAAATAAAATGCGTACATGTCCGGGGGTTGGAGAGGATGGTCGTGGGTGGAGATTGAGAGTGAAGAGCCTGTCACAAGCATGAAAGTACAGACTGCTGCTCAGTTTAGTGAACACTACTGATGTGGACGGTTGATGGGGACAAAGAAAGGGACATAGGTTTTCAATTAGGGTGTGAATTAGAGTTTTACTGCACAAGGTTCCTCGACCTTTACCGAAAGGCCGCAATTTGCTGATGTGTGAAGAGTACTTCTTGGGAGCGGAAAGCAATTAGCTGGACAAGTCTGGAGATTCTTCTTGGAATTCTCACAATTGCACAGGATCCACTGGATACAATTTTCTTGTCAAGATGTTAACATGTCAGCGAGAAATTGTGAAATTGTGAATTTATATTATAAATGAAGTGAATGGACATCTGAAAGTGGGTTGTCACTCAGCGAAACAAGTTGTCGGTTAATATTTAATACTTGAATTTTTCTATAAAGTCGAATTGGGTGCATTTTCTGGAAAGTTCAACCTTGCAGACGCCGTGACTCAGTCACAGGTCACAGTCAAGGTGAAGGCATATCCTTCTGGAAAGCCCGCCAATCCATCATCAGCGTGTCCCATCTCCCCAATCAATAGCCAAGAGGTACGTGTTGGGAAGTCATCGAATTATTTGTGTAAATTCATAGAACGTGTCTTCTCTCTTGTTGTCTGAATAATTAATTAATTAATCGTTGTATATGGCAATCACTCATTATATGACAAGATTAAATATAGAAAGAGTTGCCACTACAGCCCAGGCATCGTTGGAAGAGAGCTTTCCTCATGCGATAGGATGATTTTCCATTCCATTACAGGGTTGATCTATCTCGCGTGATCGACGAAATTTCGAAACATTCTCGGAAATTGCGTATAAATAAACTTCCCCTAATCATGTTGATAAAAATCTCAAAACGCTCACAACCACCGATCAATATATTTTCATTTTGTTTCACCGCCTCACAGTTTCATCTTCACATATAGTTATCTATCACAAGAGAACTTGATAAACCCGGCGTCTCCACTTTTAATCATTTCATTTCACCCAGTGTTAACTCAATGAAATGATTCAATATATGAGAGCGGAACTGATTAGACCGAATGTGTGATTGTAATTCAACAGATGGCAATTATCACTGATATAGCATTTGGGTTTCTGCAAATGCAGAGTATCGATCAGTCTTTGTCTGTTTGCAGAGAGTGACTCTCGAGAGGAGCTGTTTTGGGGGATTTATGATACGCATATTCACCGTGATGCCAAGTCCCTTCTATATAATGCACAACACCAGAGCCGTCAGTCCTTGTGCAACGGATGCCAATGCAAATCAACAGAACCAGGATGATGTCCCGACAGTTGTAGTTTCCACTGATGTTCCCGAAATTAACAAACCTCTCAGCTTGAAGGTGAGCACAAAATGCATAGCTAGACTTTCTATAGACAAAATATGTGTTAAGTAGAACTGAAACTCTTTGGTAATGATTTTTTGGACGTTAATTTTAGAGAATTCAGTCAATAACTATGCAAGTAATATGAACATTTCAATGTTCATTATCAAGTATTGACGATCTGTTCGAGTCTATTTCTAGCATTTCTTATTTAAAGTCCTCCAAATCAGACCACATTTCTTCTTTTTACAATATTTAACACTCCTGGAATATAAAATGGGAGCTAAAGCTCTTGCCTTGTATTTAAATTGAATTTCTCTGCCAAGTTTAAATTGAATTCAGGCCATCAGCGATTTAATCGTGAGTATAAATGCCAGAAGCGTAAATAAAAAATTTACTCTCGTAATTGCTCAACAGACATGGATCCTGACTAAAATCATTGGGCAATCTCTTGAAAATATGCGGAAAGACGTGGAGAAGTCAACATCTGGGGCAGCTGAGAATGAGACTGGACAAGAGTTGCAGGCCATTCTCGCTCCGGCCGAGGAAGTGTGCCTCCTTCGCGACAGTCCCTTTCGGATCCTGAGGGTGAGTGAAAATGAAAATTACTTTCGCTGCTGCGAGAGTGTTAAAGTCTGAGTTAAAGGGTAAATGATGTATAACTCTTGCCATTGAATGCACGCGATATTGAGAGAGCTTTCGCTGAGCTTGGCCCAGAGTTTGCGTGAAGAGAGTGCACGAAGGATATGATGTGTTCGCGCTCTCCTTCTCTCGATGGTATAAAATAGTGGTGGCATCTTGGAGAGTTCGCCAGTTGCCGTCCAACCTCTGCATCTGGAAAGTCGCGTTCGCAACTTGAGGACCACAGGAAGGCCAAGGAGTGCTTCGTGCGACACTTGACTTCTCGATGTGGAAGATAGTGCTCAATTAGTGCTCGTGTTGTTGCAGGACATATCACTTTTAGCTGACAAGTAAATAGAAGGGCAAATTGGAGTTAAATAGAGGATGGGACTTGAGCTCTAATTTGTGTGGACAGCTATAAAAGTTGATGACTGAATATATGAATAGTAGATGAGCAAAAGTTTGCGTGCAGAACACGCGAGAAAGACAAAAAAAAAACAGGACGACAATTTACTCAAAATGCGCCTCTTCACGTGGCAATGATCCTAAAATCACACCTTTTCGAAGGGAAATTATGAGAATATCCTGTTGAAATAGTTCCGCGAATTCAATGGCAATTTCAATAGAGCAAAGTGGAAAAATGGCGAAATTCCAGAGAAATTCATATCGTGTCCTTTTCGGTGGATGCAATAATGGTGCCAACGTTCCAGTTCAAGCATCCCTGAGACTGCCCCGTGCATGGACGAGGGTCCTCAGACTGGCACCGATGCCCAAAGTGCCAATTGAGGAAATTATACAGGTCCAGAAATAAATCAATCTTTACAGACCTTCAAAAGTTCACGTTGAAAATTGCAGTGATTGACGAAAGGAAAGAATGTGTTAAAAAGCAATCAATTTGCATTTCTATAACACGCCACAGAAAACAAGCATTTGCTTAAGAAAAGCTCACGAGTAGCTTTATTTTCAACAATGAGGATAAATTTGAACAAAAATATCTTTCTCAAATCCTTTTCAGGCGGCTGAAGCAGGAAATCTTGAGCATTTTGCTCAACTCTTCAACAGTGACAACACAAGATTGAATGTGAAGGATGGCAAAGGACGAACGGCGGCTCATCAAGCAGCAGCAAGGAATAGAGTGAACATTTTGCAATTTATACGTGACCAACAAGGAGGTAATTAGTAAGAGTTTGACCAAGAATTTACTCAGAATGTCAATTGAATGTGTGATGGAACTATTATACATTGCAATACTGAAGCAGTCTTATTAAGTTATCAATCACATCTTCTTGAATCTTACCTGGAACTGAAGCGAAAGCGTAGTATTGCGAACTTTATAGCGTTTATAACCCAATTTTCTTTCCCATATTGACTATTAAATCTTCAGATCTCAACACACAAGACGCTCTTGGCAATACACCTCTTCACATTGCTGTGGAATACGATGCTCTGGATGCTCTTGATTTCCTTCTCTCAGTGTAAGTCATTCCCCGAATTCACTCAATGACTCGTGAATGCTGAAATGTGATGCTTTATTTCTCTGCAGACCCGTGAATACCACAACTCTCAATGATAAGAAGCAAGCTCCAGTGCATCTGGCTACAGAGCTCAATAAGGTGGAGGCTCTGCAGGTGATGGGAAAACACCGCAATGCCATAGATATTCAGCAAGGTGGTGAACACGGTAGAACGGCCCTGCATTTGGCAGCGATTTATGATCACGAAGAGTGCGCCAGGATTTTGGTGGGTGGCTTGAGAAAATTGAAAGAAATCAGAGCTTTTATTTATGCCTTTTACTGCTTCCAGATCACTGAATTCAAGGCTTGTCCCCGAAGGCCTTGCAACAACGGTTATTATCCTATTCACGAGGCGGCCAAGAACGCCAGCTCGAAGACAATGGAGGTCTTCCTGCAGTGGGGAGAGTCTCGAGGATCGTCACGCGAAGAAATGATTTCCTTCTACGATTCCGAAGGCAACGTCCCACTCCACTCTGCTGTCCATGGAGGTGATATAAAAGCAGTTGAGCTCTGTCTCAAGTCTGGCGCAAAGATCTCCACGCAGCAGCACGATCTGTCCACTCCAGTCCATCTGGCGTGCGCCCAAGGCGCCCTGGACATCGTCAAACTGATGTTCACTCTGCAGCCCAATGAGAAGAAGACCAGTCTCACGTGCACGGATGTGCAGAAGATGACTCCTCTTCACTGTGCCTCGATGTTCGATCATCCGGACATTGTGGAGTATCTCGTGGCGAGTGGAGCGGATATCAATACGTTGGATAAAGAGCATCGCTCACCACTCTTGCTGGCTGCGTCCAGAGGAGGATGGAGAACCGTGCACGCTCTCATCCGCTTGGGAGCCAACATCAGCCTGAAGGACTCGAACAACAGAAACGTCCTGCATCTGGTCATCATGAACGGTGGTCGTCTGGAGGTAAGACACTTTAACTTCCCTCTATTCCCTCAGTATATTCTAATACGCATGCGATGTGCTCTATCCGAGGAGTTTGCTATGGAGGTCTCAAAAGCACAGTCCCAGGCGCATTTGCTTCAGTTGCTCAACGAGAAGGACGACACAGGATGTTCTCCTCTGCACTATGCCAGCCGTGAGGGTCACATCAAGTCCCTGGAGAATCTTATTCGATTGGGAGCGTGCATCAATTTGAAGAATAACAACAACGAAAGTCCACTGCATTTCGCTGCTCGCTATGGGAGATTTAACACAGTTCGACAGTTGTTAGACTCTGAGAAGGGCACTTTTATCATCAATGAGAGCGATGGAGAGGGTCTCACGCCACTGCACATCGCCTCCCAACAGGGTCACACAAGAGTTGTGCAGTTGCTGCTCAACAGAGGAGCTCTGCTCCATCGGGACCACAATGGGAGAAATCCTCTCCACTTGGCTGCGATGTCTGGCTACACGCAGACCATTGAGTTGCTGCACTCCGTCCACAGTCACCTCCTGGATCAGGTGGACAAGGACGGCAACACAGCCTTGCATCTGGCCACGATGGAGAACAAGCCCAATGCCATCGCCCTGTTGCTGTCGATGGAGTGCAAGCTGCTGTACAATTACATGGACATGAGTGCCATTGATTATGCTATTTACTACAAATATCCCGAAGCGGCTCTCGCGATGGTGACACACGAGGAGAGAGCCTCCGAGATCATGGCGCTGAAGTCCGACAAGCATCCCTGTGTCACATTGGCGCTCATTGCGTCCATGCCGAGGGTCTTCGAGGCTGTTCAGGACAAGTGCATCACGAAGGCGAACTGCAAGAAGGATTCCAAGAGTTTCTATGTGAGTTTCCCCGACAATTCCCCCGTCTTTGATAATATAACAGACTTTTCCAGGTTGGACAATCTTTCAATTGTCAATAATGACTAACAAATTTTCCCATAACATGCAGATCAAATACTGCTTTAGCACTCTCCAATGTCCTATGATGTATGCTCAAATGGATGAAAAGACAGGAAATGCTGTGCAAATTTCCAAACCCATCCCATTGCCAGCACTCAATGTAAGACAAAAAAGGCATTTTTCCAGTATCCAACGCTGAAGAGCTTTGTCAAATGCGTTTGAACATTCCCTTAGATGTTCTTGTTATTGTTTGCAGAACATTTTTCATGAAATTTTCTCGAGTGCATTTTGCATTTTCCCCATAGGTGAGAGGATGACGAGACTACATTGGTGAATCAGTGCAGAGTTTGTTTGCTAGAAGCATGCTCTCCGATGGAGTCTCCTCTTTCCCTACAAAATTTGCATGAATTTTGAACATTCCCCGTATTTATCAAATATGCGCAGTTTATTGAATAGAAATGTGAACGGAAGGGCTTCATTGAAAGCTTATGAAATTTTAATGTGATTCAATTTTCTGCTACTATTCATCATTATTAGAATATTTTTATTAGAACAAATTACATTCTAATGTTTCACATACGGAAAATATTCCTGGAAAATGTCTAGAAATTTCTGTGTTCATCAACACGAAAATTGCTTTTTCTTTATTTTCACAGAACATTTCAATTTTCCTAATGATTGAAAGTTAAGGTCATTGAGAGCTTGATTGAAAGTTGAATTAATTTTTGAGCTTTAACTTCATTTACAAATCGATAGCACTTCATTAACTTCTTTCTCTCTAGTTTTTGACCTGAAAACTTGCAATTAAAAGTAAATTAACGTGACATTTTCATAAAGAATCTTGCTTTTTAAAGGAGTGAGAAAAGTGATTAAGAAGCATGACTTCCCATCAGTGAACTCGATATTTCCTGTCCGACTAATAGACCCCTTTTTTCCCCCTAATTAGTTGTTTGATTGGCTCTTTCTTTGGTTTTCTTTTCTTTTAGATAAAATATTCCTTTTCGGCGTACCAAAAATCCCAGAAGAAAATCGATGAAATCCGTATTCGTCTTAATGATCCCAAATGGCGACCTCCGCCTCTCGATGTTGTCAATGTGAGTCTCTTTTATTTCCCATTCAATCCTTAGCAGTTCTGCATGAAGAAAGTGTTGCATAAAGTGTTCAATATTGGCGCGCTTGAGCTTTTATTGACCTGACTCTTGACTGCCTTCCAACTTTTCCAAATTGACCTCTTATTTGTTCTACACTTTGGCAAACGACACAATCAGGCGATGGTAACACACGGCCGCGTGGAGCTCTTGGCACATCCACTGAGCCAGAAGTATCTGCAAATGAAGTGGAATTCGTATGGGAAATACTTTCATCTGGCAAATCTACTCTTCTACTGCGTATTCCTCTTCTTCGTCACGATGTTCTCCTCACAGTTGATGCACAATCACGTGTCGGCCACAGCAGATTCCAATGTGACCACCGTCTCGGACAATGTCACCGCCTTGCCGCCTCACCAGCATCATCAGCACTCAACTATGAAGCTGGAGATCACGACGGCGATGATGGTGTCTGGAATGGCCATCGTGGCCTACATTGCCATCAATTCCCTGAGGGAGATTGTCCAGGTGTACCAGCAAAAGTGGCAATACTTGCTCGAGCCGAACAACTTGATCTCCTGGACACTCCATCTCTCCTCACTGACCATGATATCCGCGCTCTTCTGCGGTGGTCACATCTCCGATGCTCACTACTCAGCCGCTTCCGTGACTGTCTTTCTCTCCTGGTTCAATCTCTTGCTGTTCCTCCAGAGATTCGATCAGGTACGCCCAGAAATCCTCTATTCAATTCTCCTACTAACTCTCTGTGATTCCAGGTTGGGATTTACGTAGTGATGTTCCTGGAAATTCTGCAAACTCTCATCAAAGTGCTGATGGTCTTCTCGATCCTCATTATTGCTTTTGGACTAGCATTCTACATTCTTCTGTCTAATGTAGGTTTTTCTTTTGAATGCTTTTAAAAGCACATATAATGATTCTTCTCTTCTTCAGTCTCTGTATCTGCAAACCACTTACTCGTTCTCCTCGATTCCGATGTCCCTCATGAGGACCTTTTCCATGATGCTCGGCGAGATGGATTTTGTCGGCACTTATGTTCAGCCTTTCCATCGCAATGAGCTCCCTTATCCGATTCCCGCCTTTGTCATCCTCTGCCTCTTCATGGTTCTCATGCCAATCCTCCTGATGAACCTTCTTATCGGTTTGGCCGTTGGAGACATCGAATCTGTCCGCCGAAATGCGCAGCTCAAGAGGCTGGCCATGCAAGTGGTTCTGCACACTGAACTGGAGCAGAAATTGCCGCAAATGTGGCTGGAGAAGGTGGACAAGATGGAGCTGATTGAGTATCCGAATGATACCAAATGTAAGCTGGGCTTTCTGGATTCCATTCTTAGAAAATGGTTCTACAATCCCTTCAACGAAGACGGTAAGACTGGTAATATTAGTGACAGAAAGCAACTCGTGTTCTATGTTGTTCTCTTTCAGCTGGACTGGATATGGTTCTGGACACCAATCCTGAGGACTATCTGGCAATGGAGATTGACAAGCAGAAGAGAAAGTTGAGAGAGATTACGAGCTCTCTTGAGCAACAGCATCAGCTTCTCAGATTAATTGTCCAGAAGATGGAAATCAAGACGGAGGCTGATGATGTTGATGAGGGTGTTCCTCCCAATGACTTGCGTCCTCTCTCAGCCACCCCTTTCAACATTGTTAGCAACTCTCGCTGGACTTCTCCCAGGATCCGCAAGAAGTTACGCACGGCTGTTAGTTTCAACAAGAATTTGTAATTCACGAGCTTCTGTGTGACCTTTTGTAATGTCAATCCCACTTATAGTATTGTTGCAATGCTTTATGTGAGAAATAAAGGAGATTTCTAGGTGTCAATTGAATTTCTCTCTATTAATATGATTGAAAGAATTCCAGAATCAGTTTGAGAATTTTAAATTCACGCGCCACTTTGCCATCTTTCGGGGAATCTCGATGTGCCGCTAACTTCACTGTGTCGATAAGTCGAACAAAGCGGCTTCACATCAGCTTGTCTCTTTCTGTCCCACTGCAGTTTACGGATTATATTTCCCCTTTTGCGCTTTCTCTCTCTCACTCTTAAATTCGCATTAAGTGTGGACGCCATTGGTGAAAAGTGAACAAATTTGTGCATTTTCTCCTGAAAACTCTCATCGTACAACATCTTAGAGGTAAGCAAAGTGTTTCCCAAGCAGCCACGCACAGGAAAGAGCAGAAATTTCCTGGCTGGGTGTTCTATCTTGAGTGTAAAAGTGACTTTTCCGGTGGCGTCATGGAGACTGTCATTGCGGCCCCCTTGACTTGTATTTTTCTCAATCCTTCAATGCGTCTCTTTGTAATTGCTTCGCAGAGAGATGGCTTATCGGAACAATCGGAGCTTCGATCGCAACAACTATGGCGGGTCCATCAGCCGCAATGTGGATCCGTGGGACACGACCAACGACTGGGGAATGCGCGGGGGCGGCGGCGGCGGCGGAGGTGGCAATTACATGGGCAACCAGGGCCAGAATCCCTCGGAAGCTCTGGCGCTAGCCAACAACCTCATCAACAACATCCTTCGCGGCAGCCAGCCGCCTTCGCTGCTCGACTTGCCGCCCAATGACATGCGCGGCGGCGGCGGTGGAGGCTTCGGCGGCGGATACGGCAGGAACACGGGCGGCGGCGGCGGCTACGACCGCTTCGACGATCGCATGGCTGGACGCATGGTGAGTTTTGGGGCTCCAGGAGAGTTCGGGAGGATTTGCAAAGTGTCCTAGCCGGTGGAATTTCACCGGCGGCGGCTGTATTCATATTCAAAAGAAGCTTTCTAAAGCACTTTTAATTAACCCTTTACGACAAGAGCGTTTAATAAGACTCAACTTCGATTTCACCAAATTCTCAGGGCAATTTTCTGTCACTTTCAACACTTCTAAAATGGATTTCAAATAAAGCATTAAAAGCATGCTTTGTTATTCCAAAAGAATCTCATTAATGCAAAATAAAGAGTATTTTGACACAGTTTTCGGGAGAATTCAACAAATTCATGGCAATTATCTTCTGGGAAATATTTCACCGCTCTGTTTGTGAATATTCTAACATCCTGTAAAACTAGAACTTCCAATGAAAACTCAAATCAAATTAAATTGCACTTCTGACCCATTTTAAGACAATCTACTGATTCAGCGATGTTGAATATCAGCTGACAATTTCTCTTTTCTCATCTTTTATGTAATAAAATTGGACGCCAACAGTTTGCCTAGCAATTACTCATTTATGGGGTGGTTCTATTTGCCTTCTCACGTTCAATTGATGAGTTGATATGAATACAGCTGCTTGTTGCGTGATTTCTGCCCGCTAAGATGCAAAATCCGGCGATAAGTGAGAGAAATCTGATGATATATAATTCTGAACGTTGCTTAGAAGAAGAGATACAATGGACGAGAGCTTCGTCTCTCTGATTGTCCTCTGATCGTCCTGAGCTCGACCCCAAATGCCAACTCGGGGCTGTTCCGCATGAGCTCAGCGTGCCCAGGCCGAAGTCCTCACACGTTTTCAGCATGAGCCAGAATACCCAAAGACCGAGGAATCTCGTGCGCCAGAGACAATTCAGTGAGATGATGATCGTCTTTCAGGGCGACATCTCTCCTTGTGCCGAATCAAGTGCCATGATTGCATCACGCAAGGATAAAATCATTTTAAGAAAGGAAAAAAAACTTTACTTCTGACCCGCGTGACTTCTCGCAACATCAATGCCAAACACTCACGACAGTTGACACACTTTTCACCCAAGAAAGGATGTTGTGATGTCAAGTGAGGTGGCAAAGACCGAATCGCGGGTCACACACGATTTCTTCTCTTTTTCTTATCTCACTCAGATGGGCAATCGCAATGCTGTTACCAACCGCAATCGACGTCCTGGCGTTAATGCTGGTCCGCGCAACAATAAGCCCACTAAACCGGGCGGCATTCGTAAACCCAATGCCACTGATCGATCTAAGAAAGTTCTGGCAAAGAATTCTAACAATTCTAAATCAACAAAACCGGACGACGGTACTAATAAGAATACTGAGAGGTAAGCCGATGATGATCAACATTTCTTCTTCTTTCATTTGCTCAGACAGAGAGAGAGAGAGTGAAAATTACTCCCCATTTCTCAAGTTTGACTTCCCCTTCTTGTTCGAAGCTTTATGATTTGTCACTCGATTTCTTCCAAAGTTTTTATACAAGAGACAGAAAAAATGTGAAACAATAAAATGCTTGTCCTCCTTTTTGAATGGATCAAAAAGGGCTTGGAAGGGAGAGCATTTGATAAGAGAAAATGTGTGTAGTTTCCGTGGCAAGAAAAGGGTCAACAACATACCAAAAAAAAAACCTTATTTGTTGCAGCATTTAAAACATGGAACCTCAGAGAAAACAACCCTTTATACCAAAGTGTTTCCAAATGTATTTTGAACTATATTTATGTAGTTGCATTTTCTTAGATGTTGCAAGAGAAGAGGTTCTTCGTCATTTTCTTTCATTTTACCATGCAACCTTTTTGCCACACGCACTGACACACACACGCTGTCACGAAAGAGTCCTCAAAGAGACAGATTTGACCATTGAGAAAACTCACACTGAGCATTAAGATGTGTCCCCCCCTCTCCCCTTTATAGACAATCATGTATTTTATACACTTTGTATTATTATAATTTATATATTACCTTCTCTCGTAAGAAAAAAAAAGAATATTTTTCAACAGTTTTTTCAAAGGTTTGTATGATGATACTAATTGGATTCCAGAGGGTTTATCTGGTTTCATTGATATAGAGAGAGAGAGAGAAATGACATTTAACATCTCTTCTGAACATGATTTCATACAAGATCTGAGTTGAAATCACTTCTTAATCGCTTCTTTGCAGAACTTGTTTGAGATGGAGCAACTTTTGCTGCTCATTTCCGCTAAAATCTGGTTTAAACAAAAATTTCAGCGCATTCTTTGTGCTTCAATTGACACTGTATAAAATTGGTAAATAGTGTAATTGAGAAGAAGATAAACCCTTTGAACTAAATCTCTACTGAAGAAGGCATTTGATGTGAAATCTTACATCATATCTCATCAATTCTCACTACTAATATTCTCTCAATTCTTCTCTTCCTTGCCGCGCGCCTGCAATTGACCATGCATTTTAGTGGTGAAGCCAAGGAGGACTTTGTGGAAGGAGATCCGCAGGATTCACTGTATGCTGATGTGCCGAGTGACATGTTCTATTGTCACATGTGCAAGAAGCACATGTGGGACTGTTTGTCCTTTGAGAATCACATCAAGGGGCGTTCGCACGCGATGATGAAGGAGGGTGTTGAGGAGAGCTATCGCTTGCGTGCCACGATGATTCGCCAGGAAGCGAAGATTGAGGAACAGCTGAAGAGTATTGAGATTGAGCGTCTGAAGCGCATTGGGAAGAATGTGAAGGCGACTAATGTGCGTCGTGAGTACTGTACAATGTGCGATTTGCACTTCTATGGACATTTGTCGTCGCATCGCAAGTCTGAGGGACACTTGACGCTGAAGAAGTTCCTCCATCCCAAGTGCAATGACTGCAGCATGGAGTTCCCAACGCGGATTGAGTATGATGCCCACTTGTTGGCGCCCAATCACATGATCAAGGCGTCCAAGAGGGCGCATCGTGCTGAGAAGCGTCGCAATCAGCTGGTGATTCACGGTGAGGCGGATGAGATGAAGGATTTGCGTGAGAAGGAGGAGAAACCGGCGGGTGAGAAGGTGGCCGAGGGCGAGGAGCCCGCTGAGGGGGCTGAAGTGAAGGAGGGCGAGGAGACAGCTGAGAATCCAGAGGGTGGTCAGAGTGAGGTGAAGCCCGAGGTGGAGAAGGAGCCGGAGAATGTCATTGTGGACTATGTGGAGGGTGTGACTGAGTTGCCGGCGGAGATTGAGAATCGCATTCCCAAGTACAATTGCCATCGGCAGTTGGGAAAGAGTCTGATTGGGAAGTTGGATTGCTATGAGTGTCGCATCTGCAATAGATACTTTGACAATGAAACCACGGCGGAGATTCACACCCGAACGATGTCACATCATCGTCAGTTCATCAAATTCCTCAATGAGAAGTGCAATGAGGTGAAGATTGCGGAGAAGAGGGCTGCGGCTACGCTTGAGAATGAGCGCAAGAAGAGGGCTCGCATGGAGGGTGAGCAGAATGGGAAGTCAACTGCTGAGAAGCCCAAGATTGATCCATCTGAACTCTATGATCCGTGTGAGGCTACTGAGGATGACGATAAGCCCAATGGTGAGTGTTAATAATTGTACACAGAGAGTTTGGAGATGAATATTGTGATTTCTCCCTCAGAAGCTGAAACCACGGAACCAGAGGTGAAGGAAGAGGATATGTCTGGTAGTTTGGACGCCACGATGGAGTCTGTGAAGGAGGATGTGAAGCCAGAGCCAGAGGAGCAGCCCGTGGAGCCTGAGAAACCAACTCCTGAGCCTGTCGTGGAAGCGAAGGTAGAGCCAAAGGCCTCACCGGCCAAGGCGCCGGTTGTGCAGACGCCAACGCCGACGCCAACACCGACGCCGACGCCACAAGCGAAGCCACCACAGCAGAAGCAGACTGCCACGCGCGGACGTGTGCCTCAGCGCGGTTCTCCGCGTGGTCGTGGCCGTGGACGCTACAATCGCTTCTAAGACGTGCGAAGAGAGAGAAGAGAGCCAATTAATGCTTCACAACTCATCTTTCGGCTGAAAGGTGTTCTTTCATTATATTGCACATTTTGCCCTCATCAACAGAGTCGACGGAATATTTTAGGAAGAGAAAGAGAGAAAGAGAGTAAACAGAAAGTAGTAGCATATGCTTACTTTAACACAATATTTTACAAGAGGAGGAAATTTTAAAAAGTACATATACAACATATTTAGAGATTTAACATATAATCTTAATCATACTTTTAATGTTTATTTTGATGTAGGTTGATGTCGTGACTCTTGTGAGATACAATTAATAATAAAGAGTGTAAGAGAGAATTGTGCTTTTTATTACTACGGTGGTGATTTATTACTTTCCTTGGATAATTGTGCACAGTGTGGCGTGGCCCTGATGTATGATGTGCTGATGAAAAATTACAAATGAGTTCACATTTGATAATTATTGTTGTAATGCAATTGCCGAGTAATATTTGTCTATTTGGCAACTTTTTGTTTACTTCAGCGAGCTGAAGACTGGAAAAAGGGAAGGAGAGTTTTGAAAACATGAGCTAATCAAACATCTCGATTGAGTCACAGTGTAAATCATTTGCAAGGCTAATGATCCTCATTTGTGCGTACTTGCTTCTGAATTTATTAACTCAATTGTACTTTTGTCAAATATAACTCTTTTACACACAGTTTGTCAACAGAAACTTCCGCGAAGCTGCTTTAGTATGTCTTCAGGATGACCAGATGATGCGCCGAGCGCCTAAAGTTCCCACGCTGTGTGATCTTACTGTGACCTTATCAGAGATTTCATTCAGCACTCCGCTTAGTATAATCTCGCGTTTGACAGTGATAAGTGTGCAATTGACTCTCTTCGCGGACAATCATGAAGTGCCACACCGTGGAAGTTGTCTAGTGTCATCACTTTCCCCCCTGCTCAATACAATTGTCCGTGAAGATAAGGATGCCTCAAGTAGCTTCTCTGCTGATCTGTTCAACGTGAAATTGCCGTGAAGACTGCGTGATTTCCCATGCAAATTGGTAAATTTGTGGCACACAAGAGAGTTTTTGTGAAACGCAATAGATCGAGTGTGTTGCACTGTGTTTTTTCTTCAATTTTTCACAGTATAGTTTCTCCGTCGCCATGCACGGAATCAAGAGGGTGTGCATCTTCTGCATGCTCACCACCCTCCTGCCCGCCATCCTGATCATCCTGCCACTGTACCTGAGACACAGCCGCTTCGCAGATGTCTCCTACTCACTCGCCGAGTCGGACATTGTGGAGATCAAGGAGGGCATCTCCACGATCTTCTGCGAGCAGCATATCCTCCGCATGAACACCTCCTTTCACGCCGTTCAGCTCACGCACAGTCCGGAGATCTCGAAGAAGCGACGCAAGCACATCCGCCTGAAGAAGTCCATGACGCTGCCCGACGACACGCTGGAGTACTGGGGCTTCTTCCTGCTCAAGGGCGCTTCCGTGGCGCTCAAGGTGTGCTCGCGCTTCGACGGCTCGCGCATTCTGGTCGTCAAGGGCGAGCGAAACCTCAAGACGTGTGGCCTACAGGTGAGTCTCCGATCAACCCAATTCTCGTTTTCGCTGCGCGGAAAAACCCGCATGAATTAGTCGATTGGGATTTCTGCAAAAAATTGCTCTGTTGATACACTAAAAACTGATTGTTTATGTGCAAATGTCGCTGAGTACAGTGGAATTTAATAATATTCATGATATTCATGAGACACATTATTTATTCTATGGCTGTGCCTGCCATTCAAAAGTGAGACATTGAGCAAACACTCTACAGAAGTCGTTAGAATTGCATGTAAAGCTTTTAATTCCATTAGTTCCTGTTATTAGTGGCAAAGTCTCTAAAATTGTAATTGTAATCCTTGTCAGGACCACAACAAGAACAAGCCTAATGGTGCGAATCTCGGCAACGGACTGGGCACTGTGAGTGTGACCTTTGAGACGGTGGCGGAGGAGGTGCACGACGATCTGCCCAAGTCATTCTCCTCCGAGGAGGCGAAGATTGAGGAGATGGCGAGGCTCAAAGAGGCGGCGGAGAAGTTCATCAAGAATCACCCCAAATCGATGCTCGCCGAGACGATTCTCGAGCTCAAAGCCAATCACACTGTTCGCACGCGACGGGATCTGGTGCTGGACAGGCGGATAAATCACGGCGGAACAGCGCTGAACTACACGGAGGAGGACTCAGACTCCGTGTCCAGCTTCGAGAATGGCCTCCTCACGTGCTACGACGGGCAGATTCTGGTGTCGCAGAGCTTTCCGCCCAGCACGCAGTGCACGAGCGTGAAGTTCCTGGAAAATGGCACGCACATGGTGATGAAGCATGATGCCACAGCCGATGGCTACTACTACTACATCTTCTATAGTGACAACGATCTCGTGAGCAACGACATCAATGCGATCTTCGACATCCACAAGCCAACATTCCAGTATTCGCGGCGCGAGGGCTCGAGGGACTGCGTGAACAGCACCACTTGCGTCTTTCCCATTCACTTCTTCTCCGACGAGACGGTGATCGTGGAAGTGCCGACGCGGGACGGCATTGAGCACGAGGACGAGGACTTCACCACGCTGATCTCGTCCTGCAAGCCCCGGATGGCGGTTTATGTGATCTTCCCCATTGCCATTCTCTTCCTCCTGGTCACGTGCAGCTTCATGTAGACTTACTCCTTGCCATGTGTTGTCCATCCACTTTTACTGTACTTGTATAAAAGACATATTTTACATATCAAATACGTTACTTGGAAGGCTTTTCAATGGCATGTGCGCTGCTTATGCTTCCATCGCGCGTATGCTGCACACGATATCCCGCCTTGCGGCTGTCAATGCGAGTCAATATTTGATTAGGAAGCTATTCTTCTGCGAGCTCTTCTCTCATTTTCAGGCACGAATTGCATTTTTTTTCGCCCAGGAAAAAATCATTCAAAGAGAGTATTTGAAGAGGAGGAAAAAAAACTATTTGAATTCCTCACTCTCTTTGCAAATATTCCATCAGTTTTTTGAGTGACGCGCAGAGCGATTCTTATTCATTTGCCTCGCGCGCATAATTGCCTCGTGAAAACACAGGCAATAAATCAAATAGATTTGTACATGGCAAGGAAAAGAAGGCTGGACGCCATGTAATCCTTTTCCTGTTCCCTCTGCGCCCCTTTTCCGGTCCACACACAAAAAAAGTGTGTCGAATTTCAGCGCAAACAGGCCCATTGAGCGGGATTTCATGCATCTGACTGGCTTGCGGCCATGGAAAATTGTCAAGAGAGGGTCAGAGGCGGAACGCCTCATTGGGACTTAATTAGATTCCCAGGCAAATAATGCTCCAGGCGACGAGTGAGAGATAGTGTTTGCACAAGGCGAAGGAGTGTATCATTGGCCACGAGCACGTGTCGCCAATCAAGTAATCGCCTCCTTAATGGAGTCTTCACACCACCCACTTGAGCGTGCGTCGTGGCCACGTGCCGCCCAGGAATCTGTTGCTCTCCACCAGCCCTCAAAACAACACGCAAATTGTCCGCACGTGGCCGGGAAACTGATCTTCTCGCGCCGCGACGGCTCATCTGCTTTTTTAAGGCCAACGGATTGCATCTCACGCGGACACGCGACGCCTCGATGGGTTCTTGTGCTGATCATTGAGATTAGTGCTATTTTATTGACAGGATCATCACACAGCCAGGAAATGTGTGAAAACTCACGACAGATGTGACCAATTGTGCTACAATGGATTTTTTATGCCATCGTCAGTTTTTTCCGAAAAGAGAACTCAACCGCAAAAAAATCTAGCGAAGTCTATTGTTGGAAATGTGTGATAATCCTGGGTGAAATTCGGAAGCTGGAAGTAATTCGTCAGTGATCAATTGTGACATCTTCCCATTGAGGAGGTCTTTTGAAGATTCTCTCTGTGTGTGGAGATAAAAGTGACCAGAGATTCGAGTTATTTGATCCTTCCGACTCCTCAGCAATATTTGCACTTCATCTCGAGGGAATTGTGCAGGGATTCTTGGTCAGTGTTTCCCTGTTTCGAGGGAAAGAGATTCCAATAAAACAATAATTGAATTTTTCAGCAGGATAAATTTTTAATGAGCCAATATTTGTATTGATTTGTATTCACTTTGATGTCAACAATGGAGAAATGGCAAAAACACGGCATAAATCTTGGGGAGTAAGAGTGTTAAGGATGATTTACAAATACTGCAAAATTGCAAAGTTCGACTCCTTTTATTTGCCATAGCATGAATTGCTGCATCCTTTCGGATACATTCTCTCGTCTCTGTGTCTGCATTTTCCACTCTATCCATCTCGTTTTTTACGACCCTGAAATATGATCCTGAATAATAAATGAGTTGCATGAATTGAAAATGTATTAAGAAGAGAGTGAGAGTTAAAAATTATTATAGACTTTGTACAGATTAGCTGAAAAGGGGGTGAGTTTTTCCTGTCAAGAGGGTTGTGCGCAGCAAAATACACCACAAAATTATGCATTCTGCATGGTTTTTCCTGTTCAAGAGTTCAGAGAGTGAGTAAAAGAGGAAGTTTTGTTTTAATTATTTTTCAAGCAAATCTCCTGAGAACCCCTAAATCCACTTCCAGTGACTTCTCACTCCCCAAAAATCGACGCCAATCGCTGGTCGTTCTGCATGGCTGAGAATTCACGGCTGAGGAAATTACTCACCAGCTGTGGTGGAAACATTTAACACGAATCTCAATTACAATCGAGGGTTGGCGGTCTTTTTGTCCGTCAAAAATCAGCGCCGGGAAGAGATTTCCTGTCGCCGGAGCTAAATTGCAATTTAATGTTGCAAAAGTCAGTGTTTGGAGTGTTTTTGAAACCTAACGTGTGCGACCCCTTTAAAATAACATTTGTCCAAAAATTTCTGGCCTTCCAAATTCATGCGACCCGGCTCAATTGCAAATACCGAAATTGTTGTTTGTTCTTCATATTTAAGGGATTTGTCAGTCAATTGAGGGCCGCTTTTGTGTGCTCTTGGCAGGATTGGCGCGACAGTGCGATGGCAGAGCTGGAAATGAGAATGTTTGATATGGTTAGTTAGAGTGTGAAATTTTGGGTAATTTCACAAATTTGGGAAATACACATCCCGAGAAAGCATCACATATTTACCTTCAGGGGGTGAAATTTATTTGATCACGGATCATGCCTCATGGCATTAGAATGCAAATCTCTATGCTGGAAATTCTGTCGCTTCCGGGCATTTCGGGGGTAGAAGAATTATCGGTGAAATCCCATGTGAAGCTGAAACGGATCAAATTTCTGGGTTTTGCAGTGATGAAAGAGGAAAAATGCACTGCATTTGTGATACTCAATCCTCAGTATATTCATGTTTGGTCGCACTTTCGAGGGTTTCGCATCTAATCTAATCTCATTCCACCGCGAACTTGCCGAGACAGTGACCAACAAAGCGCAACTTCGCATCTGCAACAATTTTTTTTAAATGAAAACACACTCGTGAAAAATGCTCGTGTTTTGATTCTCATGTTATTCTTTTATGAAATCCTCAAGTGGCCACTTATCGAGGACTATGTTTGGGCTATCTGAGTACCAGCTGCACGATGTAAACTGATGCTTAGCTGGGGATATTCTCATTGGGATTCACTTGCCATCGCACACTCATAAAGTTTCAATTAATCATCGAAAGATTGTAAATCTCCCGATAACATCTTGCCAAAAAAAAGGGGGAGGGAATTTATTGCTCGCATATGTAAATATCACGCAGAGTTTTCTTGTTCGCTAAACACCTCGACTGGAGGGACGCGCGAGGAGGAGAAGGACTAAAAAGCACCCATTCAGGGCATTAAACCAATCGGTGGAATAATCCATTGTCACTCTGATGGCAATAGTCGCAATTTTGCCGCCATTGTCTGTGAGCGTCGAACGAGGGCTTGTCTCACTGCTTCTTCGTGTTGATGTCCTGTGACCAGACACAATTGCAGAATGGCACAAAAGTGCTTAGCCAGGATTATTTATTGTCAGTTTTCCAATTGAGGTTTTATGCTGGACCATCAATAATTTTTTTTGTCTCCTCTTCAAGTTCAACTTGAATTGAAGTGATTCTTGGAAGGAAAATTGTAGGAATTTATAAAGCGATTTTCCTGCAAATGAAACAAGTGGAAAATTGTGTTTGTATGAGGCAAAATGACATATTTATTTGAAAAAAAAAATCTCTCTGCGAAACAATCATTCTTTTGCGACCTTTCTTCCTCAAGTGATCCATCCAAAATTTGCTTTGAAGACGATCAGACCTCACTTGGCACACATAAAAGAGTTGACGTGTGATGAAAGGGTGCCTCGGAAAATATCATAGGAATAATTGAGGCTCGCTTGATCTGAGCTTGAGGCTCGACTGCACCCCAGAAGAAATCAAAATACGAATAATTCAGAGTTGACACCTCAGGGGGTCTCTCCATTATTATAACTATTATTATTTCTATGAATTGTAACCCTCTTTTGCTTGCCAATTCCATTCATTTCCATTGAGCGGGCGAGGAGTTGTTCCCTGCCATTCCATCCCGCTAAATACAGGCGAGAGAGCGAGAGACTCCCTCGTCGGCGACCGGCGCTGGGGTGAGAGCAACAATGGACGCGATTTCACGTCACCTGCCAACCATTATAAGTGCGCGCCGGATAGTTGGCTTGCAACAGAAAAGCACCCCCAAATTGTTGTGATTCTTCCACAGGCCGTGGAAGGGTGAGCGCAACTGATTTCGCCTCAATTGGATTCTGACTTTAACGGCCATTTAGCTGGGATGCCTCAAGAAACAAACAACACATTAACAATTAGTTATGCTTTTTATTGGTGCCTTCGACATAAGGAAACGATCTTGCATCATTCTAACAATATACATTTGTCATTTATTGATGATAAATACAAAAATTTGTGCCTTCTGCATAGAAAATGTTGGTATAAACTCGTTTATAAGTTCCACTTGAGCACTTTATATTAAGGCAAAAACTTACAGCTAGTGAAAAAATGACTAGAATTGACTTTCATTTGATAAAATTGACAAAATAATATTGCTTCATGTGTGAAATTGCTTCTTCAAATTCAAATACAATTTTTTTTTTTCTAATGGATTTCCTTCTATAAATTACAAGCTAAATTAATACAAAAAGGATGTGCACAAAAAAAATTGGAATGTTATGAATACTTGGAGATTTTCTTCAATATACATTTTGTATGATATTCAATTCAAAAGATTGGCAAGAAGGAAATCCTCAACATTCCTAAGAAAAAATCACGAAAACCCTACGCCAAAGAATGTCCTTTAGAATCTCTCACTGTACTGAAAAGGCTCCACAATTGGGAACTCATTGGATTCCCGCCACGGAGGCGTTTGATTGTAGAAACTGCTGTTCTGATGATAATTCCTCTCGCTTGATCCAGATTCAGCTGCTGCTAAATTCGTCATCGGATAGCCGGTGTTCTGCTGAAGATAGTCATAATTGGTCATCGATGGATGCGTTCTGGCTGCGCTGTGGAAGGCGTTTCTGAAGATGTCGTAGTTCTGCTTGGAGAATCCTGGCTCTGGCGGATGAGGATTGGCGACAGACACGCTGTACTGCTGCATGCTGTGGTAGAAATCCATTGAGGAGAATCCCGCCGCCGAGGCGGTGAAAGTGCGCGGCGAGACGTTCCTGATGAACAAGGCGTGGAAGAGATCCTTCGTGATTCTCTCCCCGCTCAAGGTGATGCTCTGCAGCTTCTCCAGATCGAAATTCACCGACCCATCGCTCTCCAGCAGTTGCTCCAGCGAGAAGATGTAGTTGTGGGCGAAGCGAAGCGTCTCGATCTTGGTCAATTTGGTGTCTTCGGGAAATGTGGGCAGCGCCAATCTCAGGCGCTCTAGAGCCTCATTGAGCGTGTGCATTCTGTTCCTCTCGCGATCGTTGGCCTTCATCCGTCGATGTCGCTTAATTCTGAGGATTTGCGTTGGGCTGCGGGATCGCGTGACGCGATTTTTGCCGACGGCATACTTCCTCTTGGGCTTCTGGGCGCTGGAAGCGTCTTTGACGGGCGTTGAAGTGCCCAAAATCGGAGCGAAAGTCTCCATTTTGTCCTCTTCTCCTGCCATTCGGGGTGTGGAGGAAATCTCCGGGACTATTCCCAGGCCACAGCCGGAGTAATTCAATTGGTATCCTCCGGACAAGTCAGACGATTCATAGCTCTTCTCGAAGCCACTATCCGTGGACGAGACGGACTCGTTGAAGCCATAAGATCCATCATCGAAGCCACTGTAGCAGGACATTGCAACATAATTGTGCACAAACACTGAACAAATCAATTAAAAATCGATGAGGAAACACAAAATTTGGACACACACGAGCACGGCGATCCTCTCGAACTGACTCGCTGAGCGCCTTTACGCACCCTTAAATAACACCGAGAGTGCTGAGGACGTGTTTAGGGGTTGGTCTCCGGCGAGCGGCTCTTTTGCACCAATCCCTCCTGCTTAGATAAGAACGGTTTGCGCATGACTTCCTCATCACAGTGCATTTCCCTCTGTAGGAGGGAAATTCTCTCTCCCTCGTACCTGCTATTCAGCACACAAAAGCTGCAAGATGATCGCAAAGAGATAAATCCTCAAATAGTGGGAATTATAGACGAATTTCTGGTGTGCCAAATATTTGCCGAATAACAATAGGAGAAGACAAGAGAAGCATGGCAAGGAAAACTTCCATCAATTGGCATCGACTTTCCATTTTTCACCCCTTTTTTTGGTCGCAGAACAGCGAAGAAACAAACACGAAATCAAATAAATCGCATGAGATTCGTCACGATTGCAAAAAGTTAATGTATTGGAAGAGTGCAGAAAAAAGTCTGCAAAATTGCCATGAAAAATGAATTTGGGCCATTTTATGTTCATTGCACAATTGATAGGAGAGAGAAAGAGTTAAATGACTTCTTGTTACAATTATTGGGATGTGTAATTTGATTGAAAAATTGCCAGAGCAGATGGTTTTTTCGGCTATGAGACGAAATGGATTGGTGATGGGTGAAATGGCGATGAAAATCTAATGCGCCGAGAGAGATCAAAGGCGTGGCGATGAGAGTAGATGAAAGGATACAGTTTTTATTTTCAGCTGAGTGAAAGTGCTGAAAATTCGTTGAAATGACAAAAATGTTTCTTTGTGCCTCGGCGAGGGTGTCAAGAGTGGCGGCGATCAACACGTGAGGAAGCCAGGTAGCCCATGAATTGCTGGCGCGCGCGTTCCGCTTCGGTTATATATGAGAAAATACCATTTAATATGTCAAATATGATATTTCAAGTGGCCCTTATCAGTCAATATAAATATCCCTTACAAGTGTTTTACAAATAAAACACGTTCTCCACCAAATATTAAAACAATTGTACAAACAGTGAATTACTCACATATGTTCTGCATGCAAACTCCCAGTGACTTCAATTGGACTGTCTCTCGCCATCGTGGCCCTCAGCAAGAGTGGGTGCCACTGAGGGGGAGGCAGGATGCCTTTGTCACCTCACTTTGCCAACACTTTTATTGCCGCAATTCACGCCATCAGCAACTTCTGCGCGATCCGATCCCTTCCACGTGTTTGCTACTGACGATATGCCCGTGAGCAGCTTGGCATTTAATCATTTCTGTCCCACTTTCAGTGCAAACAAATTAAAATTGTCACTCTCCAGGAGGTTCCTTCAAAGGTTTTAATCCTTGGACACTTCGCAAAGGACTGGCAAAGATGAACATCGATTATTTCTGCCTAAAACCACACAACTTTATCAAAAAAGCGCGCAAAATCAAACTCAAAGAGCAGCTTAATGACCAATTAAAGCTGTTAGTTCAATCAGTGAGTTATTTTATTTGCTTGCATAATTATATTTCATTGTGTGTTGGGCGCAATATTTATTCAAAATTTTGTCACAGAAGAAGTGCGAGTCATTAAGCAATCCTTTTCCATGTCACACATTTCTGCATATTTCACCAATTGTTGGTAATTGGTGGATTTTTGCCTCTTCTCCAACTCCACATCCTATTGTTATTCAAATGACTCAAGAGTGTTGTCAATTCATTAATTTCTGACACACCACCGTCTCGTTATTTATAGTTGCTTCTGCCACGAATAACCAAATAAATTGCCCCTTCCCCTCGCCATTGCACAGCAAAAATGAAGTGCATTGTTCTTTCAATTCAATTACCTCCTCTCTTCACTCCGTCGAGGGTGTTTTCCAGCGCCGAACTTCTGTCCAAGGTGACACATTCACCCTTCCTGCGCTTGACTCTTTTTTTTTCATAGACTGACAAAATAGGCAGCCAAACTCTCTGGCATAATCATTTTCAGATAAATCCTCACCCTTCTGAGGAGCTTCTCTTTAAAATTTATGTTAAATGAATGCCACGATATTTACTATCAAGCCTCTTCGATAGTATAAAGTCACCCTCGCCGCTCCCTTGAGAGGTGCTGCTTGCCAAAGGGTGGCGAATTTGTTTTTCCAAGGAATTCCCCACAAAATCTCCGACAAATATTTGCGTGAAAATATTTAAAATGATGATTCTCGAAAATTAATCCCCCAATAACACAACAGTCACAAGCTAAGCCATTTGCCCCAGTGCATTTTAAATCCATCATTACATGGCTTAAGTTGGGAAAGATACACTGAGCGCAAAAAAAGTCGTGAAATTGCAGGAGAAAAAGCCCAACCAGGCCGAATTGCCATTGTAACATGTCGAGAAGGGGTTGAAAATTCGAGGAGGGACTTTAAAAAAAAACTGTTTTTGTAGCTCGACACGAAGGGGTGAGGGTTTAGGATTTAAAATTCAAAGACTCTTCAACTAGTCGTGTCGCATAATGATGACAAGATCAAGAGATTACATTGAATTTTTGGGCATTGCGTGAATGATTCCTAATCCTGTGTCGTGGATTTGGCGGCGGTGTTGATTGTCGTCTGACGAGTGATTGATTTATTGATACGCCCGAAACGGTCTTATCAAACAGTTTGATGACACTGTCGAATATATTTGATTGTGGCAAATCAACCCACACTCTCCGTCTGATAATCTTTATTAGGCCTCACGCTCACACTTTCACACTTAAATCACATTTGGTGGCAGTTGACTTCCGCAGGTCAGAATGGCCCATAGAGGACGGGAGCCCCGGCCCCGTACGGCTCAGGCGGCACACGCGGCGTTAGAAATCTCTTTGTCTGCACCTTGAATCTGGTGGGAAAGAAGAGCACAATTGCAGAACGATACACTGAGAAATACCTCATTAAGTCTTTACGAAATACATAAACAGTGGCTGTTGTGCACTTTGCAGCATTAATCTCTGAGCTGTTGTTAGAAAAGGTGTGAACATAAGTTGCCTAATTACCTTCTGAATAGGCAGAACGACGTGCAAGTCGCGATGAGAGCCGCCACGCCAATCAGAGCCGCCAGAATGACCAGCCACGTTCCCGAAGACGACATGAAGCTACCCGTGGCGAGATTTCTCTTCACGGCGCATGAGTCCACAGCTGACACTGAATACTCCACATATGTCGGGGTCAAGAGCTCCCTGATCTCATCAGAGTCCATGACCTTCTGCATCTCGTGTGGCGGAAGGGCTGAACCGTGGCGGGTGAGTTGGAAGCAGGAGCTGGTCGAGCTGAAGTCCAGACTGTGATCAGCCTTGGAGAGAACGTGAGTGTCGAAGATGTGCAGCTCTAAGGCTGACGAGTGAAGTTTCTCCTGGACAATTCGGCTGAATTCTCCAATCATCGAGCGCACTTCCGCCGCTGGCCGGCCAAAGACGAATCGCAGCAGAGATTTGTCCCTTATGATGAATAACTTGATAACATTGTCTGTGAATCTGCTCGCGTTGTGCGAGTTATTCGCCCTGATGGTGATCTCGAAGAAGCCATCGACATAGTCACTCAGGCTATTCAGGGTTCGAACTTCAGCAGTTTGATTGTCCAGTGAGAAAAGAGACCTCAGATTGTGGGATTTGTTGCTTCTCTTGTAGAATTGCGGAGTGTAAGTCACATTCACGAGTTCCAGACTCACCGGAAGGGCGTCAGGATCCCTGTCCGAGACCTCAACGGTCAAGAGACTCATGTCTATTGGGACATTGTGACGCACGCCAAGAGTTTGATTCGCCGGATGGAATTCCGGCAGATGATCGTCCACATCACGGACTTTGATTAGCACCTGAATCTCAGACATATCGTGAGGATTATAGGGTTTTCTTGAAATCCTCGGATTGCTGGTGAACTTGAAGCACTTGATGGTCAACAGATGAGACTCAACAGATTCCCTGTCCAATCGTCCATTGACTAAAATCATAGCGCTGTTGTTCTTGGTTCGGGAAATCTTGAACAAGTTCTCCTGATTTCCATCAATGATATCGTAATCAATCGCTCCATTTTCGTCAATATCCTCATCTACCGCTGAGATATTCCCAACAATTGATCCCAGACTTTGCTCTTCAGGAGTCTCAATCTCGAACGGTGATGCGTGAATTTCTCGCACAAATCTCGGTTTGTGGTCATCAATGTCCAGCACATTTATCCTAAGGACTCTCGTGGACGCCTGAGGAGGATCGCCCTTGTCCGCCACAACGATTATCACACTGTACGACGCCTGAGCTTCCCTGTCCAGAGGCTGAGTCGTGCTTATCAGACCCGTTTTGCTGTTGATCCTGAAGGACTTGGCGTCGTCAGTGTCATTCTGGATGTTGAATCGAAGCATTCCACTAGGACTCGCCGGACTGTCTGGATCACTGGCGATGACTTGGAAGACTGGTGAGCCAATGGTAGCATTCTGCAAAGAAAAGTGACACGAATTTAAAATTCAGTGACTTTCTCTGAATTTTTTGTATTATTGCACAATCATTTGCTTAATTCATTCAGGAAATGCATAAAATGTCTACACACTTTTTCTCATAGCGTGAGAAAGAGAGATAATAATGATTTCGGATAAAGCTTCGCAAACTAACGAAATTGAGGGTGGATTAGCAAGTAAGCCCCTTAACGAGATTTGATATTAAAATTACTGTCTCTCATTAAGTCGTCATAAGAGTTATCCATCAAGATTGTGAAGTTTATATGAGTGGGAACTCTTGAACTTTGATTGATGACATGATGGATGAGGTGCGAGAGAATACAGCATAATTGATTGCTCACCTCAGTCACATTGGCAATCTGGCCCACATGCGGGGCGATGAAGAAGGGAATCCCATCGTTGGCACTGACATCGCCAATGTAGAGGGTGAAGAATGCGTCGCTGTACAGCGATTCCTGCTTCGGAACCTGTCCTCCATTGTCCTGCGCCCGTATCACCAGCTGATAGGGCTCAGCTCTGCCCTTTCCCGTCAGCGGAATCTTCGTCTCCACCAGACCCGTGATGGGATTAATCCTCAGCAATCCATTGGCTTCGCCTTCATTCAGCAGATCATAGCGAATCTCTCCTCCAGGCCCCTCGTCGGGATCCGTGGCTGATATGTTGATCACCTGTGAGCCAATTGGCACGTTTTCCGGGATCACAGCGCTGTAAGTCTTCATGGCGAAGGCGGGTGGATTGTCATTGACATCGAGGACGTCGATGACAACATCTGATGTGCTTTTTCGGGCCTCAGAAGGCTTCCCAAGAGCGTCTTCAGCTTGTACGGTGAATTTCAACACCGACTGCTTCTCCCGATCAATTGTATGATTAGCGGCCACAACAATCTCTCCCGTTGTGTAATTGATTGTGAAGTATTGAGAATGCTGACCGGATATTGAGTAGCTAATCTTGTTAAATCCATTCACTTCATCTCTCTCCGTTAGCACAGCATCGTTATCTCGCGCCAGAACTGTTGCTATTTTCTCTGGGAACTTTACAGACTCCATGATTGTTGCTTTGTAGATTTTGCTCGAGAAAATTGGGACGTTATCATTGACATTCAGCACTGTGATGTTGACATTCGTGACTGTACTTCTCTGGCCATCTCTGCTTGTGGCACTGACGCTGAAGAGAACATAAGGAGTGGTCAAGTTTTCGTAGTCAAGACGTTTCTTCAGCAGAATCTCTCCACTCTGGCCGTTGATCCCAACATAGCCGCCCAGGTCAGGCGAGACGATGTCAAATTCCTTAATTGGCTCCTCTGTTATCGGATCATCAGCGGCTAAAGTGAACAAAATACTCCCAATAGGCATTTCCTCCTTAACGTCCTTGTATATCACTGGTCTTGTGCTCGTCCAACCCTTGTTCTTAAACACAGGATTTGTGTCCTTGAACGATTGTATGTAGAGCGTGACTTCAGTGGTGGTGACTTGTTGCTCAACATTGTACTCTGCATTCTTATCTCTCGCCTCAATCGTTAGAATGATAACCGATGCCAGATTGTAATCCAGCGAAGAGTTAACGAACAAACTCCCATTCTCCGCTTCGACCCTGAAGGCGTGCTTGAAGTCAAAGGCGTGCGTCGACGTGAGCTGCAGACCCGTCTTCGAGGTGGCTCTGATTGGCTCCACAATGCTGTACTCAAGATCTGCATTCAAGTCCGTGTCTGTGGCTGTGATGTCCAGCACTTTGCTCCCGATTTCTGCCCTCTCCGACACGTACGCCGAGTAACTAGGCTGCTTGAACTTGGGTGGTTTGTCATTAACATCTTGTATCTTCACGTAAACTGTGGCGGTGGCCGTTTCGGGAATTGGGAAGCCCGCGTCAATGGCATTCACAACTATTGTGTAGCTATCGGCATTCGAGTCACGATCGAGCCTCGCCTGTGTGGACACTGTCAATAAACCTGTGTCTTCATCGATCTCAAAATTATCACTCGCTCCCACGATCTTGTACTGCAGCAGCGCGTCAATGCCATCGGGATCGGACGCCGACACTGTCGTCACGTTGAATCCAGCTTCCGCATTCTCTGGAATGGACACTCTGTAGCTCGGCGGCCCGGGAATCGCCGTGTGCAGAGAGGAGAAGTGACCTTTGAATATCGGTCGCTGATTGCCAGATATTCCAACACGAATGAGGACTCGCGTTGTATTCTTAAGCGGTGGCTTGCCATAGTCAGTTGCCGCGACCACAAGTTCATATTGACCTCTCTCTGTGTCCATTGACGACACGTGAGTGAGAATTCCAATCTCTCCAGAGTCTCTGTCGATGCTAAAGACTCTTCCTGATATGCTATTCTCCGCCTCGATGGAGTAAGCAATTCGGCCGCCGCCTTGAGTTGGACCATCAACATCCGTTGCTCTGACAAAGAACTGAGGCTCGAATTCTGTGGCTCCTTCGCGAATCGTGCGCGTATATTCCAGAGACTCAAACTCGGGATAGTTATCATTCAAGTCAATCACGTCAATGAATAAATTGGCATTGGTCTCCAAACCGCCACCATCGACAGCCGCCAACGCCATGCTGTAGCTCTTCTGCTCCTCATAGTCCAGGTTCTTCTTCACATAGAGTCCGCCTGTTTCGGAATCCGTGTAGAAATTGTCCGACCCGAAGCCTTTGAGGATGTATTTAAGCTTCTTATTCACTCCCGAGTCTTTATCGGTGGCCTGAATTTGTGCCACTTGAAATCCAACCTTTGCATTTTCCTCCACTTTCAACTGATAACTATTATCTGTGAATATCGGGGCGTTATCATTAGCGTCTTGCAGATGAATTGTCACTCTTGATGAAGCCTGTTTCTCCCCATTAACTGACGCCACCAAGTCGAACTCGAGAGTTCGCAAATCCTTATTGGCGACATCGTAATCCAGACGATTGGGATTTACTACTTTCACTACCAAAGGAGTTCTTCCTTCACCGTAAGTTGGACTGACGGTGAAGACGCCGTCGGCGTTCTTTATATTCTCCAGAGACAGATTGTATCGACTGTTTGGCCCCAGATCTGGATCAATGACGTACACCGAAAGTCCTGGCAAAGGCGTGTCAAAGTCCAGATTCTCAGGGATTTCAATATCAAATTCAGGAGCATTGAACTTTGGCCTGTGATCATCGACATCAGTTAGGACGATTGTGACTTGTGTCAGGGCTTCATCAGCAGGAACTTGACCATTAATGAGCTCAGTGGCTTTGATATTAAACGTGTAAATCCCTCCATTCTGCAGCACATCAGGATCTTCGCGATCCAGAGGAACTTCTGTGGTCATGAGAACAGCTTCTCCGTCTCCCGTTGACTTCAGGCGGAAGTGATGGTTCTTCTCCTGGTCTAGAGACAGGAGGATCTCTCTGGGATTCCCTGTGTCTCCATCCATGGCTTTGATGGTCATCACTGAGGTGTCTGCCGGAGTGTTTTCCTCGATTGTTGCCGAATACGGAGCATTTACGAAGACTGGAGGCTGATCTTGCACGTCAATAACGTTTATAGCCACGCTCGCGAGGGCAGTCAATGGGTTAGAAAATGCCCCATCTTTCGCTTTCAGCGTCAGCAAGTACGACGGACGCGTCTCAAAGTCCAGTGGTTTGATCAATCTGATCGTGGCTGAGAAGTTTCCCTCTGCATTCCTCTCCGTTGTCACGCTGAACACATCGCAGACACTGTAGGTGTCCATCGATGCCTCCGAGAAGCAGGAGATCGTCACATCGGCATTCATGCCCTCATCGCGATCGGTGACAGTGATCGCTGGGGTGATTATCACAATGCTGCCCACAGGAGTTGACTCGCTGAGCGATGCCGAATACGGTCTGCCCGTGAAGATGGGCGGATTGTCATTGTAGTCCCTGATGGGAATCTCTCGTCGGAGTGAGACCGTGTTGGGTTCCGTGCCGAGAACACCTTCGTCTGGAAAGCGAAATGATAGAGGATGCATTTAGTGAGACGCGACGCTTCGGGGTGTGGGTCAATGAGGTGTTTTCACTGCATTCCAACGGAGGCAATTAGAGTGATCATCTCTGGATTTACATGCAAATGGGAAGAGAATACTTTTCCAATGTCGGAGAAAGGGGTTCAATCACTTTCAGTCCATGCCATGCATTCAATGCATCAGTGGATTAATTACAATGAGAAAATCACTATTCGTAATTAGAGTTGATGCATTTATAGATTAGAATATTGTGCAAACTGAAAGTGTGTGATGAGCAAAAACTGGAAATTCAACAGTCGAAAAAGTGTTGATTTTTAGTGAAATTTTACATTCTTCACGAGTGACTCATAGTTTCTCACGTTCTCTTTATCTAATCTATAAAGAAGTGCAACACGCACTTCTGTCTCTCTCTGTTGATAATGATGAAAATTACCCACCTGTGATGCTAATAATCACCTCCACAGAATCTTGTGCTTCGCGATCGAGCTCTTGCCGGAGTCGAACAACGCCAGTGTCACGATCAACAGTGAAAACAGGCCCAGAAATGCTGTACCGAAGATCACTCCCTTCAGGATCCACACCTACAAGAGAGCGAATGAAAGGAAGATTGTGGTAAATGTTAACTCATCTCATTCTCACACACGAATTATGGCTCAATTCATTGACGATGGAATCTCTCATGACACAGAAAATGGCTTCTTGTGTGTATGAAAATGCTGAGAGACCCAACTTCCCGTTATTTGTATCTGAATTTCTTCTCGCTGGATGCTGCGCGAAGTCATCTCCATTGACTCAGCAGTCTAACCCAGAATATTGCCCGTTCTTTGACTCTGACGGAGACAAAATACAGACCAAATCGACTGGAAATGCTGGGAAGAAAGTTACTTTCTGGGCGCGGGTTTCTCTTCTTGCGACAAGGAGGGATTTTTTTCTCACACGATTGTATGACAATTGGGCTGCCTTGAGTGGGACAATCGTGTTAATTGCTGGCTTGTGGGAGAGGAAACATCCACTCTCGATGGCATTGCTGAAATTCACTGTACAGTTACGCTAAGATCATCGCATACAGACCTCTCAATTGGTATACGGGACTGCCGACTGGAGTGTTCTCGGACAAGCTGAATCTGGACATGTCTCCGGAGCCGGGAATAAAATGGGGAATCCTGTTGATGAGCTGGCCAGCTGCCAGGAAACTCCTCAGGCCAAGGATGATGGCCAAAAGTCCCACTCTTGACCACTCCATGGTGAATTTTACCACACTTTTTCACTATAAAGCACTTTCCAACAATGACTCATTAGAGATTGTGAGCCTCTCTTGCTGCCTTCTCTCCCTCACACTCTGCCTCGAGACAATAACATTTGTCGATTCCCAAGATTTCCCGTCTCTCGTGGACTCCGGATTGAGGTCAGTGCACGGTTAACTAATTTTTCTCAACTCAACTTCGCCCCAAGAACGCGAGTGTCTTGGAGGGTCGACGCTGGAAGGAGGCCAATATTGCCTAATGCAAGACACTGTGGAGTGAATTTAAAAGACTTTTTGCACTTCACCAATTCGTCAAGGCTACCACTTTTGACCTTTCACTCACAGAAATGCCAGAATATGTAAGCACTGCACTGGGTGGTGATCTATTCCGGTTTCAGTGGCACTTTCTTGGACACGTTGACATCATCGCTGCTGAGCAAGAATGCTGAGGCATCTTCACACAACCGTTTCCAGTGAGACACCTCAGGAGAATGCTCTGGCCAGAGAGATGATCACTGCGGACGCCAAGGCACACAATACATGCAGAGAAGAGGCGGAGAGAGCGAGAGATTGTCCAGGTGCTCTCTCGCACACTCGCAGAACCGCCGAAGAAATTCCCTCTCGGAGTTCCGTGTCTTTCCAGCGCTCAACAATGCCGGTGAGAAAGAGCATTAAGTAATGCCGCTGTGGTATTGGTAGACATGCCGAAGTGACCTACACAGTCGAGGAATCATGTGCTGTGTTCGCATCGCACCAAACCGTCGATTCGGTCGGTGTGGCGAAAGAAAAAGTGTATATTTCCCTCACATGTCTTCACATGGTCAGCTCCGTTCCCTCCTGGACCCGATCAATGTTTACACTCAGCGCGAACGCATCGGTGTTAATCTCTCTCATTCTCTCTCCCTCTCAGCTAAACACACAGAAATCACTCATGCGAAAACAATGCATGCAAATGCGATTGAATCATCGTGATTATATAAAATGTCTTACAACAAATTGCAAGAGAATTTCCTCGAGTTCCCGCCGTTTTTTGCTAATCAGCCACTTGGCGGTTTTGCCGCCATGCCGGCGCTTTAGAAGCACTCGAAGAGTCTTCTGATTTATTCAAATTGTACGCATTGCGTTTCATTAAATACTATATTATTATGACTAATTTGCAATTCAATATTATATGCATCATTAAGTAGTGATAATAGAAATTTTTTTTCTTGATATTTTTTAGAGCATTTGTAATTGCTTCGAACATGAATTTAAGATGTTTTGCTTTGCAGAGATAGTTGAAGAATTCAGTTGATTTTTTTTCAAAGTTGTTCAACAAATTAATTTGCATAATTGAAGCAAGAAAATGTTCACGATTCCGCGTAAATATGTGCAATTACATTACAGCCTAACACGTCTAATTGAGATAATCTTAAGCATTCCTTGCAAAAATTTCAAAATCAATTAAATCTCTTGAGGGTTTATTGGATAATCTTCTAAATGTCTCTCTCTCTCTCTGTTGTACAACAATTGCTGGATTTGTGGAAGACAAAGAATCTTACTGACCATTTCTAATGCATCTGGATCGCGTCACTGGAGTCGAATCTTATCAATTCATCGGAGGGGATGTCGAAGTTTCCCATCTTATCTGATGTGCGCATTCTCGAATCGCGGAATTTATTCGCCGCGACGAGCATCGGATTGTCAGGCTGCTGAGAATTGTGCATTCTGAACTCATCATCCGCGAAGACTTCCGTTGACATCTCAGGCGGAATGTTTCCGCGCGGGTGGAAAACCTCCAAGTGACTCTCTCTCTCAGACTTTGGAAAGACGACAACAGCTCTGTTTCCCGGAAGCGTTTGGGGCGGATCCGATGGTGACAAGTCCACAGATTTCACAATTTCCACGTAGGAAGTGGCGTTGGGATAGTAGATTGTTGTACTCGAGTAGGGATTGATTGTCTTCGGGATCTCAATAGCTGTGCCAATGCCCAAATCTGGATCATCTTGCTCATCGTGGGGTTGAGAGTTGAAGAACACTTTCGGTCGCAGGGGCTGGAATGAGTCCTTTCCATTCTCAATGTTAGGTTCAGTTCTCTTATCCGCCTCAGAATCAATCCTACCCACCCTCTTCTTGTTCTTCGGATAGAGATTCAGGTGCACAATCATCTGGCTTGGCTTGTTGGTGGTGTCCTCAGTGGGAATTGGGTCTGGATATTGGATGTGAGTCCAGTGTTGATCTCTGGGAGTGCTGAAAGGTCCTCTGTAGTACATATTGTGGTAAAAGTTGTGAATTGGCTGGTGATTCTGAGGGATCTGAGGGAATGTCATGGAGCTGTAGTAGGATGAAGTGTCCAAAGTGCTGTAGTAGGGTTTTCTGGTGACAACAGGAGGCGTCTTGGCCTCATCTTCCTTCTCATTCACCGGATAAATGTCCAGCATCAGACTGAAAGGTTTCTTTTGATTAGGTTGACTCTCATCGCGATTTCCTCCGAATTTCCCTCGATTCTTCTCGCCTGATATGAGATCTTGGTAGAGATTGGAAGCATCTGCAGTGCTCTCCGTGGCGAAATGATAGAACGCCGGATGAGTTCCTCGTGCTGCTGGAGATTTGTAGAGATAAGGAGCAAATCTGAACTGCTTAGTGGCCATCAAGTTGACATCGCTGGGCGTTTGGGGCTTGTAATTGTAAAAGAGATCCGCCGGAGGAGCATTTGTGGTGATGTCAAAGCTTCTTTCAGTCGTTCTCGTGATGGGCATGATTGTGGTCCTTCGCGGAGGACGATAGTGAATCATCTTGGCGGGACTTCGATAAACCCCTGAGATGTGAACTCTTCTGACCCTTGAAGAACTGGCGTCCGGAGGTTCTCGCAAGTCTCTGAGAATGTCTTGGATGTTGTTCGCACGATTTACAGTCACATTTGGCTTCCGGAAGGCCGATGGAATGGGATCGTGCAGTTCATATTCAAATGGTCGCGGCGGAAGAGACGATCTCCGTTGACTCTCTGGGACTGGAGGTGGTTTTAAGTACTTGCTAGGGCGAAGAACCAGCTTCTCTGACACAATATCCGTAATGTTCTCCACCAACTTTGGGCTCATTGTTGTGTTTGACCACTCTTCGGTGGTGGTTGAAAGGGGGTTTTCTGTGGGAAAGTCCGTTGGTCGATCGAGAGATGGAAACTCGATGAATTCATGTCGTTCTGCGCACAATTCTTGTAGTATGAAGAATACCTGAAAACCACACACAATCCACTTAGCACTGAACTTTGCAGAAGAGTTGTTCTTTGAATTTACCGCCAATATGAGCAGAATTGAGCACCCGAGAATCATGTAGAGCCCAAGAGTGGGCTTCCAAGACTTCCTCGATATCTTCTCACTCTCACCATCATCGCGGTATAATCCAAATTGCGCCAGCCAATTTGAGCTGCCCTTAGCACCATCGGGCTGAGACATTTCACTGCCAATCACCCACTAAATCATTCAAAAAACGGACACTTCCTCCAGCTCAAAGTGGAAGATGTTCACTACTCGAGAGATGCTGAAGAACTGAGGGCGAATAATTATTCCAACCATCTCCATGTCGCGTCAGTCACAAAAGCTCAAGTAGCCGTAAAATTGCTCATTTATATCAAAATGCGTTTTTCCTCAAGCTTTCAAGATGCCTCGGCACGTGTGAAGATGTAGTGCGAAGATGGTAGAAATTTAATTGTACGTGAGACGTGTTCAATGCTCAGCCAAGCGCCTCTGCTGCATCTTCCAGCAATGTTCACATCACAAAACCACCCACCAGCGACGAATTCTTCCCTAGGCACGCCAAAGAAGTGAATAAAAACCGCCTCTTCAGCGTCTCTTGTAGATCAATTCGCATCTGAGGAATTCCAGCCAGGCGTTTCGATGATATAATTAAAATGTGGATAAGCACACGCTTTGCGTTTGCTCATCAATGAAATGAATCCTCGGAGTGTCATTGCTTTTGTAGTGAATTGTCCCCAGATAAGAGCTTGTTTACGCAGGAATGAAAATCACAGGGAAATGGGATTGTGCAGATGACATCAGGGAAAGTTCCTGGCTATAAACTTCCAGAATCGGAAATCAGCATTTGGAGAGAATGACATGGTATTTTATGGAACACGGTTAATGAGGAAATCAATAAACAAGAACACATTACTAAAAAACTAGAAAATGAACTTATATTATTATACTTTTTTAATATTCTGTTCAGATAAGAAATTTCATCAGGTAATTATTAATTTTCCAAGCAATTAGTAACTCTATTCACCGTGTAATTTTCATGAAATATTTTACTGATTACAGCGATTGCTTGAAGTTTATAAATTAAAAGACAGAATTTTTCATCATCTTTATTAGTGCACATTTCATAGAATCGAGATGAACTTCAGTGTGTTTGCAATCGTTCTGTTTATCTTCATGGCAGCAGGTAAACTTCTGCACAAGCTTCTACACGTAAAAAAAGGCATTACTTGTTTAATAGAGTGACTTTTCTTTTAGGTCTATGCACAGCTACTGTAAATCAGAAGTCTGAGTCTCGAAATGTTATTGGATCCAATGAGGAAAACATCGGCTTTTTCAAATGGTTGTCTGGAATTTCAGGATGAAGAAAGTGTGAAGTGATTTTTGGAAGTAAAAAGAAAAAAAAACCGTATATCTACTTTTTCAGTGGCTTTTTCCGGGAAATCAGCAGAATAGTGAATGGAATTTTGTGTGCAGTGGCAGGAGATAAATTTTCCGGGGGAAGTTGACAAAGACTCCGAGACTGTTAACTGTGTGACCTTTGACCTTCCATATCTCAGCTCCTAATGAATAGGGCATCAAAAGTAACAGGTCGTTGGAAAGGTCTTGAGGTCAGCTAAAACATACCACAATTTGAGCCCTATTCATGTCATAGGGACTGAATAATTGAGGAAAGAGTATTTTGGCGGTGCTCAAAATGGCGGACGGAGTGGTGGGGGTAGGATTTGACAAAAAATGTTCATTACCACTGCATACTTTTAACTCTTTGCCGCAAATCACGTGTCGATATCTCTTACCGTTTAGGCCCCACAAATTCGTTTGTCACGACGGACGAACGGACGGACGGAACGACAAAAAGACACGAAAAACCCTCCAATTTTCGTAATATTTCGCCATTTTAAGGTAACTTGAGTCGATTGAAGTTGATTTTGCGAGGTTCGATCTTCTGCGCGATTACATTAGCTGTGATGTAAATCTCAGCTATATAATAAGCGCAACGATTTGATTGTTTGCACTTGTACCTCATATCTCTGCACATGTCAAGGAAATCAGGTTAATCTCAAGTTCATTCCGCCACTCATATCTGCACGGAATTTTAGCCAGAGACAATGAAAGTCTTTTCGTCAGGTTAATTGTACTTTTACTCGAGAACTTTCTCAAAAAAACAAAACATTGGCACTATGCATCAAGAGGTTTCATCGCTCTATTGTTTGGCAGTGATAGACAGTGTTGTTACACTACATTACATTGTTAATATTTCGAACGATTTGGAAGAGAAAAATCTGCAACTTGTACAGCAAAATAATTTTACAAACACAAGTCAAGAGGCTATAATTATTGTTATAAGTTTCGACTTGTGTAATCATCACATCTGACAAATTATCGTTTGGTAGAAGCAATTCAAATAAATTCTGATGTTTATGTACATTTAGAGACATTTAAGCAACACTTTATGCTAGAGCGATGATTCTCTCACTGATGATCTCATTAGTTGTTAGTTTTTCAGCTAGTCTAATTGTCTATCTTAAAAGTTAAAGGGGTTGTTATTCTGAGACGGAACCACATAAACATATCCTCTCGGCGTCGTTGTGGTTGTTGTCGGCCTGGGCGAATAGGAGTAACTCCGCGTCGGGATGGGCCTCATTGTGATTGGCACAGGGATGTAGGTAATCTTGGGCAAGGGATTCATGCTGATGCTCCTCGGAGTTGTGGTCGTTGTGGTGTAAGTCGGTCTGGCCGGTGGCAAGTACATCGGTCCAGGCGTTGAGGATGCGGGAATTGGCAAGTAATCTCTGCTGGGCAGAATCGCGTCATATCCTGAAAATTCCTTAGGCCTTCCCGGTGGAAATTTACCCTCAGGACCAGTCGTCTCAATCACAATGGCATTCTTATTCAGCTTATCTGTCAACACAGCATTGATTAGCGCTTCTTCTCTTCAATTTCAAGACTTCATTCAAGATCAATTTAATTACATGTCTTAACTGGCGGAAGAATGTTGTTGGACAGGAAATTGGCTTCTCTCACACCCGAAATATCACATTTTGCCACGGTCAAGATGGCACTGATGAGAATTACGATTTTCTGCAATTTGAGAGACAAACATTCATGATTATTTTTTGTTCGCATTTTAAGACGGAAAACACCATCAATCTCCACGCCTATTATTATGGAAATTTCATTCTCTTCACCACAAATCACCTGAATTGACAAATTTATTAGCCTTCACAATTAGCGTGTGAGAAATCAATTACAAGTGTAGCATTGAACTATAAATTTATTGAGATCTCTGTGACAATGTGCAAAGAGAAATTTAACGATTTGACTATAAAAAATATGCTAATTGCCCCAAAGCACAAAGCTTTAATTGGTTACCTCGGGCAAATTGCAAATTGATAGTTATATCTTGACGTGATGCTTCTTTAATTGAATACATTCAGCCACTGTCTTTAAGACATAATGAAGGATTTCCCTTATTGGCAAAGTTCAGACAAAAAGAACACGTGCATTATGCAAGAATCACCACAAAGCACAACTTTTTCTCACCTATAGAGCTTTTGCATAATTTCTCTGCACAATCATCTATTGGTCACACATTAAATAATAATATCGAAAAAGTGACATTGAGTAATTCCATCTCGACAGAATTCCATCCTTCAAATTGCTAAGACATTCTTCCAAGTGTGTGGTAATTTGAAATTAATCATTCCATCAAACAGCACATCGTCAAATTATGTGTAAATTGTGAATTCGTTTTTTTCTGCAAGTCTATAAATTAAATATAGTTTCATGCACAACCTCAGAGTGAGTATCAAATTATCACAGGTGATTAGCACTTGAGCACTTTCATAATTCCACTGAACTCACTCTCAAGCACACTCCTAACGATGCAAATTTGGAGTTAAACTGCCGGAAGGACTTACCATTGTGGACAGACAAAAACCACCTCAATGCAACTTTATCAATCTGCCGAGCTTTTCGCAATGCGTCTTTGATACTGACCGATGGTCAAACAATTTCGGTATATTTATACCGAGGCGATAGTGGGAGATGCAGAGCCTCTTGCTGGCTCCAAAGCGCACACGCGTCTTCTACTGATGAAAATTACCAGATGAATGAGACATGTTTTCACGGAGCACACCTTTTCGCCAAGAATAATTTGCTGAATTTATTTTGGGGAGGGTGACAGTGCAATAAATCAAACAAGATGACGCGGTTCTGGCCATCTGCTTTGAGGAGGGACTGAGAAAATGCGGTTTGGATTTGTCATTAACGCGACAGCTTTTAAAAGCTTAACGATGTCATCGATTCCCCACAAATCTATAATGTATTCTCTATTATTTATTAGATTTTAATTGACGCGTTACTGCTTTCCTTGAAATGCATAAGAAGAACACGCACAGAATTCCATAACGAGCAATTGTCAAATAATGAGGTTTATTGATATTTCTGCAAATTCAATTCAACCATAACAGCCAATTAATTCTTAGAAATTTCTGCACACCATCAGAGATAAATTAAGGAATAAATCGTACGTTTGAATCTTGTCAACCTTCAAAATGTCCAAACATTTTACCTAAGACGCATCTCAAGTTTTATTCACTTTATTGAATTTTTTTTGCGCGTGGAGAATTCAATCAAAATATGATATTGAAGTTGATAAAGAATTTTTGAATAACATTTAAATAAATGAGCATTTCAAGAACTGGCGGTTACTTTTTAAAGGCCACACGCTTCTAACAGGATTTTACAGCAACACAATAATGTGATGAAAAAATCATTAAGACAATTGCTATAAATTAGAAAATTGCGATAAACGGTGTAGAAATTGCAGACTCATCTCGCCAATTTAGTACATTTTGTGGTGATATTAAATAATTTTTCATGATGCAATGCCAGAGACACACCCGCGAAGGCTATTAAACTGAATTTAACGATGATAAAAAATTATTTAGCGGCGAATTAATAAGCCATTTGTAAGCTGATTTTCTCACGGAAAGATGAATTTATTGGCATCGATGACTAAGGTTAATTCAAAATCGATATCAATGTGCCCAAACTATTGTATAACCGCCGAAGAGATGCAAGAAGCGCCCATTGTTGGTGTCAAATTTATGATTTTATACACTTTAGAGCGTTCGCTAGAGGTTTCTGGGTCATTGGGTGAACATGATCAGCTGTCAGAGAGTGAAAAAATTATGTTTTCCACAAGATTTATACTTTATTAAATTAACTTCACGAAAAGAATGAGTATTTAGAAATCTTTTGGACTGATTTAGCAATTTAGCACACCATTTTCATCAACTCCTCTTTGCCACTGTTTTCACAACAATGCAGAAATTGTCTTGCAAAACATTTATCAGTGAATTGGCAGTGTTTTTATAGAAGTTCGTCATGCGAATTTATAGGGTGTTTTCTGTTCCAATTCTCTAGTCTGTCTACTATTTGATCATTTAATCATTCTATCTGGTTCTTCGATAAGTTAACAAACAGCCACTCATAGAGTGGCAGTGACTCTTCTTTTAGAAATCGAAGGGAATTGCAGGCTTGGGGTAGAAGTATCCGCTGGGCTGGGGCGGCAGGTATTCCGGAGCTGGAGTTGTGGTGCGAGGACTGGTTACCGGCGGCAGGTACGTTGGAGTTGGTGGTGGCGCCCTGGGCGTTGTCACTGGAGGCAAGTAGATCAGCTTCTCAGTTTGGAAGACCTCTCTTGTGGTACTAGGGGGAAGATATGTCGGCGTTGGTGGTGGTGGTCTGGGTGTTGTCGTTGTCACAGGAGGGAGATACACTGGCTTCTCCGTTGTGTAAACCCTTTGAGTTACTGGAGGAAGATAAACTGGCTTTTCCGTTGTATAAACCTTCCTGGTTACTGGAGGAAGATACACTGGCTTCTCAGTTGTGTAAACCCTTCTGGTCACTGGAGGAAGATACACCGGTTTCTCCGTAGTATAAACCCTTCTGGTCACTGGGGGAAGATAAACTGGCTTCTCTGTTGTGTAAACTCTCCTGGTTGTTGGAGGCAAGTAGGTTGCAGGAGGAGCAGTTCTAGCTACTGTAACAATAGGCAAAGGTTTCTGTGTGGTGTAGACAGGAGGAGGAAGATAGGTCGGCGTTGGCCTAGGCGGGGGCCTAGGTGTCGTCGTCGTCACTGGAGGGAGATAAACTGGTTTTTCTGTTGTGAAAACCCTCCTAGTCGTTGGAGGAGGTAAGTAAGTTGGAGTGGGTCTAGGAGGTGGTGGCGGAGTCGTTCGTGGTCGCGTCACAGGAGGCAAGTAGGTGGGAGTAGGAGGAGGAGGAGGTCTTGGTGTGGTTGTCCTAGGTGGCAGATAGACGGGCTTCTCCGTTGTGTAAACTCTTCTGGTCGTCGGCGGCAGGTACGTAGCTGGCGGTTGCGTTCTCACAATCGGCAGAGGCTTCTGCGTTGTGTAGGTCGGTGGCGGAAGAGGCCTGCGAGTCGTTGATGGTGGAGGTAGGTACGTTGGTGTTGGTCTTGGTGGCAAGTACGTTGGAACTGGAGTGGTCCTGGTTACAGGCCGCTCAGTAGTATATACTCTGGGTGTAGGTGGTGGAAGGGCGAATGGTACTCTTGGGCGTGGGTAACTGTAACCTATAACATTATTACAAATTCATTATGAACAGTACATCCTAGGCATGCGGCTAACATACCTTCAATTACAGGTGCCTTTTGGACAATAACTACCGGAGGTGGCGGACGAGGAGTTGTGGGTGGTGGCAAGTAGGAGACAGTTACTGGTTTCGGCGGAAGATACAGAGGGGTTGTGGGAAGAGCCTTTTCAGCGGTAAAGACCCTCGGTGGCAGAGAGAAAGGTACCACAGGTTTGGGATAGTCATAACCTTGGAAGAGAGATAGAGAGAGAGAGAGAGGTTTATGAGGTGAGTAGTGTTGATGGGAGGATCACTGAAAAGTCAGACCTTGTTTGACAATAGGTAGGGGTTTAATGGCTGTATAGGTTGGCGCAGGCCTTGTTGGCAGAGGAAGACGAATCTCAGGCTTCGGGTAGAAGTAGCCATCGACAGGTTTGGGAGGCGCTGGCGTGGAAATAGGGACAGCTTTTTGTGTGGTGTAAACTGGCCTAGGAGTTGTTGGCGCTGGGCGAGGAGGCAAGTAATCGTTGAAGGGAATTGCAGGCTTCGGGTAGAAGTAACCATCGACAGGCTTGGGAGGCGCTGGTGTGGAAATAGGGACAGCTTTCTGTGTGGTGTAAACTGGCCTAGGCGTTGTTGGCACTGGACGCGGAGGCAGAGTCAGAGGAACCTTTGGAACTGGATAGACATAACCTGTAGAAGGAATCAAGTTCATTAACCATGTAGAAGTAAGTCATATAGTGGTTGAGTGACCTTTAGTTGGGGGTGGAAGGGTGACGGCCTTCTCGGTCGTGTAGATTCGCTGAGTCGTTGGCGCGGGCAGATTGAAAGGCACCACTGGTTTAGGGTACTCGTAGCCCCTCACCACGGGTTTAGGGGCTGTCGGCTGCGGGAAGGGCACTCTGGGTTTGGGGTAGTAGTAGCCCTGAGGTTCCACTCGCGGGGCCTTCTGCTCGACGAAGACTTGCCTCGGCGGCGGACGTGGCGTCGTTGGGGGAGGCAATGTGAAAGGCACTTGGGGTTTGGGGTATACATAACCGCTGGGCTTTGGTGGTGGTGGCAGGTAATCCGGCACGATTCTAACAGGTTTGTATTCCGACACGGGCGGGAATGGAATTTTGGGCTTTGGATAGTCATATCCTGAAATGGAAATGTATTGAGTTGCGACATTAGCATTTAGTGTTAATGATGATGTGGTTTTACCTTTCTGGACAATCACAACTGGTTCCTGGTATGTGGGAAAGGCAACCGCGGGTTTGGGGTAGAAATATCCATCGTCATTGGCGGAATTTAAGGATCCAGCCGATATCAGGGAGATATCAGCTCGTGCGAGGGCACAAATCGCCAACAGAGCCACGAAGACTCTCTGCAAGAAACAGGAAGTCATCGTAAATTTGACTGCATGTTGTGTGAAACGACACGACATCGTATCGAGTTTCCATCATTGTGTTTAGCTCCATATAAATTTTATTTGTTTTTTTCCTAACACTTGAGACAGTCGCTCTTCTTTGTGCCATCAAGTGAACCGTAGGATGTTGGTAATTGCTTGACAGATTAACTTAAGTGATTATGTTGTTGGAACCCACGCTCACCTAATTTACACATCGCAAGTCAATACCATAAATTTGACACTTAATCGATGCGAAATTTCATTGAGAGAGCTTTTACATATAATTTTGCATATTGAAAACACGGTCAGAGCGCGGAGTTCTTGCAAAAGACACCGAAGATGGCGAACCTTGAAATATTCCTATGGCATTCCGGAGTGCACAGCAAAGGTGTTTTCTGCTGCGGGGGATTTTAGCGCGCCATCCACAAAAATGCCATCTTGAGAAATATGACCCATGAACAAAAAGTGTTAGAAAGAGTAGCGTTACAAAATGCTAAGCATCACGAGGAAGGTATTGTCGACTCGTTCTCAAATGCATCAGTTTTGTCATAGAAGAAATTTCACTATTTCGCGGATGGTTTATGTTTATGGTTTTTCGCATTACGTAAAGTCGCGATCATCTTGATGAGATAGAGTATGGGTGAAGTGTTATGATTCTGCTTCAGTCTGTCCGGGTGTTCTTTGTCGAAGACAATAGGACAATAAAAGTGTGCGAATTTTCGCGTGCCTAAGGCTAATGAAGTCACTTTTGGGCAACATCACGTTCCATACAGCTTCTGTTCATTTTGAAGTTCAAAGCTGGTGCTGAAAGCACGAATTTGCTACCTGTTCACCTATCTTGAGGCGCTTCGGCCACTCACGATGGTCTCAGGTGTTTTATCGCACCTTTCGATTTCATCTTCAGTGGCTGTTAACATTTGCATGTGACCTCCAGATCCCACCAAATACTCAAATACACCTCATTGTCATTTAGGAAACTCGTAAAATTTATTAACACCCAGCGGACCACGAAACAGATGTGAAAAGGTGCTCCACATCTAACAACTCCTTCAAGACATGTTTCTGCATCAAGTCCAAATCACTTAGATGCCTATCGCGATGCCATCCTCAAAGTTCCCTCATTAGCATCAACATTCCAAGCAACACAAAGAGAGCTTTTCCGGCTCGCTGGCGATGTCGCAAAAAAAATGCGATCGATGCCACTGAAGGCTGTTCTTCACGCGAGATCATCTTTATGGTGACATAGAGAGAGCAATTTCAATAAAATAAATCTCCTGCGTGTTCGCCATCTAATCAATTTAGAGTGTGTGTTGCTCAATTTGCCAAAAATGCCAACAAACATTGGTAACTTTGGAGATGATTTTATATACCAAAGAATTGTGGTGTGGATTGACTCATTTAAATAGTTAATTCGTTTAGTCACACACGCGTTTTATTATTAATGCACAGCGTTTATAGAAACCTTGTCAAATGCCATCTTCTGGTCCAAGGTCAGAAAAGCCATACTGTGGCATTTTTCCATCGTGTGTGCGTCTGAGGGGAAAAGTGGTGTTAAATATTTCAAAGGAATGGCGCCAATTCCTGCTTTTAATTGCACTGCGGGAAAATCACCACATCAAATATTCGTTAATATTGATCACAATTCAACTTGATAATGACCCTCAAATATCAATCTTTATTGCTTGTTTTACGCCTTAAAAAATGTTTACGAGACTATTTCACAAGATTCGTGTTTTTTCTCCCAAAAAATATGTTGCAATTGCAGATGACTATTTTATCGGCGTGCCACCAATCGATTAATATTCCAAATGTGAATCTCATAAAGTGTTGAGCATTAAAAATGCCATGAGGAGGATGTCCCCGGTAAGTGGAGTGAATGTAGTTCAATTAAGCATAATTAATAGCATCTCTGGGTATTACGTCTAATTAAACTAAGCCTAGTGAGTTGATTAAGATGGCAATTGTGTGCGACGAGTGTGCAATCTCAAGAATTGCATACAAGAAGAGACGGGCACTTGGGAAAACTGAACGACATTGGACTCTATTTGTGCACATTTTTTGGAATTGCCACTAATTGTAGAATGTGGTGCATTTCATCATTGGTTCTCACAGTCCCAAAAACACGCGCGAAGACGGAAAATATTTGCTGATGCCTTCATGGACGGTCGGAAAGCAATTTATGTGTCGCACAAAAACATTCAGATTGTGACCTTTATGTAGACTTTGATATGATTTTCTCGTGTTTTTCTGTCTATTGTAATAAACTGCACGCCATTTCAACATCCCGAAAAAACACTTGAGAGAGTCGACAACTCAGGTGGACAGAAATAAAGCAGTTAACACATTTAAAAGACCACGTCCAAATCCACCCACAATTTGTCTCTTGGAGTCTTTAGTCACGGTGACGTCACTCCTGTGGCTTTTAAGGTGGTTTTCATGCCAAACATCAGACATCGCGCATTTTGCGGAATTTCAATCAATTTCACTGTGAAATATTTCAGAGACATGAAATAATTTTCATAAATTTGCATTGTGAAATATGTTTTCTCACGCGTCCTTGTTGTCAGTAAATTTTGTCGATATTGACATGCTTATCATTGTTATGAGACTGATATTGGCATAAATTAGAATAATTTATCAAGCCGATGACTTGTGCAAATCTCAAGTTTTCCAAATATTTCTCGCGTTTGTAATTTATTTGCCTATTTGGACACGAGCTGATCTTTTTATTCTAAAATTGGTTAAAAAATCAATTTATTAATCTGATTTCAATCTGTTCCATTCAAAAAATATTATGTTGCTATTCGTGACATCGTTTTGAGAGATAAAATTGCAAAAATTTCTTATCTTACTTATCGAGTTCAAGAATTACGCTTTTAAGATCATCTTATACAGCGTGGGCACTAATTATAGCTCCACTGTAGGTATCCAGGGTGTAGGTAGTCTGGGTCAAAAACAAAAAAACCAAATATGGTGTTTGATTGCCTATCCATAGCCAAAACAAAACCCCCAATATGAGGCCCCTCCGCCGGATCCTAGGGATTCTAGGGAACTTTATCACTTTCTGGCCTGGCACTAATTATAGATCCACTTGGGAAATTTCACTATATCTCAGCGAAAAAAAGTCGGAAAATTCTGAAAATCATAAGGATCCTTCATTTTGAGCCCAGAAACTATTTATCGTCGCCACACCCCGCCTCGGTCCTCCGTGGACCCCACTGTTAAAGGTCTTTGCCTTGCATAACACGATATTTCAAAATGGCTCCTCCGGATTGGGGCGGGTGGCCCAATGCCCATAAACTGCTTCATAGGGCAAGACTGAAGCCTTTTGAGCATAATTGGGCTATCTGACCCCGATTCCATCCTTGAATCCTGGCCTTAAGCACTTCTTCCAGGGTCTTTTTCTGCTTCTAAGAGCCCAAACCACCCCAACCCCCGGACTACCCCCAATGAAATGGGGCGAAAAGTTCTTAGGACACTTCTAGGAAACCCGTGGACCTTAGATCCGGGGATGGGTAGCGCCTCGGAGGGAGCGCCCTAACGTAGAACGAGAGCCAGTTGAAATTCAATGAAAAACCATACACTTTTAGGTGGTTTTCGACTGGGTCTCATTCCACGGTGTGGCGCTCCCTCCCAGGCGCTACCCATCCCCGGATCTAAGGTCCACGGGTTTCCTAGAAGTGTCCTAAGAACTTTTCGCCCCATTTCATTGGGGGTAGTCCGGGGGTTGGGGTGGTTTGGGTCCAAAGAAGCAGAAGAAAGCCTCGGAAGAAGTGCTTAAGGCCAGGATTCAGGAAGGGTATCGGGGTCAGAAATCCCAATTATGCTCAAAAGGCTTCAATCAAGCTCTGTGAAGCAGTTTATGGCCATTGCGCCCCCCGCCCCAATGCGGAGGAGCCATATTGGGCGATCATGTAGTACTAAGCAAAGACCTTTAACAGTGGGGTCCACGGAGGACCGAGGCGGGGTGTGGCGACGATAAATAGTTTCTGGGCTCAAAATGAAGGATCCTTATGATTTTCAGAATTTTCCGATTTTTTTTCGCTGAGATATAGTGAAATTTCCCAAGTGGATCTATAATTAGTGCCAGGCCAGAAAGTGATAAAGTTCCCTAGAATCCCTAGGATCCGGCGGAGGGGCCTCATATTGGGGGTTTTGTTTTGGCTATGGATAGGCAATCAAACACCATATTTGGTTTTTTTTGTTTTTGACCCAGACTACCTACACCCTGGATACCTACAGTGGAGCTATAATTAGTGCCCAGGCTGTATTGTATGAAATATTGCAAACATTGCAAAAAAATCATTCAATTCAAATACCGTAGAAATTTTCCATTCATCTTCTATACAGTCTGTGCGCCTTCGCAG